AGGAGCCAGGCATCATCGTCCTCTTCACAACAAGATCTACCAAGATCAAGGTCCAGACCTCAAAGAACCAATATTGTTGACAAGCTCAACATGTCTTTAGAGGAACTGGACACACTTGAGGAACAACAAGAAGAAGAACACTCTCCAACAAAGAGTGACATCGAAGAACACGAAAGAGAAACATCAAACTTGATGTCTGCTCAGAGAGATGAAGAGGAACAAGAGGACGAATCCTCCAGCCGGAGGAGAAGAAGGAAGGCATCACGCCCACCGTCTGCTCCGAGCGGCAAGGCACTCAGAACAGCTGCCACAGCAGCGGGGTTGTCGGGCTGGTTCGGACACCGTAACCACGGTGGAGCGAACGCAGAGTCTATCAAGACTGATGAACCTTCACTTCCCAACTCACTAACCAGTGAGCAAGACTTCTCCGTCTTCAGCATCGCGTGGAATGTGTTTCTGCTGCTAATGGGCCTACACTGGATGTGGAAGCAGTTCACCAGGGCTCCCATCAGATGTATGGACCGCCAGCAATCAAATGCAAAAGCAGCAGCGAAACGACCACCACCATTCCTCGAACCCGAGGATGAACCACAGACGCGTGAACCTTTAGGACCCAACAGGGTCAATTCTGGAGAAACAACGGATTTGCGACCTGTGTGGCACACTTCCCGAAGCGAAGTCTACCATCTTTCAGACAGCTGTTACCAGCTCAAGCAAGCAAAAGATGTTTCAAAGAAGGTGCTGTGTAAAACCTGCCTCCAGGCAGTACAAGTTGCGGAGATTCGCAGGAACGATCCTTTTCAAAGAGGTGATACACGATCACGTGGCACCGAAAGGGACATTGAACGGTTTCAAACCTATGACGATGCAAGTACTACTCCTCATATGAGGCAATTATTCAGTGATGCATTGCATTCACAAATGGCCGAAGAAGCCATGCAGATTACCTATACATCAATCCCTAAGGGATCCTCGGCAAGAGCCAGAGGTACATCTGCACTCGCAAGTGCCTCATCGTCGTCAGTGCCCAAGGCAATGCCACCAGTGCCTAACAAGGCAAACATGTCACCTCCACCTAAGTCTCCTCCGCCAAAGGCGAAAGGAACAGTACCTTCAGATCCTCCGAGACCAAAAGGTCCTACCAGAAGAGGAGGTCAAAATCGGCGCATTCAACGAAAAGCAGCTAGAGAAGCCCATAACAGTGGACTCTGCAACCATGCAGACGCTGCACTTGGCGAAGCCAATCAAGGCCAGGCCATTAACACTATGTGCCGAAACATGGCAGTAAGACACGTCAGCTCTATCGATGCAACGGTAGAAGCAGCCGAGCAGTTTACGCAACGCGTGCAACAGCATGTAGAAACATATGATGAAGAGGAACCGTGGAGCACGGAGTTTCTACCAGTCGTGGAAGTCCTATTCAGGAACTTGAGCAGCGACGAAACAACTGTCATACATGACAATCATACGGCAACTATGCCTATTCAGAAATATCTCGACCTCCTCAGAATCGCACAATCATTGCGAAACTCTATCCAGAGAGACAAGGAGGAAAGAAAGGATCATCTTGACACCATCCAAGATACTCTATCCAGAGTGGAAATCCTTCTAACAGCACTGAAGGACTCAAAAACAGTCTTCAATCAATTGGTCCATTCCTCACTAGAGATAGAGCGAAGACATAAAAACCTCAAAAATGTCCTTGAGACACTTTTTGACGACCAAAGCTCTGAGGAAGACCAGTCAGAATCTGACCATGAAGAAGTCCTAACTCCTTCTGCAGCACAGTACTGGAACAGCCTTCATGCCCACGCCTTATCTCCCTCAGGAGATGAAAGTGAAAGATCATGGGCGTCCTCAGACGGACAGCTTGAAAGAAGAAGGGCCGAACGGGCAAAGGCTAAGCAGCCACAACCGGCTAAAGCCGAGGCAACTCCAATCAGCTCACAAGCTGCACCAAAGGCCGAGCCAAAGGCGACTACATCCAACCATGGATATGGAACTGCAGACGCCGCCTTCACCAGGGCTGAGAACAGATTACTCGGAATCTTTTCAAGTTCCGAAGAAGATCACTCAGACCCGGATGAACCACATCCGAACGTCTATGCTCGAGCCTATGATCCAAACCTGGATCCGAATCTGAGATAAGAAAATTCTCAGAGTTTCACAACAGTGACTCACAAAGCTCTAACAAGAGCACAATGAAGGGCTGCATAATTCGGTAGAAGAACATTACCAGACCTGATCTTGTACAGATGATCTCTCTGACCAACATGCATGAGTGTGTGCAAAAGGAGTGACCTCAACAGTGTACTTCAGTGCTATACCTAGCATAAACAATATGCTGTTTTTATCATGAGTCCAAACTCCGCAACTGTGACAGTGGGCATAATAGTATATGTGTGAATGTGCGGCCATGCTTCCGGTAAAAGAAAATTAGTGTCTGTTTGATTCCGTAAACCTCTAAAGGGGTAGCTCTAACAGGTACCTACAGCAATGGCTGCATGCTCATACATATACATTCCGCTGCCCATTGGCTCACAGTGGTTTTACCATATTGAGACAAGACAAGCTCTCCTTGCGTAGCAAGACAAAACAACTACTGTCCGTGTGCAGGGCGCTGCCCTTTGATCCTTAGGGAATAAACTGGTCATACACCTCCTAACAAGGAGCATTTCCTTGTGGGTGTATCGGCACAGGGGGAGGGAGGGGCCCGGGAGGGGGGGGGAAAGGAGGGGGGAGGCAAATTCGGCAGCAAAAAAGGACGGAAGCCGGGCAAGGGGGTCGAAAACAGTGGCTAAAAACGGGTGGAAGTTTGCGTTTGGGCTGCAGGGAGAAGGATTAGGTAGAGGGTTGGTTAGTATTAACCATCAAGACGCCTGGCCTCGGCGGATTTTGCGCCACACTTTTTCAATGGGTTCTTCAGGACTCGGTGCAGAATCAGTTGTATCGCTCTTGTTGGCATTCATTAAAAAAACCATTCAGTTCTCGATTTCCTAAAGGAGAAAGCTGAAGTGGTTGGTGAAGGAGGCCGAACTGACATTGAAGCCAAGCTCATCTGCTTTAGAACCGGCATTTCTGTATTGAGAGCAAGCGTGGACCAGCCGGCATCGGAGCTTTGAGCGTGAGAAATGCATCGACAGTTGCAAACGGGCGAGCAGTCTTAGACGCAGCTTGCGAGCTGAGCTGATTCAGGTGCAAATGTTCCGAAGCTCTTCGGAATTCTCGTTGATGTGTACAAGACTGATATGGCAGACGAGGCCCAGCTTGCATGGAGGTGCACTGACGTCCCAACGGTGCCGCGCTTCCGAAGTGTTGCGAAGGCCACTTCCGCGAATATTGGCCAGTTTGCACTTCGGTGGGGCACTTGGTGGCTCTGAAACATCAGCAGCCTAATTTCAGCAAGATTTGGTGCTGAAGGCTGGGCGAATCGAAGCTAGAGAGCTTCGCTGCTCAGTTCAGCACTCGCCTTGGTCAGAAGTCGCTTGCGTTCTGTGCTGGCACCGGCAAATCGCAGCAGTTCTGATTACCGACTTTTTCTGGCCGTGTCTGGATTCGTGCCATCTGCATTCAACAGATGTCTGGAGCAACTCGAAGGCGAGAAGCAGAAGAAGAAGCTACTCAGAATAGTGCGGGAGGCACGGCAAATGTGTTGATCACCTGAAACTTATTGTTGGGATTGCAGTGTGCTAGTTCTGCTAGTTCTGCTAGTTCTTGTGACATCTTGTAACCATGCTTACACTTCTCTGGCTCAGTGCTTGAAGAGAAGGGGTAGCGCGCGATGATCCATGCGTCTCGCATTCTGGCCGTGTCTTGGAGCGAGGCTCCAAGCCTTGATCTCTCCTCGAGGTGAGACGTGTCAGAGGGCTGCGCACGCAGCGCACGCAGTCAGATGTGCGCCGCGGTCCTCACCTGCCTCCGCCAAGCCATTGCGGCGCCTCGTGCTTCGACCGTCCCGAAGGCAGCGCCGAGAACTTAAATTTCGAGACAGCAGCTCTGTGTGTGTCCGCGCATCTTGTACAACTCGTGGGAAGCCAAGGCCTCTTGCTGCCGCGCGACTGGCGTCAAGCAGCAGAGGTAGCGGAAGAGACCGAACCTGCTGTTGTAGTTGATATTCTGGCGCTGACATCTCGAATGCTCCGTTGCGTTTCGAGGTCCCTAGAGTCCTCGGCGCTTGTGCTGCAGGCTTCTGTAGTGGGATGTCCCTGCTAGCCTGCTAGCATGCAACAGTAGGCACTGCCGCCGTGTCTGCACGACGAAAACGATCAAAGCCATCGATGGCGCCGGTGACTGAAAGGACATGATGGACATGCGCTATCTTTATGCGATCCGTCACACCGTGTCCTACACGCCAGAGCTACTCGCTCCGGCGAGGTATCTTCTAGCATCATGCCAAGGCTCATAGAACGAGTCATGTTCCTGGGGACTGGTTCGGCAGTGCCCGTTCCTGGGCAGCGCAACATGCCGCATTCTCGGCCATGGAATGGTAGCTGCAAAAGTCTCGGATTTGGAGGCAGCCTTCTGTGTGGGTGCACGGGCCAGCTTTCGCCAAGGTCCAGTCTAGCCGTGATGCTCAACACAGGACAGCTTGCAAGACATTGTAAGCCTGCATGAGATTATCCAGTCGAGGAGCTGCCATAATCGTCGATTGCGGTGAGGGCACGCAGCATCACATCAAGGTGTGTCTCTGCTTTGTCAGAGCAAGAGCGTCCCAGCGCCCGTCCAGCAGGTGAGCAAATTTTTGAAGCTCTCCCGCATCGAGGCATCTCAACTTGCCTGCAAAGTTGGAGCCCGGAGTCGTGATCAATCGATGATCATGGCGTTGTTTCGCTGGAGAATTTGATGCTCAGACTACTCATCGGCGAGACACAAGTGCAGCGAGGGTGAGTGCAATGTTGCTCTGAATCAAACACGTTCGGGCACCGAGCATCCGTTAGAAAGACTCACCGAATAGATGCAGGAAAGTAGCATGACCAGTCCATGAGGGACATCCATGAGCGATGAGCATAACATTCCAGTTCTGGAATGATTCGCGTGTAGCTGAGATTTTCTGAGCCGACCTTCGCAAGACGGCACAGGTCTGTCCCTGAGGTCGTTCGAGTCCTACAACCCACAAGCGCAACAAACGCTGTACCAGAGCCTCCTGCAGAATCCGCGCCCGAACGAGGCCGGGCCAGGTCCGCACTGAAACGTGTCTGCTACTTTCATGAGCGCTACCGGGTCTGGATCAGGTCGATCTGCCACATTCCCCTTATGTGATCTCCAACTTCAACAAGGCCGACCAGCTCACACCTAAGGTCTGCGGGCGTTTGTCGTGTCAGGTGGAACACGGAGGTGCATTGCAGAGGAACAAGAATAGTGGCTTCAATCGGTGGGTCAGGCTACTCGCTGTGCTGAGCATATGGAACCTCGTGAGAGCAGCGCAGCAGTGCAGCAGCACATGTCAGGATCCGACCACCATATGCGCTCCCTGGAGCCCAGCCCTTTGCATGTCGAATGAGAAGCGATTTCCGCTTCTGCTTCGAGGCCAGGACATGCCAGGTGACACAGGACACCTTCAAAAACAGCTCTCCTGTGGCAGGAGGGGAGAGATGGCTCACAGTTGGTGCCATTTTCCGAGGACCGAGAGATTCTCACAGCCAATACCACGAGAAGTGCCATCAAACTGAGAGGAGCTGCAAAGCGAGCTGAAGCGATTCCTTGCCTCGAGCCCTCGCCCGTCGGAGGCGACGGAAAACACATGTGCATCCTGGCGCTTTGCTTGCCACTTTTGCAGGTATACTTCGTGGCGAAGCATTCCCCATACTTGTTGTCGGGAATGGACCAGATGCAGGATTCCTCCCTTTTCCTGTCCATACCTGGGGCTGCTCTGCTTGCAGCCTGAGAGGACCTCCAGAGCGACTCGCCGCTTGCGCAGGTCGCTGACTCAGCGAAACTGCAGTCAGATTGCACGTGGCGACTTCTCTTTGCAGGTCAATCTCAAGACTGGCTTCGTGCGGAGGGTGAGGCAAGCGTCAGCATCGGGATTGGAAAGCACTGTCTCTTCACGAACCGTCATCGTCTAGATGGCAGGATCATGACGGGCCCCATCCCACGGGTGCCACCCCGTCCGTATGGAGGACTGTTCCCTTTCTGAGTGATGGAACCAAAGAAAACTGGGCATCTTAGGAGGAGCAGCTTCCAGCCATGGCCCGTCACCCTTCTCCGGCACAGCGTCCGGATCAGGTGCGCAGCACTTGGTGCCCTGGTGTCGCGTTTTTGTTTCTTCTGCGGTGAGGTAGAGGCTTTCAGAAGCGAAGCTTCAATCCTCCAACTCCTGCCAGGCCCGAATCTGTGAAGCGAGGGCAGAGGCATCAGTCCAAGCATCTACTGGACTGAAGCGAGCATTGCAAGGGCCAACTCCAACAACTCCAACTGCTCCTTCTCTTTGTCTTCTGCGGCTTTCTTCTGCACCATCGACGGGAGGACCGCCGCCTGCACTGCAACAGGAACATCGCAGAACAAAGGGAGAACTGCGAACGACGTAAGGTCTCCACACCCTCGTGCCATCAGACAGGTTGGAAGTTGGGCATCTGCCAGTCCAGCAGTAACAGTGTCACGGCAACGACAAATCCGCATGGCCGCTGCTGTGTGGCAGCTGTGTAGGCGCTGGGTCTGTCCGTCGGCAGAGCTGATCGCCAAACAATGTTTCGAGGAGGGAAAAGTTGAATGGGGCGGCCTCCAAACTACTTCTGAGGCAAGGCAAGCACCAAGAAAGTTGCTGAGAGCCTTCTATCGCATTGGCTGGCGGCTAGCTATGCTTCTGTATGGCGGATTCAACAGTCCAGCCTGGGCCCGCAGGCATTGGATGGCAGCAGAAAGACCTTCAGAGGTACCGAGCCGACGAGAAACCCACGTCCTGGCATCTCAGTAAGCACAGGTGGATCTTAAGGAGGATGGCGTTGTCGAGAACTTCGAGGTGCCCCGAAAGAATTTCGATCGCAACACTCGCACTCGTAGGTGCTTTTCATGTTCTATGTGCATGCTGCGCCCTCGAGAGCTGGAATTGGTGAGTCCTGCGTCAGGGCTTGGAGCAAGGCAGAGCCACTGTGGGAAAACGAGGCCGAAAAACTCGGCTCGAGTCTTGGCGAGCAAGGTTTGGCAATTCTTGCGGGCTCACGTGCAGGTCGCGTGCACTTTCTCCCTTCCCCAGGAGGTGAAACTACCAGAGCCTCCCTCGGGAAGTTTGAGGCTGCCAGAGGACTTGGACGAGGTGCCATGAAGGAAAGCAATGTGCACAATGGCACAATGCCACCTCAGACTCTGCCGGTCTCGCCTCGCTTTCAGGCCGAGGCCCTGGACATGATGTTGACGGGCAAAGCCTTAACAGACCAGGCCAGGCTAGGGAGGAAACCTTACGATCGCAAGAGCGACTGTGTACCAGAACGTTTGAGTTCCTTTCCCTCTCGGAGTTTAGGGTTCTCTCAGGCATGTCCCTGATTTTCATATGTTCGTCATACACATAAAGGAAAATGCTATATAGTATTGGGGGAGGGCCGGGGGGCGTTTAATGATAGGTGGTAGGATCGACGATGCATCATGAGCAAAACAGGAGATCCTACAGTTGGTGGGTGATGAGCGGCAATGCCCCATCTGCATGGATGCGATGGATCCGGAGCCTAGGCCTACGCAGCCTGAGGCCGGTGGAATTCCCGCCGCTGTTCGCCAATCTGCGCCTGATGCGCAGCTGGTGTCTGCCTGTGTCGTCCTACTGTGCAGGTGCAGCTGGACGAGGATGGTGATGTTGAGGCTTAGCTGCACGGAGGCTGCAGTTCTTGAAGTTTTTCATTGAAGCAGCATGGTGCTTTAGCAAGGACATGCATGCTGAAACGAATGCATCCTTCTCTTGGGCGCGTGATGCGCCGCCGGTGCAAGGACTAGCGACTAGCGATGCTCCCCAACTTCATTCAAGCCTTTTCGATCTCCTAGCTGCTGGCTGATGTGCAGGAGCTTTCCGACTTCGCTGCGGCCACACTTATCACATGACCTGCTTGCGCACATGGTTTCAGCAGAAAACAAGATGCCCAAGCTGTCAGCAAGAGTTTGGAAAAGTTGTGACGTGGCTGAATTACAGCGAGTCAAGCCTCGATCTTGTTTTGGCTGCGTTCAACGTTTATGGCATTGACATCATCAGTCGATGGTTGAGCACGGAGACTCTTGCCAACGGATGCCGAGGAGTCACAGAACCAACAGATGCACTGGTGGCACAGACGGGTGCATGGTTTGAGTGTAAATGCTCTAATCAACGGATACACGGGTGTCACGCACGTTGCCATGATTTACGCATGGCTGCTCATACGAACGGACGCACTGGTGACACGGGCGATAGGATTCTACGGGCATGCATGCTCGAACACTGTCACATGGATGGTGCGTATTTGGTGCCGCGAATCCCAGTTGTCACGGGCTGATAGACAAACAAGAACCGTGGTATGGATGCACGTGTCCCGTGTGAAGAGTGTCAATTGTGATAGGGATGGGTCGCCGCCATTTCTCAGAGCGTGAACCGTGGCCAGGATCGTTCGGCAAGACGAGGCCACATTCAATGGGACACGAAAACCACCTAACAAGCGGACACAGCTACCGAAACCATGTGACGAGGTGGCAACGCGAAATTCAAGCACTCGCGTCGTCAAGTACACTTCTTGCGGCTGTAGCTTCCGTTCCCGAGTGCCGCAAAACGGGGAAAGCTGTATAGGTTGATGTTGGTTCTGCTGCCTTTGCTACCCGGGGTCAGAATCTGAGGTGGGGAAGCAGCCTCGTCTTGGAACCTTCAGCTGGCATTGTGAGAACTTCACACTCCCTGGGCACCCAGACGCTGTCAAGACCATCGTCATACAGCCCTTATCTTGGCGATGCATCATTCTGCCGAATTCTGCCCTTGGGTGCCATCACGAGCTCTTGCCGTACAAATTAGTGACGACTTTCTGCATCCAGGTTTGTGTTCCCGGAGGGCATCGACGATGAAGGGAAAAGCTACGCAGGCACCTCGCAGCTCGTTTGGTGTGACTCGGCGGTGTTAGATCAACGAGCGTTTTCGCGCGTGCTGTGCAGGCAGAAAGCCCAAAGGGTATCTTCCATGCAATGCGCAGGGAATCATCTTACTGGAGCTGTTCAAGGCATTGTTGAACCAGTCTTCAACTTTTTGGATATTCTTTTGAGAGAGGTAGCTTTCCGACGGCGAGTCATGTTCGGCATGGGCGAGTCCATGACGTTCAGCTCGTACCGTCCGACGTGCCATCCTCATTCTTGGGACCGAAAACGCAAGAGTTTCGAAGCTGAGACAGCAGGTTCAACATCCACATCAAGACCAGCTCTTCGGGAGGAGAGACCAAGCACGGTTATCCAGATGAGACTTACTTCTACAGGCAGATCGCACGCCCATGACAAGTCTTCTTGAGCTCGGCTCATAGACAAAGTCAGGTCCTTGGGCGAGCTCAAAGCGAACGGAGTGTCTCTGACAGACCTGCGAAACTAGACGGTGCTGCCCCGTGTGGGCAAGACTTGGACCAATGCCCTGTACAGAGCGGCGGGTCCGAAAAGGCAGGCAACGAGATCTCGCATGCCAGGGGGGCGAGTCATCACATCCATCCGGCCTTTGTTGCAATGCTGGTAGATGATGAAGCAGACGTGAGCCAGGTCATTTTGCTCACCCATCTTCACGGAGATCACTGCTATGGACTGTTTGGTCTGTGATTGTCTTAGTGCAAAGCGCTGTGCGAGTGTTTTGCTGTGGCTGTCAGCATGATTCCAGGTTGCACACGGCTGCTCTCGAGGGTCGCAAGGACCATTCTGTTTGTAGCCTGAGCATCCGCTTCCCTTGTACTCAGCTCGGAGAGGACCCGCTGCTGATAGTGGGCCCGCAGGGGCACCATCCTCGAAGAACAGCATGTGGCATGTGTGGGCAGAGTGAAGCTCGTTGAAGGCTTCGTACCATGGTGGAGACTGTTCTCCTATCTTCTGGAGGTTGGTACTCAGAGGATACCGTGCCTTGAAACTCACACACGCTTGAGGCAGAATCTTGTCGAAGTTTCGTGTGTCCCGAATGCCCGCAGTTGCTGCAGCAAGGATTCACTGTCTGGTGTGCAGGAGTCTTTCCAGATCAACTACTTGGAGATACCAAATACTGGAACGCCAGGTGGCCGGATCCCAAGTTGCGATCATTTCATGGCCAAGCGGCCAAGCCGAGAGCTCAGGTGAAAGTTTGGTGGGATCCTTTGGATCAGGCTGGAACGCTTCGTGGAATTCATGAAAGGCAAGCTGTGCGATGCAAGCAATGTTAGGTCCGCGAGGGCTGGGTTTCCATCCAGATCGCTGTCGGCATGCTGCAGCTGTTCAACTCGGGGCCGAGCTGACAGAGAATTCCGAGTGCGAGTGCCAAGGCCCCCCGGCCGATGACTCTGAGCCCAGGTCCTAGCGGGTCTCCGCATACAAGCAGTGCCGCTTGTTCATGGATTGCCTGTCCCACTGGCATGTTTCAAGGGACTCTTTCTATGCACACCATGTGACCTCCCGACCATTACCAGGATTGGGGATATGTGCTGACAGAGCCGGACCGCCCCGGCAAGCTGAATGCTGCCAAGGTTGCTCTGTCATGACCGTTTCCTCTTCCACCGGGCATGCTTTGACTTCTTGCGAGGCTTTGGAGCTAGGAATCCCTGCTAAGAGCAGATTGCTTGTGACCAAGTTCGAAAGTCAGAAGAAGGCACTGCATGTAGCAGGGAGATGACATGTTGAGGCTGGGGCAGCTCAAACAAGGGCAAACGGTGGAGCTGGACGACGGTTCGCGTGCTCCCCAGCGAGACTCGAAAGATGTTCAAGTGAATAGTGAATAGTGCGGCAAAAGCAAAGGACGGTCTCCCCCGCACAGGTTCTGGGCACCAAGCCTGGTTTGCTTGAACTGTTGCATCCCCGCTGTGCCACAATGCTTGGAGCCAAGGCCCGACCATTCTGGGTCGAACTTTGGCAATCTTGCAGGCCGTGCTCACAACTAAAGAGGAAGCAGCTTTGCAGTTTCGGAATGCAGGACACTTCTGATGCTTCAGCTGCAATTGAGCCCTGTCGTGGAGCTGCCTGTGCCCGAATCTCTGTGGAACTTCCCGGACACTCGCGGCACCAACTTGCAAGGTGCTCGTAGGCTCACTTATTCAACGCGCCTGCTCAGGTCGTCCATGAAGCCACCTTTGAAGATGGCATGGAGACGGAGGCCGGCAATTTGAGTCGGCAAGCCATTGGGCTTGTTTTGGCAAGCCCAGGCCATTGGGAAGGGCCACAGCACGTGGGAGGCTGAAGCAGGAAGTTTCAGTTGCAGCTGTTTCTGCCGCTGAAAGCCCCAAGGAGCACTATGGCAGCCCGCTTCGCAGCGTCGTGTCAAGCGCCGGGCGCTGACAGACTCAGGTCAAATTAACCTCGATGCTCCATGTCTTGCCAGCGATGAGCACCAACTATCCAGCTGCCCAGACGGCATTTCGACACTCATAGTCCTAGCTAGCTCCTTACACACGTCAACCATTAGTCGGCCTTAATGACTTGACCATACCCAGCAGCATCCGGTAGTCCAGAGAGGGCATGCGCCATGCCGTTGTGCAGATGCACTCAAGCGGCTTCTCCGCATCATGGCAGAGGCCTAGAAGGGGCATGTGCCGTTATCAACAAACAAGGAACGTGACAAGGCACCAAAAATAGGAAGACAGGCATGAGGGCAAGAAGGAACGAAGGAAGGAAGGACCGAGGGAAGGAGAGCCTTTGCCTGTTTACATCAGGATATGACGTATTTGCTCGTACATATCCATAGGTACGTGTCCATAAGTCCAAGTTGTTTGGCTGGCTGTCTATCTGTGTATCTGTCTGTCTTGATGGATGTGTAGGTGTATGTGTATGTGTATGTGTATGTATCTGTATGCGTACATGTACATGTATGTGTATAGGTATGTATGTGTGTATGTGTGTATGTATGTATTTTTGTACGTATGTGCTAGTTTGGGATATTATCTTGTCGCTGGTTGGCGACAAAAGGCATGGGGTAACTGGCACTTCAAACAAGATATGCCTGGCGTAAACTTAGAGATCCCACTTGGAGGCACTCCAGAATCAGAAACTGCCGGCTCGATGTTTCAGTCGAAGTATCCGGTTTGGATCAGGTCCTCGTTGTTGGCAGCACAGTAGCTTGCAGACCTCCGAGGCTGCAGCATGATTCCCCTCCTGACACGCCCTACCGCAAAAACCGATGCATCCGACCTGTCGATTTTTTACTTGATCAGGAATTGTATTTGTTTATAATTCGGTAACTCATGATGCCTCATGCTGTCACAGGCACGATGACCGCTTTCTCCAAGCGCAATCATGCTCGCTGCTCCCATCAGATGCTGGCCACGACCTGCCTTTCTGCTTGGGCGCAGGCATTGCAGCGGCAGTGCTGTAACTGTCTTTCGACCTCCGAAGTTAAAAGCTGGAGAGCCCGCTTAGTACTGGCCCGGGGGGCAATCCGCTCAGTAGGTTTCAGATTTGGAGGCACTGTGCGGTCAAATGCAAACATAGACAGGTTCAGCAAGGTGTCGGGAGCATGTCGCATCAACTTGTCATCTTAGTCTTCCAGCAAGCCACAAGCGAGCATGCAAGGAATGACTCCTCGTTCTTGGTTGGGGGCGCAAACAGCAACAGCAGAGTAGTGAGCAGTTCTCGGCCCCCAGAAAGGAAGTGAGAGGCCGCGAATCAAGCAACCAACACCAAGTTACAGAAGGCGATGCTGCCAGTACCAGTCGTCCCTAGTCACTTGTCCCACAACGGCCCAACTTTTCGATGCCTTCCTGGCAACATGAGCCTTCCAGGATGTGGGTGATAGCTCGAGCAGGGCACTGGCAAGACGACAAGCAGAGGATTGTGTGAGCTGCTGTCTTCGTAGTCTGTCGCCCTGTATGGCAGCACCAGCCTCTACGGGTGCATCCACCGAAAGCAGCACAACAAGTATGAAGCCGGTTTCAGCTTTTACCAGTAGGATCTTTGCCAGACGTGACGTGGCATGGCAGATTTACGCCCGTGGGCCGGTGATCTCAAGAAAGCGATGGAGCGCAGGAAAGACAAACCCAAGCTGCAACCAGGATCCATCACACGCCACTCAGGCTTCATGGGAGGGCGAAGTCCCCACACATCCACAGCAAGCAAGGGTGGAGGTCAAAGTAGACACAGCAACAGTCGACATTTCAATGATCAGGACTGAGGCAGAGGCGCTGGGTTTTCCTCACCCTCGACCACATCGGGATCGTTATCACCTAAGCGTAAGATACAGCTTGGTTGCTGGCATGACCATTCTTTGAGGGTCTGCACTTGCATGCGCAGGGCCGCAGTTCACACGCATCAGCAACTCCCCCTCGTAAAAGGGATGCAGAAAGCAGATTTCTACTGTTCCGTTGGTGCAATACTTCGTGGTGGCTCACGAGAGGATCTAGTTTGGGTTGGTAATTCGCACAGAAGCCAGTCTTTCAAAGACAGACGGCACTGATACAAAGAGTCTTCTGTTTTTGCCTTGCAGTCATTGCCCTCATACCGATACCTCATTATTCCTTAAGCAAGCTTAGGATCCGGGCCGTGTGCCCCCGAGCCTCTGCAAAGTTTCCGTCAGGTCGCAGCTCCCGCTCGCGCCGAGCCGTGGCCGTAGCCTCCTTTCTGGAGACGCTGAAAGCTGAAGCCACCCACACCGAAAGCGGCCGCAGCCGCGGCCCTCCAACAGCCTTTGGGGGATTCAGCTGCTTCTCTGCAGAGAGAAAGTCGTCACGAGGATAGCAGTCAGTAGTTTCACCACTGAATTGCTGGTCCCGTATCCCGGCGGTCCACACCCCAGCTCAATGCTGCCGTCAGGGGGTCGAAACGCTTGAAAGTACAGGCATGTAAAGGCGGGCAGGAAGCATCGAATGACTGCGAGGCTGAACGCATTGCAGCAAAGGGAAGTCCTCCAACAGTTTAAGTTGAGATCCGGATCGAGGTTTGATGGATCCAGATGTGTTCAAACCTAGACTCGTAACATCGGTGGCAGCAGAACATAGCAATTTGCAACCCGACGGCAACATGGTTCCTGCAAGAATGCTCACAAAGTCTTGGCCCGAGGCCACCCTCAGCGACACAAGATGCAATGGGACAGCAAGCCTTTGGACGTGCGTGATTCCTCGGACGATCTCATCATCGACCGCGAGGATGAGGCGAAGCATGCTCCAAATATGCCTGAAACGCTGGCACAGACCCTCAGCTGCAGGACTATCCCCCGGAACCGGAAGAGCTCGATGACGAAATCGGCCCCGTGGCTTTGACTGCAGTGGCCAGGACTTGAAGAGGACAAGTAATGGACCTGTGTGGGCTTGGGACGACTCATGAGTATCGGTGGCAGGTTATTCCTCTTTATCCGCCCAAACCTTCTGCGATCGGTGCCTCTGATGCAATTCGACCTTCTTTCGAAAGCTGTCAAAACCAAGACGTGGTTGAGCCTGCGCCATCACAGGAGAAGTTTTGGGACCATCAGCCAGCTGTCGAGTACAGTCTTCAGTAGATCGAGGTGATCTGCGAGGGGAATCCGACGGCCCTCGCCCCGCAAGCCATCTACTGCCCTTGGAAAAGGATGATGAGGCATGGCTTTTGGTAACTCCCTTCATCGAAGCACTTGTGTCGGTGTGAGGCTTCAATGCATTGTTGCGTCTGAGCGCGAAGGCGGCAATACCGTCATTCGCAGCAGCGCCACAAACAGAGGAGGTGCGAAGCGACACATCCAGTACTGTTGAAAGCTTCCGCAGTCTGTGGTTTCTTCACTCAACCTTGCTGATATCAGGCATCCGGCTATGTCAAAGAAACAAGGCCAACGCAAACATGTACATGGGAACTCGGGCCAGTGCCCGAGTACTCCGCCTTGCACGACCAGGCTGGATGTATTGGACAAGTGGCCTCCACCTCCACGCACGCTTCCAAGAATCAGGCGTCCACAGTCGAAATCTCTTGCAATCGGTCTGCTGGAAGGTGAGGATGGAGATGCTGATCTGCCTGCTGGACCAGTGCCGAGTGTCAAGGCAGGTGGGGCCTGGGGTGCCGACAGCCCGGCCCCACGCAGCTGCTCCTACCCTATGGCTACTCTAGTCCGTAGTATCCTTAGTCCAGTGCACCCAGCATCCCCACATCGTTTCTACAAGACTTGCTGCTCCGTCTTTCGGCACATCAATGCGCTTCACGCCCATGCAAGCTGGCCACGAACACGTAGTGAAGGTGGCAGGAACATCTTTCGACTTCTGGAAATCCGCGGATCGGACCAAATCGATCTGTGCAAATCTCCTGTCAGCTATTCGAACTGGCATGACCTTCTGCCTGTTAGCAGAGCTTCACTGTGTCACCGTGTCCATAGAATGGTGGAGCTCCGTCACCCCGACAACAAGGGTCTGCTCCTTCGGAATACCAACCAGCAGCAGGAAGGGGCGCTAACGGGAATGTTAACAGAAAAGTTATCGACTGCATTGATGCCCAGATATGCCCAGCCAATGTTGTGCAAACCGCGTTTTTGGGTAGATGCTCTCAAAACCACTTTCAAGATGAAGTTGCCGTTTCCTGCCTGGTCTGCTTGCAGTTGTATGCCGAACACCGGTATGCGGATGCTGAGAAGGCCCCGTCTTGCCATGCAGTTTGCAACGGCAATCGGAAACCAAAGTTCGCGACACTGGAAGGCAAACGAATCTTGGTCAGAGCTGCTTCGCCAACACGAGGAGGTCACGGTCAGACCTGCAGGGCGTTAGGGCGTTATCTTCATTCTGGGATCCTCGGCCGCAGGCGAAAGAGGCTGCGACAGCCAAGCCTACGTTCGAGGCTGCGGCTGCTATTGCAAGCGAGACTACTTGAATAGAAGAGTCAAGTCAGATGGATCTATAATGTCCTGGCCAGGTTCACTTGAAAGATGATGCAGCCGAGCAAGACCAAGACTCCTCCGGAGAGCTGTACAACAGCCCCAACGCTGACAATGTCATCCCGCCAGAGCTCAGAACTGGGCTCGAGCGGTAGCGAGATTGGCAAAAAAGCGATGCATGCTGCATGCCGTGTAGAGGCATCACGTACTGGACCGAAGCATGACTGTGTGCTCACTTGAGATTGCACAAGCTGCCTACAGTCAGCTCACTTGCATGAAAGTCAAGTTTTCTGCGATGAGACATTTTAAATGTCGGTGGCGCAACTCTCGGTGGCACTCATGACCTGAGGAAGCACTTGGTCCTTTCGCATTTCTCGGCGAGATATGCACGGACGTCTGAGGTCTGCGATGTGTGGGTATGAGTAGGGCCTCGCTCTGCAACGTGCTTGCAGGCAGATCAGTCGATTCCAGACCCAGCTCAGAAGTTGGGCGACGAGGCCTGGAGTTGGGCAGGCGTGACCGGTTGAAATGACAAGACTCGAGGCACGAGAGATTCTCGGAGATGATGTCAAAGTCACTGTCGCGCAGGACTGGCGATGCGGTACTCGTATCTTTACAACCAAATTGATTAGCTCTCGTCCGTCGGGATGCCCTAGCATGCCCTGGCATTCAAATTGCCATACTGAATCAAGCTCGAGAGGATTTCATGGCACTGCACCCGGTGTTTTCGAAGCAGCGTGGGCCTTGGCAGTCACATTCAAAAGGCTTGTAACTGGACAAAGGTTCTGCGAGGTGATCACTTTGATCCAGAGTCGGGACCTTTAAATACGCGCCCCTGTGTAAGACAGTACGTGAAGCTCGGCTGAGGCAGGAACTTGCCGTGAAGAAATATCCATGGCACCGAGAGACATCGGCTGCAGCCCTGTCACTCTTTGCTGACTTTCGAGGCTGTAAACAGAATGTCTTGGATTGAGGTTTGGCCCACAAAGTCTGGGTGTTCCTGTTGCGACTAAGCTACGCGAGTTGGAAAAAGAGGACGTGCCTGTCTTTCAGTATATATATATATGTGTGTGTGTGTGTCAGCCTTTGAAAATCCTTGAAGCAGTCCTTCCGTTCGCAAGACCTTATTGAACGGCCAGGCACAGGCGGCCCCAGCCAAAGCCTGACGTCTAGTCACACCAGTGAGTGAAGAAACTGCAAGAAAGAGACTGCTTGGCAAGTTGCTCATCAATCCAATGCACTCCACTGGTGGTTCCTGAAGGTTCCAGACTTTTTGCTCCGCTTTACAGTAAGACCTCTGCATATGCAGTGGCAACATCTTGCTAGTGAACGATTTGAGCCTTCAACAAGGCACAGATTCGTTTTGTTAATCTTAAAGTGGCTTTACGGCCTGCGCGCACCAGTGTTTTCCAGCGCTGAGAGGGGGACGACCGCGTCAGCTTGGATCTTGGACTGGTTCCACCTTCAAGTTGTCGCACCTTTTTCGCAGCGGTTTCACGAATGCTGCGCCGATAATGTCATGCAGCTGCCATCTTTGATCCATGTCCGTAGCCACAAAGCTGTGCTGAGCTGCACAAAAGTGCGAATTTCTAGCAGAGCTTTCGGGTGGGGATACATCCCGCACTTTGCCATCACGACTTGCAGGTTCGGGCTTGTCTAAGAGATGTTGATTACGCACTGTCGGAATGCCGTGCTATGTCCTTGGCTCAAGATACTTTTCCTGCAAGTTCCCGCCAACTGGCAAAAGCCTTACTCCCCTTGGAGGAGTTGCCCGAAGACTTTGGTGTCGTGCTCAGGCGATGGGGCGTCTTCTCCCAGGTCGCCCACGGGCGGAAAGGCACCGGTTCAGTCACTCTGTTCGGTCAGAGGGAGAGAGATTCCGCCCGGAGGCGGGCCCTCACAAGCCTCGCGCTTGCTTCTGTGTTGTCCTGGCCTAAGCACAAACATCAGCCTTGGGCAGTCAGAGTCTGCTTCGCGAAGAGCTAGGATTGGCATCTCCTGGACTTGGTCTGCCACGTGCTTCGGAGGCAAGATCGCACAAGCTCTATGCAGCTCGATGAATGTCTCCTACCGAGGCAAAAAGAAGAGCAAGGACTAAACTGCGATGTGACCAGTGTCTTGTGATTGTTTTGGGGAGTCTGGCTGGACGATGGCTCATAGTGGGGGGGTGTCTCGCGAGTACTGCACAGCTGCGATCTTTCATAAAGAGCTCCTAGTTCCTAGTGCCAACCGCCGGAGGACGTACCTGCCGATGAAAAGGCAAGAATCATCAGCATCCTCGGTCGCGAGGCGTGGCTTCTTGCAGGATGTCTGTGCACTTGCCTGGGTTCGTAATTCGCAGAAGACGGCAATGACTCCATTCTTCAGGCTTGAAGTCCTTTTTCTCACCTTGTACATTGGCTGTCGATTTCTTTCAACTTAACGATGTGGATCCGTCGTGGTGATGGAGTGAGTCCTCTGCCCATCTCTGAGCTTCCGCTGTTTGCATATCTTTGCATCCAAGCGGGGGTTGTGGATCCTTAGATGCCGCACCCCTGACTTGCCAATTGATACACAACATTGCCGTGCATTCCAGACCACTGCTAGACTCGTAAAGCCCGCAACAGCATTCGCTGCCTTCGATGAGCTATCGCGCGGCGCGGAAGACAATTGAAATGGTCAGGTTCTCTAGAGGAAGGTAGGATTTTGGTGCTTGCGGGCACGGATCAGCCCAATCACGAGTTTGCAGCACCGAACTTCAATGCAACGTACAAGCAATCCAACGAGCTCCCAGAAGACTGTAAAACAAAAAGGAATTAAATGCGATGCCGAGAGCTTGCCGTTGCGTTTGGGAGCAGTAGTCGCTTACATCTCGTGTTGAAACAGCCAGACAGTTTTGTACAGAAAGGTTGATGCTGTGTAAAGTATGAGATTACTGTTCGAACTGTTTTGTCTGCTCTTGTGTTTTGACTCGGGGGTCTTGTGCGCAAGCTCCAGACTCCAGACAGCTTGCGATGATCCAGGTTGTTGACAGCCGAGGGAACCCGACCGTAGAAGCAGAGCTGACCACAGGCAGGCCACTCTTGAACTAGCTGGTTCAGTGCGCATTGGACGACCGGAAAGGATATGGAACTGTTCGTGCTGTGGTGCCCAGCGGGGCTTCAACAGGAATCTACGAGGCCGACTGCTGTTCTTCATTCTGTCTGAGCCCGCGCTTGAACTGCAGGCGCTGGAACTGCGAGACGGCGGCAGCCGATACGAAGGACCGGCGGCACGCGGCCTCGAGGCCTTGACTCCAAGTTCTGTGAGGACAAGGCGTTTCCAAAGCTGTGAACAACATCAACCGTGTGATCGCGCGATGTGCCAAGCCGCCAAGCCAAGCTTGACCTTCCCTCAGCAGTTCGCATCCACAGGCCGAAGCTCAAAGGAAAGGATGTCCGCTTTCAGAAGGACACCAACAGTTCGTCTTCGTACACTTGAGTGTTCAGCAGCTGCCTGAAATCCGGTACTAGTAACATCATGACGGCATCCAGCGGCCGCAAACAAAAACACAGACACACAGGTACATAGAGACATAGAGAGACGGAGGCTGTCAAGTCGGAATTCGTCGCTGCCTGTAGAGTGAAGCACACAAGCCAGAGCGTAAGATTCAAAGGGCTCTAATCCACAGGATGGAGTTTTGAGATTCCTGTCTTAGGGGTTTAAGGCTTTGGGATTTTAGGGTTTACGGAAAGTTTAGGGCCTTGAGGACTTAGGGCTTGAACGGGCCGGGCTGGGTTGAGGTTTCTAGGGTTAGGCGTACCCTCAGCATCCTTTAGCATTGGTGGTCTTGACGGTTCAGGTTGTTTAGGGTTTAGGGTCTTTGGTTGCGGGGTGTAGGTTTCTAGTGGTTCAGGGTTTGCAGGATTTGCGGCTTTCTGGTTTCAAGAAATGTTTCAATTTTTTGGCCGTCCAGGCTGCGAAATTCCCACTGATCAGAGCGTTTGTTGTGTCCTCCATGTATGAATCTGGCGTGCGAGTCCACCTCCGTCTGCAAATCAGTGCACGACTCCGTTGTTCCAGTGTGTCAATGGATCTCCTACCTCCGCAAGTTTATATCCACCCTGAACTGAACTGGCCACGGCCCGAACTCCAAGAGTAGGCTGCAGAACCCACGGTCGATCCAATTTGAGAGTGCCATTGCCGTCATGGTTTATGCATTGGAAACAAGTGAACTGTGAGGATCTCGATGAGCTGATGGTGGCAGCCAGAGTTTTTTGGACACTTCGAGCAGTGCTGCAGTTTATGTGCCGGTATGTCTGCAGATATTCAAGCTGGATGGGACCGAGAACCAGTGGGGTCATCCAAAGGCCTGGACGAATTGCAGTCTGGCAGATGTGAAGCTGGCGACTGTTTGGTTGAGAGGCAAAACTGGGGGCCAACGCGATCCTTTGCTTATTTTCGGATGACCTGCATCGCATGACTGAGCATGGCATGGTGTTGATTGCACCCACATGTCATGCTTCCCTTACTTACTCCGGACTCCACGCTCTGGTTCACTCCCCACTCCCGTTCACTCTTCACGCCCACTGACTCCTCATTCCCTCCACGCCCACTCTCACCCTCACCTTCACTCTCGCCCTCACCCTAACTCTCATCACTCACCTTCGCTCTCGTTCCTACCCTCATTCTCGCCCTCACTGTAACTCTCCATCCCTTGCCTCTTACCCTCACTCACTCTCACTCTCACTCTCACTCTCACTCTTACTCTCACTAGCACTCTCATGTTGCACTTCTCTTTCTCTTTCTCTCTCTCTCTGTCTCTCTCTCTCTCTGTCTCTCTGTCTCTCTCTCTCTCTCCCTCTCTCGCTCTCTCTCTCTCTCTCTCTCTCTCTCGTTCTCTCGCTCCCCAGTGAACTACAAAGTGAAGTGTAGGGTTCGGCGTGTGTTTTCGAGCAGAACCACTGCTAATCAATCAAAATCATACTACTTGTGCCAATGTAGCGCAAGACATGCTGAAAGCAACAGCCGCATACATAGCAACAGCATAATCATAAACCCCGACGCACAAGATGACCTGTAGGGTTTTAATTGCTTGTCACGAACTACTGCAAATCCATGGAAATAACAGTATCTCTACGAAAAGTATACCAAAACACAAGCAGATTCAGAGAAGGGACACAGCAAATAACAAAAGCACGCAAAAGTCAACATGCAGCATCAATTGTCTGGATCCTTGCCTGGCCTAACCCAAGCAGAGACTCAGGATCCTGGCTGTCTCAATGCCAGAGACCCGGAATTTGTTCGCCGGGTGACAAGCTCAAAAAGCCGCCCTGGCCGCCCGCCTGCTAAGGGCAATCTGCCGAGCAGGAGCAGAGGCTTTCGGCTGCCGCCAAAGAAATATCCGGGTGGGAGGTCAGCCTCGGCTTCTGCTCAGCCATGCTCAGCCTAGGCCTGGAACTTTTCGAATACATTGGTGAGCTGAAGGAGACCAACTTTGAGGTGCGCGTCTCCAATCACAGATATAGCCTAAACTCCCGAACCCTGCAAGCGGGCTCGCTAACGGACGATTTTACAGTGTTTTGCAGTTCCTTCTGGGTCAGGGCCTTTTGCACTTAAATTCGGGCTTGCTAGATAGCGTGGCAGGTACGACACATTCGCTACATTTTTTGGCTTAACTCAAGAATCTTGAACTGTTGCTGTCTTTGCTTCTGAGGACTCCCACGGCGCAGGAACTATACGTGAGTTTCTGCGCCCTGATTTGCTGCGTTTTTGAAGATTGCTTTCTTGGGTGTTTGGGGGGGGCGGGTGGGGGGATAATGACGTACATATCGGGCTTTTCAGCGACCGCCTCTGGCCAAGCGGTTCTCGAGTGAGAAATACCATTCTCGGTACTGCCGTGTCCACAGCTCGGACACCGTGCGCGCGCACGCGCTCCCCCTTCATCTTTCCAGCACCGCCGAATGAATGAGTGAATTGATGCATGATTGACTGAACGAATGAGCGCGCCCACCCAATGAATGAATCCTTCTTCCCTCGCCCACTCAAAGAGTGAATGGATCAAGGATTGAATTAACCAACGAGCGCTTGCGCCCTTCATTTCTTCTCCGCCCAATGAATGAGTTACTGGATGAGTGAATGAACGAAGGAGCGCGGAAGCTCTGAGTCGAAGGGCGTGCTCTTGCCTGCGTTGCCCGCCTCTGGGCTTCGCCCCTTAAATAATATGCACCAAACCACTTTTCTAGTTATTAAGGCCCCTGCATGACAACTCTGCATTGATAACAAAGAATCCCGAACTCCAAAGCCTGGCTGAAACACCTTTGACCATAAAGTCCATAGCCATACATAGTTGATGCGTCACCACTCTTGATGGCATAGCATAACACAACATAGCATAAACAAGAATGGTTCCAAGACTCCAGTATCATTCCGAAAAACCTCAACATAAGCTTCCTGAAACCTTTTTTGCCGCTGAACCAGAAACACGAAATCCCGAAAAAACCCAGTCGAAACCACCCCTGTTCGTGAACCCGCTGGGCAAACCCTGGAAGAAGATCGATCCAGTCAGGTGGAACATGTGGATGTTCAGCGTGCTCGTCACAAGAAGTACAAGATGACTGCGCCTGAGTAAATCACATGCTGGACCAAGATTGATGAAGTCAGAAAGTGATGCGGAAGGGTGCTGTCCGCCATGATGTTTCGGTTCATTAGATTTGCGACTGGTCAGCAGACTATCCAGCACCCGGTCAGTCCAGCAGGCCTGTTCCGATGATGAATGTGATCAACGGTGGCCGGCATGCCGGAAACAAGCTGCCAATGCAGGAGTCGAGATAACTGCACTTCTTGTGTCTCGCATGACCTTGTTGGCTTCTCGAAGGAGTTTATGATTTCTCCAACGGGGGCCAAGACCTTCAAGGAGGTGCGGTGTGGTGCTGGATGTCGGCAATGGCTAACAATTTGTCTGCAGAGTTTTTGGCTTCGAGTTCAGAAACCCGTACCTCACTTTTTTCCTCACCTTATTGCAACAACTTCCTCCCTCCGTGGATACAATCCCATTGAGCATCCCCAACAGCGGAATAGTTGTCTTTGGGTTCATATTATAGGTCATCAGACAAGCTGACAGAGCTGCGGATGGGTTGTCCGTGCCCGACCAATATTGATGCTGAAACCAGGGCCGAATGCGTTTAGCAGGCCTTGAACAGTTTATGGGTTGCTGCTGAACCATGGCGAGTTAAACTTGTTCGGTGTGGGCTGGCATTGAGCAGCAGTTTTGTCGAAACTAGGGCCGAATGCGTGTAGCACGCCTTGGAAGATGCATTTGGGCTGGTCGGAGCTCCGGGAACTGAATTTGATCTGTTTGTGGATGGCTGCATTTTCGGGTTTAGGGATGGCGTTGCACGAGATTCGTTGAAACTAGGGCCGAGTGGATCCAGCAGGCGGGGAAAGCTTTGATTAGAGCCTCGGGAGTGGAGCCAGGGACACCAGCAAAACTGAAGCAAGTCTAAATGTATAGGTGCCTTTGACTTTGTTTGGAGCCTTGTAAACTAAATTATTTTTGTGCAGATATGCCAGCTGGGCTCGCCCGGTTGTGCATGCAGCAAGCCTGCGCCAGAGCTTTTCTCTGGCTGTGGGTTTAGAGGGGTCTTCTGTGTTTGGCCCTCTTGGGGTTTTTCCCTTGGGGTTGGGTTTTTCTTGCTTCCAGCTGGAAGGTGCAAAGGCGTTGGGGTCAGCTGCGCAGGCTGATCGTGCTTAAAGGGCTCTTGCTTTCTTTGGCGCTTCTCACTGAGGGGTTGGTTTTAGGTGCCTCTGCGGTTCTTGCTGCTTAGGCTCGGGTTTTTCTCGCTTCCTGTCGGAAGTCACAGTGGCTTTGCGAGTCGGCTGCGTTGGCCGACCGCGCTTACAGCAAAGGTGCGCGTTCTTTTCTCTTCCCGCTTCGGCGGCCCGTTGGTGCAGCAAGCCATCCCAGTGAGGGACGTAGGCCACTGCACTGTAAAGCTTACACACACACACACACAACTAAATTATATAAAGCATTTGAAGTGTAGTGTTGAACTCCAGATTTGTTGAAACCAGGGGCGAACTCGTTTAGCAGGGTTTGCAACATGCATTTGGGCTTGGTCGGAATACTTCGGCAGCTAAAACTTGCGCCGCATGCGTTCGGTAGGCCTAGGAAAAGGCAGTTCATGGGTCGCTGCATGTTCGATCCGGAACCAACGCCCCCTTGCGGAGCAGTTGAGTAGCAACAAACGCGAAATACGTGGCCTGGCCAGCGCAATATTTTGTATTTTGTAAACGAAGGCACTGCAGATTGGCTCTGAGGTGGGCCGGGTGGTGCAGCGTGTACTTGCCATACATCGGGCTGCCGGCTTGCAGCACAGACAGACAAGTTCTTCGTAGGTCTATCACTCACTCAAGAATGTGGTGGTGGCCAAATACGGCAAATCAGCAGCGGCAGTCGGCGACGAAGGCAGATCTGAATCAATCATCAGCTTGCGCTAATTTGAGGCCAAGGCTCCTTGGTGGTTTGCAGGAGTTCTGTTTCCGATTCTGCATACTGTTTTGGGCTTGTGGAGGTTTTGGTATCCCTGCACCACACCGCGGTATCACGGGGCCGGGAGGGCGGGGGGCGGGTGCCGGCACTTTTTAGGGAATGGCTTCACTGTAGGGAATAAATGTGTAGCGGTGCGGTCTGGATTCGGATCTGAGAGCGCCACTGTCCGAAATCGATGACTCTGTGCTATGCAATTGGCTAGTTTTGGGGGGGGTTGTCTACTTGTGGTTGTGGCTGCGGCTGTTGCTGTTGGTGTCGTCGTCGTCGTCGTCATCGTCGTCGTCCTCGTCCTCTTCGTCGTCGTCGTCGTCGTCGTCGTCGTTCTTCTTATTGTTCTTGCTGTTGTCGTTGTCGTTGTCGTTGTGTTGTTGTTGTTGTTGTTGTTGTTGTTGTTGTTGTTGTTGTTGTTGTTGTTGTTGTTGTTGTTGTTGTTGTTGTTGTTGTTGTTGTTGTTGTTGTTGTTGTTGTTGTTGTGGTTGTTGTTGTTGTTGTTGTTGTTGTTGTTGTTGTTGTTGTTGTTGTTGTTGTTGTTGTTGTTGTTGTTGTTGGTTGTTGTTGTTGTTGTGTTGTTTGTTGTTTGTTGTTGTTGTTGTTGTTGTTGTTGTTGTTGTTGTTGTTGTTGTTGTTGTTGTTGTTGTTGTTGTTGTTGTTGTTGTTGTTGTTGTTGTTGTTGTTGTTGTTGTTGTTGTTGTTGTTGTTGTTGTTGTTGTTGTTGTTGTTGTTGTTGTTGTTGTTGTTGTTGTTGTTGTTGTTGTTGTTGTTGTTGTTGTTGTTGTTGTTGTTGTTGTTGTTGTTGTTGTTGTGGTTGTTGTGGTTGTTGTGGTTGTTGTTGTTGTGGTGGTGGTGGACCGGTGTTCCAGTGTCCAATCTTCCATCATCAGGAGGGATTAGGGTTCCGAGTCTGGAAAGACGCAAACTCGTACACTGCGCTTCGTCAGGAGTTATTGAGAACTGTCGGTAGTGTATGGTTGTGTTGTCGCATGTTTTCGCGTTGTCTCGCCGAAGCTGCGAAAACTCTCAATATGCCACACAGTGAGCGTGCTGTGCACAGTTGCGAGCTTTCTCGCTTCTCTTGTACGCCGCTGCCAGGTGGGTTTGCCCCGAACATCCAGGACCCAATGTCCACCTCCAAAGCGGTGTAGTCTGCACTTGCAAGTAACCAGGAGAACGACGAGGGATTGCAGGCATTAGTGGATGCGATCAAGGAAGCTGGCCACACTGGCAAGGCCACAGAAGAAGCACCTGAAGTTTGATGTCTGTCCGGGTTGGAGCGGGCTAACATGTTCAGAGGTGAAGCTCGCCATGGACATTGCTGCATCGGAGTTCTACAGTCATGAGGACTTGCCGGCTGGCCGTGTGTGCTGGAGCGTGTTACCTGTTACCTCTCTCTCATTCTTTTCTCTCTCCTGACACGCAAGCATAAAGAAACGCGTACATCGTGGGCGGACTGGCGGAACAGCAGAGCTTTGCTCGTAACAGAAAAGCAGGACAAGACCTACAACCTTGGCTTCAAGGCCATCTTGAAAAGAGTTGAATGCCGCGGGCAGGCGAGCATTTCAGATGGTTTCAGCCAGGTTGACAATCCAGCTCCGTCCTTGGTCAAGAACAAAGATCAACTCATGGAATTCTACAAGGACATCATCTCCAGGCGTGGCGGTGCCGGGCATCATCTTACTTACTGCAAGGCCCCCCTCTTCGTTGTAGCATTGGCTGTGGCCGCCTGTCAGATATCCGATCGTGTCGATAGAGGATCCCTTTGACCAGGCAGAAGCCTCATCTGCGTGCGATCGCCCATGCCTTGCAATCCAAAAAGTCACAGGATGACTGGGAGGCTTACGGCCAGATGGTGCAGGCACTGTCGTCTTGCAAGCCTCTCGAGAGCAAGCCATCCAGATGTAGATGGATATATGGTACCTGAATATGAGATGTTGTCTTAAGCAGGAAGTCGGCAAGGATGTCCAGATAGTTGGCGACGACCTGCGAGCTTCTAAGAGGGTGACATCAGTCGTGTGCCTGGGCCGGCCTTGTGCAGTGCGGGATCGGCAAGGCTTGTCACGAATCCGAAAAGGATTGAGTATGCCAAGGAGCACAAGGCGGACAGTTTGAGCTTGTGTCAGCCCAACTGCGAATACTGTTGCAGGCTGCCAACGCTCTGCTTCTCAAGGTCAATCAGATTGGAAGCATCAGTGAGGCCCAGCATCAGGCACATGGCATGCAGCAGGCAGTGGACAGCGACAGCGTTGCAGGCTGTGACAGCCTATCTTGACAGCCACGCAGATGGCTGGGGGGTCATGGCAAAGCCCTCATGATAGTAGACGTGTTAAGGCGCTACTTGCCGTATTTGATGCTAAGCTTTGAAGGTTTCTCACCGCAGTGGTGAGACAGAAGACACATTCATTGCTGAGACCCTGGCAGTCGGCTTGATTATCAGCGTTCCGGCATGGCCTTGAAGATGCTGAGGCAGACCTGGCAGTGGGCCTGAGCACTGGGCAGATCAAGCAGCAGCCTGAGCCGATTGCTTTCATTTTCGACTCGTCCCTGCATGCTTTCTTCCAGGACCGGCGCCCCCTGCCGCTCCGAAAGAGTCGCAAAGTGCCGATCCAAGCAGAGCAGGGCAGTGTCAGCTGAACCTTGCAACGCCAGGTATAACCAGCTACTTCGAATTGAAGAGTATTTGGGTCGCAGGGCCTACTATGTCAGAAACTTACTGCACTGTCTAGATGCCTGTGTTCGTCGCATGTTTGACTTTTTCGCAGACAGGCTGGTGACGGCTTCCGGGACTCCTGAGCCTGCGGCGCCTGCATCCAAAGACTTGATCGCAGGAGACGTGCCAGAACCGTCTCTGCAGACACGCCCACCGCAACAGGCCAAACTCAAGTACTCCTTTGCATCTTCCCGTGTTGCAGTGCAGGTGCCTGCAGCTGTGTACAGTACCGATTTTCGTGTCGCAGCTAGACTCACATCACGGATGATGCAAATGGACGGGAAGACTTGGAGTTGAGGGCTGCACCCCACTTTCTGATTTTGTCCTCGGTGAGTCTGCCCTTTACAGCGACACATGGCATCCTTGACCGGGTTTCACATCCGGCCCGATCTACTACAAGGAGCCACTTAATTACTTGTGTGCATCTCGTGCCAGCATATTCATCAAGAAGCTGGGTACAGATTGAAGCATGGTCCGTTGATCATGGCCTTTTGAATCCCCGCGAAGAGCTTCTGAAATAGCATGGCTACAAGATCTACAAGCATAGCCGGGTATCGGAACAAACATGTCAACTTATGTCAACTGGAAACTGAAACAAACGCGTGCCGTGATCAAGGTGAATGCGTACTCCCTCGGAAGGCAGTGAATGCTGCACTTCATGTTGCTTATGTCTCAGAGTCTGCCAGGCGCAATTGGCGCCCTGCCGACCTTCAAACCTATGTAATCACAGTCAAGAGCCTGCCGAGGTCCCAAAATGTCACCGGCATGAGCAGCAATTCCTTTGGACATTCTTTCGATGTTTTCTATTCTAGGGAGTCGAGTCTTCAGGCGGCAGATCGTACAACCCATCATGCCAGGTTAACCTTTTTATCCGTGGCTTTGGCTGTGTTCGTGCCCAGTACCGGTAACCTGTCATCATATGCATATACATATACATATATATATATATATATATATATATATATATATATATATATATGCTAGCCCCCCCCCCCCAAGACCAACCCTGAATTCCCTAAATTCCTTAATTCCCTACCCATTGGAATTAGGGAATTCCCTATTTCCCTAAATTCCCTAAATTCCCTAATTCCCTACCCCATGTGTTGGATTTAGGGAATTCCCTATTTCCCTAAATTCCCTAAATTCCCTAAATTCCCTAAATTCCCTAAATTCCTTAAATTCCCTAAATTCCCTAAATTCCATAAATTCCCTAAATTCCTTAAATTCCCTAAATTCCCTAAATTCCCTAAATTCCTTAAATTCCCTAAATTCCCTAAATTCCCTGAATTCCCTACCCATGAACGGAAACCACTGAATCTGATCCATGGGGGTCAGAATTAGGGAATTCAGGGAATTTAGGGAATTTAGGGAATTTAGGGAATTCCCTAAATCCTACACATGGTCCTGGCTGGGAGTCAGGAAAGTTAGGCAATGCGCTAAAACCAACACATGGGGCTGGAAATTAGGGTATGTAAAGACTTTAGGGATTTAGGGAGTCTGCAGGAACTCACGCATTCTGTAAATTCGAGGCATGGAAGCAGTGATTAGAGAATTTAGGGAACTCGACCTCGCGACGTCGCCGGTTGACGGGTCTGTGCAACTGATACTTGTATAGTAATATTGATATTATTTTGAAAATTTTGAAAACTATAATACTCGTACGAGTACTAATACTTATAGTAATAGTACTGGTGAAACTGATAGTAATGCTAGTATGAATACTGATGTTCCCAAGAATACTAGAAATCATGTACATTGTAAGAATAGTCTTGATGCGAATACTAATATACATACTATAGCTAGTATTATCGCTAGTATGAATATTGGCTACGCATATTCGTGAAATTACTCATTTTCGGAGTACTCATAGTCATGCTAATATTAGCATTAAGGCTAGTGCGAGCGTGCATAATAAAATGCTCATACATGAATGTTAGCATTCGTATTTATATCAGCATTGCCAGTAGTACTAGTAACTCATACGAAGAGTAACCTCAAGTTTCATATTCCGACGAATACCAACGCATGTTTTGTTCATACTAATTTTAATTCTACTACTACTAGTATCTACTCCTAGTATTGAAAAAATTGTACCAATACCAATTTTAGAACTGATGTGAACACGAACTTTAATGTTCTTGCCAATACTAATATGCATAGTAATATTAGTTAGCATTAATGTATAGGAAAACTAATGTTCTTGCGAATACTAATAATCATGTTCCCCTTTTATATTCATATAAGAATCGTCATGCCTAGATACGTACTAATGCTAGTACTCATGCTAATACGAGCATTAATACCAATACAAGCATAGGTATGAATATTCCTACGGGTATTTATGCTCATGTTCTTAACAAAATTATTCTCAGTACGAATACCGACATTAATAGTCTCTTTAGAACAATATTGATATTAGTATGAACACTAATACTTCGGCTAGTACGAACATGCATAATACTAGTAAAATTATTTGTGCTCATACAAATATAGAAAGATTATCACATACTCATATTAATATCAATGCCATCATGAATTTACAAACATCATATTAATGTCAATATCGTTTTTGTAATGTATACTAAAGAACACATCAGAATAAGGCACAAGAAAATGAATGCATCAGATTGTTAAAAACTCAATGTTTTCATTTACCAATATGTATGGTTATAGTATTATACTAATATACTAAAAAAAATTATATACTAATATACTGGGAAACTGATATGCCAATAGACCATTTTAATATACCAATATACGAGTATACAGAAAACTGTTTTTGTTAATATACATGTTTTGTTTATATACCAATATACTGAATATACACATATGAATACTGATACACATAATGTACTAAGACTAAGTTTTTAAGGCCCAGCCCACGTCTAATATTAATACAAATACTAACACGAACACTAACACCAACACTGCTTTAGACATATATTAAACTAAAACTGGAGCACTGATACTCATATTAATATTAAGATTAACACTGACGTTGACACTGACACCAGCATCAGCACTAACAGGAACATTAATCAAACGAATAGTACTATTGGACAGATACCAGCAGCATGGCATTGTTAGAACTTCTAAAATCAGTAATGACACAAAACTAATACTAATGCTAACGCTAGCAAAATATTAAGGTTACTACTCACAATCATTAAAGTTAAAACTTAGAACAAAATTAAGTCAAGACCAATGTTAACACTGTTTTTTAAGACTGAAGCTGAGAATAAGACTTTGACAAGATGACGATAATTAATAAAGGATGAGGCACATAAACTGGACTCTGACTTTTACCACTCCGACAAGACGCGCCCAGAGTGTAAATGGTGTCCATAAAACTGAACCCTGTTTTTTACCAGTCTGTCAAGAGGCGTCGAGAGTGCAAACTTTGTACGGGAACACAAACACCATCGGTATTTACAGTGGTTTCGGCTCTTATCCATGACGCTGTGAAGACAGTAGTGAGCAGGACAATGGTCGAGGTTGGTCCTGGGGGGGGGGTTACCATATATATATATATATATATATATATATATATATTTATATATTCCTGTCAAAACTTGCCGGGGCATCTTGAATCTTGAATCCTGGAGGGGCCGGCTTGAAATTCAAGCCGGTTTCAAGCCATTTCAAGCCGGGTGGTTGGGAACTGCGCGGCTTGAAATGGCTTGAAACCGGCTTGAATTTCAAGCCGGCCCCTCCAAGAGTGACAGACACACAGGACTCAGACAGACAGGACTCAGAGCAGACACACAGGAATCAGACAGACAGGACTCATACACACAGGACTCAGAGCAGACACGCAGGACTGAGACACGGTTCACTCCCCCCCAAACGGGTAGATCACTCGGGGGCGGGGGTACCATATAGCTGCCCCCCCCCCCCCCCCCCCGAGTTATCTACCCGTTTGGGGGGGGAGTGAACCGAATGGTTCGTTTGGCGGGCCGCGGTGTGGAGCACGGCCATGCCTGCTCTCACACCCGCCCGTTCTACGTGGGGTTCTCCCACACGCAGCCTTGGGTCGATCCTTTGGCGGGCCGCGGTGTGGAGCACGGCCATGCCTGCTCTCACACCCGCCCGTTCTACGTGGGGTTCTCCCACACGCAGCATTGCGTTGATCCTTTCACGGGCCGCGGTGTGGAGCATGGCCAGGCCTGCTCTCGCACCCGCCCGTTCTACGTGGGGTCCTCCCCGCGCAGCAATGACCGGTATATAAGATAGAGCTGTAGCAATGAGTCATTAATAATTAAGCAGTTTCGCCATTGCGTGCAACATGCAAGGGTGCAGACTTCGTCATACCAGGCTGTATCACCACAACACACAGACGATACGAAGTTGTAACCCAGGCCGACTTCTTTTATAAGAGATCAAACACAGACGGCGGTATACCCTCAGGCGTGACATGAACCACAAAGCTGTCGAGCGCATCGAGAAGAGCTTGGCCTTCACTCGCAAGGCATATGTTGAATCTGAACAGAAGCTCATGCGCTTCGGGTTCACCAAGGGCCACAAGTGGATGGAGGTCGAGGCAGACGAAGCGGTCTTCGACAGGCCGAAGATTCGCCTGCGCAAAGCAGAGTGATGAAGTGGGAGCAGTGGCTCGGCATGGTCGCCCGCGGCAAGCCATCCTCGTTGGTATTGATCCGATTGCCCTGCGTGACCACACGCAAGAGGGCACCAGGCCCAGGGGCTATCAAGAAGGTGCATTGGACGAAGATTGCCAATACCTGGCTCAAAGGTCGCAACATCATACTCCACACCGATAGCGCTCGCAGCTACAAGGCCAAGGTGGCAGGAGTCCTCCATGAGAAGAAACGTGTTTGGAAAGCCGGGAAATGGATTTGGAAGCCTCCAACCTTTGTGCGCATCGCAAAGCACACGCTCCCTGATGGCCGCAGGCTGACTGTGAAAGCGGGAACGCAGGTGGTGGATCGCGCATGGCGATACATCAAAGACCGCCTCAAGATCAACCAGAACGTGAAATGCAACTCCACCCTCCTGCAGGCAAAGATCCGTTCCGCTCAATTTGAGTACTGGCAGAGAGGCAAGGATGCTTGGGCCAGCACCGGGGAGCTCTTCACATGGTACATGAGCAACATCGCAGAGAAGTTCTGAGATACACAGTCACCAGGACCAATCTAGCATGAGTAGTTCGCAGGCTGACAACACAATCTTGCACGGGGTTACACGCTCGGCTGCATACAGCACAAAACCCGGCTGCTCATCTGCTGCACATCAAACTCAGCGAAGCCACGTCCTTGCCGATGTAGTTTAGAAGACGGACAGATCATAACGCCTGAGGGTATACCGCCGTCTGTGTTTGATCTCTTATAAAAGAAGTCGGCCTGGGCTACAACTTCGTATCGTCTGTGTGTTGTGGTGATACAACCTGGTATGACGAAGTCTGCACCCTTTAGGAGACGGACAGATCATAACGCCTGAGGGTATACCGCCGTCTGTGTTTGATCTCTTATAAAAGAAGTCGGCCTGGGCTAGAACTTCGTATCGTCTGTGTGTTGTGGTGATACAACCTGGTATGACGAAGTCTGCATCCTTGCATGTTGCACGCAATGACCCATTGCTACAGCTCTATCTTATATACCGGTCATTGCTGCGCGGGGAGGACCCCACGTAGAACGGGCGGGTGCGAGAGCAGGCCTGGCCATGCTCCACACCGCGGCCCGTGAAAGGATCAACGCAATGCTGCGTGTGGGAGAACCCCACGTAGAACGGGCGGGTGTGAGAGCAGGCATGGCCGTGCTCCACACCGCGGCCCGCCAAAGGATCGACCCAAGGCTGCGTGTGGGAGAACCCCACGTAGAACGGGCAGGTGTGAGAGCAGGCATGGCCGTGCTCCACACCGCGGCCCGCCAAAGGATCGACCCAAGGCTGCGTGTGGGAGAACCGCACGTAGAACGGGCGGGTGTGAGAGCAGGCATGGCCGTGCTCCACACCGCCGCCCGCCAAACGAACCATTCGGTTCACTCCCCCCCCAAACGGGTAGATAACCCGGGGGGGGGGGGGGGGGGTAGCATATATATATATATATATATATATACACACATGTATATGCACGCATGCATGCATGCATGAACACATACATACACGCGTACATGCATGCACACATACATACATACATCCCGACATACATGCACACATGCATCTGACCGTACATATATATACACACATGCAGACATGCATGCATACATACATGCACAATATGTACGCACATACATAAATACATACATACATACATTCATACATACATACATGCTAGTACATGCATGCAAGTACGAACAAACAAACATTATTACATACATGTTGCGTAATACGTTGTTACACACATACGTTGTTACATACATTGTTACATACCTACCTACCTACGTACATACATACATGCGTGTGTCCGTAAATGCAGGAGCATGCATACATGCGTACATACATAGGTGCATACATACATACGTATGTACGTATGCACATACATACATACATACATACGTGCATATGCCACCTGGACGTGAACAGGAATCAACTCGGCCTTCTGAAGGAGTAAGGTGTGACATATTCAAGTTGCGGTTAAGACAATCTGGAGAAGATGCTGTCAAGGAAAAACCTCGTATTCGTTGCCAGTAGGCTAAGAATAGGAGCGGATTGCGAGGGTCAAGAACATCTTGCCGAAAAACGACACTTCGAGGTACGTCAGCTTTTGTTCTGTGGGATTTGCCGATGTCAGTGGGGCTTGCAGTGACTAACGTGGCAGCTGTGCAGGCCTTGCGCAGACCCGTTCTGGCTCAGCCCTCTCGTTCGGTGCTGCTGCTGCTGCTGCTGTAGAGCTGATGTGAGTGGTGTATCGGTACGCCGCCACCTTGGGATGAAAGCCACTCGCACCTCGAACTTTGAGTGCTTCTGCCAGTCACTGCACGAAGCCGGGCTGATGACCTTCTGCCCAACCGGCACATGCACCAAAAACCTCAAGCCCTTGCAGCAGGGTTGGATCGCACATTGCAGACACGGGGCAAGCAGCGGCCAAGACAGTCACCGGAGAGACAGAGAAACGTTGACATAATTCTGCGGTTGGGGCCGAATCCTTCAAGCTCCGATGTGCACCAAGCCTTGCAGAGCCTGTGCCACGAGTGGCAAAGCAAGCCTAGTCATGTGACTGGACTCCTACGGGACGCACGGAGCAGCGCCGTGGTCGATGGCATCCTTCGCGGCATGCAAAGAAGCCACGTAGAGACCAACGTGTGGCAGTTCAATGCTGCTGCAGGATCCTTTGTGGATGTGAGCAGTTGGCAGAACGCTGTGCGACTCATCGGAGCCATGCGCCGCTCCATTGTTCTTCCAGACGTGATGACTGCTGCGGTGTCGACCAGAGCCTTCATGAAAGGTGGCTGTTGGCGGTGTTCTTTGGAGCATCTCGGCCGTATGAGAGATATGCGAGCAGACATCAGAAGCTACACCAAGTCCTTCCTGGCTCCTTGCACGACCAGCAGCCGTTGGCAGCTGTCGTTTTGGTTTCTTCGCAGTTTTCTTAGCTCGGAGCTACAGCCGGATGCACTGAGTTTTGCGGAGGTTCTCAGTGTGTGCAAAGGAGGCATGCGTGGTTGGGCCCGGGCCCTTCAGGGCACAAAAGGCATGCATGTCACCGAGTCCGTGCGAACGGCCAACTCGTACCTTGATGTTCTGTCGGGCCTTAGGCGATGGAGGGACGCGGTGTCCTTGCTGACGAGAATGGCTTCCATGAGACTTTCCTGGGATCAGATATCTGCCAACACTGTCATCAATGCCGTTCCTTTGTGGCAAGCATCCCTGTCCTACTTTCACACCTTCTGTGTGCATGCTTTGCAGCCGGACATAGTCAGCCATGGCTCGGCAATCCCACTGGCAGCCGGGACGTGGCAGGAAGGCTTGAACTTCTTGTCTGTGATGCAACTTCGAGGAGCATCTCCCAATTCGCGGATTTGGAACTCCTTCATGGATACGATGGCTACTGAGGTGAGATGGTTGCAGGCCTTCGAACTGGTCCACCAGCTGCCATGCAGATCTGTGCGGAGGGATATGATCACGTATGCAGGGTGCCTTCTTGCAACACAGTCCGCACTTTTGTGGCAAAAGTCCTTCACCTTGGCTTCCAGCATGTCGCAGGAAGGTATCGGGCATGATGCCATGAGCTTCTGCATTTTCAGCCGTGCATCCGAGTCTTGGCAGGAAGCGTACACCATGCTGCGCGCAGTTTCCCGCCAAGTGCGCATGGACATGATTACCCAGAATTCGCTTCTGGATGTCTGCAGCAAAGCCTCGAGCTGGGCATGTGCTCTGGAGCTGTCCGCTTCGATGCAATCGGCCGGGATATCGCAAGACAAAGCCAGCTTTGGGGCGTTGATCAGCGCCTGCACGCCACAGATGCAAAACCGACATTCACCTTGGGAACAGGCACTGCACCTTCTTAACGACGCGAAGCGGTTGACGCTCGACACAGCGAGTGCCGAAGCTGCAAAAGAAAAACATGAGATCCAGATGTCAATCAGAGAGACAGCATGAACAGGTTTAGACTTGCCATCACGATCATGACGCCAAGGCTGCAACTCGGCCATCAGCGCCTGTACCCAGTCCGAATGCTGGTGGGACTCGCTTTCGTTGCTGCATGGTATGCCCTCCAGAAGACTGCTCGCTGATGAAATCAGCTTCAGCGTGGCCATGCAGGCCTGGTCTAACAGAGAATCTTGTGGGCTCGGAGGATTTTTCTGAAGGTGCAGGCCCTGAAGCCACATGAAAGGTCATGTACTCTCATTATGCTCCATGAAGGCTCCGGCTCCAGTTGGTTGTACCATGCGACGGGGGTGCCGTGCCGTTCGCGAGGATTGAACTGCCTCCGTTGGTGCTAGTCAAGAGTACTGAAGGCAGTGTAGAAACTGTTGGTGAGTCTTGGATTTGGATATACATATTTGGATAATGCCAGCTCAGGACTGTTAGGACATGCAAAGCCGCACGACACTGTTTTGGCTAAGAGAACTCTTGGCAGGTGTCGGTAATGAATTCGTCCGGTTTCTCGCTGGTCGTTGAACTATCCTGCTGGCAAGTGTACGTCTCTAGAGGGCAAAGAAGGGCTCCTTTGATTTGTCGGAATCACAACTTCTTACGCCAGTCCACAGCCAGGCAGGCATATTGTTTGCACCCCACGGCCCCAAGCTTCTGCGCGTCTCGCGGACTTGCTGTGCTGTGGATCGCTGCGGCAGCACATTGACAGAACCCCCTGAGCGGCCCCAGAATCGTGCTCTAAACACCCGCGCTTGAACTCGTGCTTCCGCGAAAATCCTGAAAACATTCTGAGTTCGTGGGGTGCATTGGTCGTGCTCGTGGACTGCCCTTCTTTCAGCGTGGGCCTGTGGGCCTGTATGCAGACGGAGTCAGGGAGTCTTGATGCAGGCTCAGCAAGTTCACACCGACCGGTCTGAGCCGAAGGTCCTTCCGCAATCGACAACTTCTGACCGACCGTTAGAAGTTGGAACCTCGCCAGCCATGCGTAACAAATCAGCCAAGCTTGATTGTTTTCCGCGCTGCTGAGCCAGCTCGCCGATTGAAACCTCTACCTGGGGTTTCGTGATTCTTTCGTTCAGGGTTTTGGGGCCTTCCTGGCACTCAAACCGAGATTCGTCTCGAACCCCACAAGGCTGACGTAACCCATGCTGATAAGCAGATATGAGCAGTGAGTCGGTCAGCGCAGCTGTCAAGTGTGACTTAGTGTGACCCTCGCGTCCAGGCCTGCAAACGCGAACATTGGATGCGTACCATTCTTCTATTTGCAGACCTTTCGTGCCGCAGACTGGGGCAAGAACTTTGTCGCCTGATGGTTCTGCCCGAGTGCGAACAGCACGCTTTGCGCTCATTTGAGGCGCCTTGGCTCTCAATTAGCCTTTCTGTTCTGGTTGTCAGCTGTTGGAACACGCGGCCTGTTCAGGCTGCAATCATTGACGGCCTTTGCGTGCAAGTTGCGGATCCTCGCGATGCTTCCTTCAGCATGACCGGCGAAGCTGCTGAAAACTGAGCTGGTCTGTCCTGCCGCAAATGATCACTAGACACGGTAGACAACAGTTCGCAACAGCCTCTCTGCCACCATGCAAATGGTTCGGCCATTGGATATATTTGTTTGCAGATTGCTTTACATGCACTTGAACAGCCTCCGATGCGGTCCGCCGCAACCTGTGAAAAAGCGACGGCCTGGTAGCCCGCGTCTGACCAGACAGGATGTGTAGCTTCTATAGTAAGTCACCGCAAGGTTCGTGCCTGCATACGGTCGTGCTCCCGCTGCCTTATCGGGCACGTGCAGTTTTAATAAACCAACAGGTAGCCCGGAGCAGACATCCTGGACCTATAAGACCATGGTGTGCGCAGTCAGGCGCAAGCCCAGAAAGCTTGCAACGAACTGTTGCATCATGCAGTGATACAAGATTGGTGGCAAGAGTGACACTGTCCTGCATGGAGCTGTGAGCAGCACATGGGGTAGGGGGGCTCAGATGTGATTTTGCAGATGTTGTCAGAAAGACTGTCTGTATTTGCACTCTTACCCAGGCAAGGCGTAAGTGATGTGTCCACGTTGGCGGAGGCGTCTTTTCAGGGGCTTGTGCATCGCATTTGGATGCGATAAATTCAGATCAGAGACCTTTTGACAGGTCGAGAATTCGCCGGTCGGAGATGCCGCAGGAGAAGTGCAGCAAGTGGTCAACGTCTGCTCCCGTTCGACATGCTGGCAGCTGTCGGTCGATGCACTCTCGATGCTTAGATGTCGGCAGTGTCCTCGCGGCGCAAGACTCCAGCTACAAGAAGCAGAGATGCCCCGTGATTCTGTCCAACCGTACATACTGGTTCCCGTACATCGTGTGATCGACGAAGCTGTATTTCTGTTTTGTAGCATGGGGCGCCTGCAGAAAGACTCGGTAGACGGAGCATCCCCACTTGTACCACAACTTGCGCGTTTGATTCTGGAGGCCTATTCCTCTGCCGGCCGCACGTGTTTACCGTCAGACCCCGTGGTGTTGCGTCTGCTCTCCGTCTGCTTGGATCTCGTCGTTGACTCGAGCAAACGAGCTGGCAGTGAGCTGGCACATGAGTCCCTTCGCTGTACGACTGTACGAGGAGCTGCCAGATCCGATGCGAAGGGGTATCTGCAGGTGCAGCTCCTTTGCTTGACAAAAGCTGTGCAATCTGCCCTGGTTCCTCCAGGGCAGAGCGCCGCGCCTCGCTTCTGTGGAAGCCGTTGGAGGCAGCCGGGGCCGGGGGTTTTGGGATTTTTTTTTTTTTTTTTTTGGGGGGGGGCTTAAGGGGCTTAAGTGAGCGCTTGCTGCGGCCTCGCTTGCGGCGCCGGCCTCGGCGAAGTATGTGGGAGACGCCTCTGAGCGTCGTGGACTCCGGAGCGGGTGGCGAGTGTAATTCGAGACACTCTGGGTCCGTCCGCGACCGGATCCTCCCGCGAACGCTCGGCACCCAGAGCTCCTCACCCGTTGCCGTCCCCCAGCCGTCCCAGTCCTCCCGCGCAACGATGCCGTGGACGCTTTCTCTTCGCTAAAAGGCTTTCCCGGTCCGCGACAACGTCTCGAAAATGAACGCTCCCCCGCAGGAAGGAAAGACTAAACAAGAAGCCAACCCCCCAGGGGTTTTTGGGAAAAAAACCCATGCTGAAAGCGAGCGTCGTCTTGCGTAGAGGGTTTTTCCTGTCTGACGCCACTCAACGGAGGCAGATTCTAAGGGACTAGCGGAGGTGCTACAGGCAAAGGTCATGCTCTCGAAAGCCTGGAGGCAGCAGCAGCAGCAACAGCAGAGGTGCGCCCACTCGGTTCCGCTGCCACTGACACATTGAATCGCAGTTTCCAAGGCGTCAACAGAGATGACAGCGAGGCAGCGCAGGAGCTCACTGTCTGTGCGTTTTCATTCCAGTTTCCTGCCTGGCCACGTGTAGCATGTCGTACATACGGTCGCTATGCTCCCTTGTGTATTGACCCTGTATCGACACCTGTTGGAGCAAAGACAAACAGTTATCTCATAGTCCTGCACTTGGGCTTCCAAACTGACTTGTGCAAGTTGTTGAACTTGCTCATGAGATGTGTTGGAGCGGCCTCGTGTTGGAGGGAGTGTCATTCGGCCTAGAATGGCACAATTCCATTCTTCCTTCAAACACTCTCGAGCTGACTTAGCCGATCGGTTTCCTGTGGGTCCAGAGGTGCTTTCGCTTTAGCCACCTGCGACAGCTGCCTGGCAGTGGTTTGCATTTCGACAGTCCCTCCACACTATCGACAACTCCTCATTGAATGCGTTTCTGTAGCTGCAAGTCGAGAGACGTCGTTCCTAAGACGCGAGGGCCGCAGGGCATCATTGGAGACACTTCTAAATTCCTCAGTAGGTATGTCGAGCATTCAGCATACCGACCATCTGGACAAGAAGCCTAATGCAGCATGCATCGTGAAGAGTCAGCCTGCAGCGGTGCCGACGATGGTTTGAGAGCAGAGCACGCACTCGCATCAAAAGCTGGGGTCAGGGCAATCGCCAACACCTTCGGCAAGTGTTGACTACAGCTTCGAAGGAGAATGCTCACGGAGTGAAGCTGCTGAGCAGTGGTCACTACGACGAGGCTTGCTGCAAAGATGGTATAGCAAGACTTCACCGCATCATCCGCCATCGCGCCGGCAGGCAATTCGACGATTCAAGCAAGCCTTGGTTTTCGAGCCCGCAAGCGTGCAGCACTTGAGCTTGTATCTGTGGCTTAGTTTGGCCATCGCCAGCCGCTCAGCTGAGGTGCAGATCCTGAATAACATTGGGCTTGTGTACGCCAAGCGCCAGGATTACAACGGCGCCTATGAGTGGTACGCAAGGGCACATATAAGCACGTAGTCGTCGAGGTATGTCGCGAGCGAAGAGAATTTAAGATGCTTGTCGAGGTACGAGAAAGCTCACAGGCAGGATCCGAAAGATGCCGGGCACCCGTTTGATTCTCGGCAATGTTGTGCTGAGTCTGGAAGTCACGGCCACCAAGGTCGAAACCCTGTTCTCCTTGGCATGGGTTGAGCGAAAGCGGCAGTGCAGCTGGCCAGTCTTGCCCGGTCTTCACCACCTTACCACCTTGACAACTGCACGAAACTGGAATCGAAAGCGCATGCCTCCTGTTCCATTCTTCTCGCTGCATCTCGCTGCCTGTTCTGCACTTACCACATTGGCAGGAGATATCCGCATGCACGGGAGCTCTTCATGCAGGTCTTGGAGCTCGAGCCCACTCACAGCAAGGCAGAAGTTTGTTCCGTGCTTACGAGGGATACTGACTTGTGTATTTGTTGCCGAGATGGTTGTGTCCTCGCAGGCCTTGTGGCTTCTGGGTGACATCCTGAAGACTTCTCAGGATTTTGAAGGCTGATGTGTGCAAAGCATGCAATTGCACACTGGCACGCAGGGGCCTCCCGTCGTCAGGTGCTATCCAGCAGCTTCAGACGCTTGTAAGGATTGCGTTTAACGACCAACGGCTTGCAATGCAGTGAATGCAGTGGTAGTCTGTAGCTAGAGGACTCAGCCAAACAGCCCTGACGGCCACATTTCTCTGGCCCAGTGCTATGAGGCAACCAAGCAGTGAGCCCTGGATGTGGCAAGCCCTTGAGCTGTGACAAGCAATCGGACATGCTGCTTCAGGTACGGCAAGGCAGCGCAGATCTACAAGCACATCCTAGAATCCCTGTGTCCAGGCAACTTTTCTGTTGGAAAATCAGGCGTTTTCTTCTAGAGTCACAAGCTACCTGTTGAGATCATGCTGGCAGGACGCACAGATGTGCATTTCGCATTGGGCAAGGCGAATCGATTTTCGCATCCGTGCGCAGGGAGCTCTGTCAGAGAGTTCTTAGAAAACGAGGACTACTTCTTCCTGAAGCAGTGCGCTCGTGTGCATTTTGTTGCTCTGCCTTCTAGCCAGTCTGCATGGCGCGGTCAGTGCTATGACAGGTATCGACAAGCCGTAATCGAGTTTGACCGGGTTCCCGACAATGACCACAGAGCTGTCGAGGCCTGCGCCATCGGAGAGCAATGCTGAACATCTCGATCGACGTTTCTTTCTTTTGAGGCTCGGTCTTACGGAGCGAAGGCCTGCCGAGAGCTTGAGGAGCAAGAGCGTCCCACTTGCTTGCACGCCGACATCAAAGCTTTGTTGAACTGTGGCACAGTACGGACGGGCCCCAGGATCACGAACGGGCTATCTCGCTTGCCGAGTCGGCTGCGCATTCTCACCCGCATCCGGAAGTCTGGGACATGTGAGTAAATTCCGACAAATCTGAACAATTTGTGCCACATCTCAAGGTGATGCATTTTCTCGGGGAGGAGTATGCACGTGTTGGGGAGCAGCAAAAGGCGGGGTTGCGGAGACGAGAGACTATCCGGAGATATCCGAAGCGCTACATAGTGCTACGCAGGCAGCTCAGTGCTTTTCGCGCGGATTGGAGCTGGAGCCGAACCACCTGCCTTCCCTGATGGAGTTGGGCCAGCTAGCGTGCGCTCAGGGATGCCCAGAGAGAGACAAAGATACGGCAGAGAGAGCGCGACAGGCGACAGAAATCAGCTCCCTCTCGGAAGGTATCGACAGGCCAATTGGCATGAAGCGGAGCGTCTGTTCACCAGAATCTGCGAGTGGCTTGGCCTGTTCTGTAACTGTTGCAAGAGGCTACTTTTGTCGCACACGTTTTTTGTCTCACTGGCTACTAAAATTGTGTAGACTTGTCTTGGATCACAGAAACTGAACTCAGGGAGCCTGTTGGTAGCTCCAGTGCTGTATCATCGTCATCATCATCATCATTGCTGGTGGTGGGAATGATGCAGGCACGGGGGTGGCGGGGGAGCTGCAGTGCTCAAGCGGATACTTTGGCGGCTGGTGGGTTGAGAACGCATTGCTGGATTTGTTGGCCAAGTCAGTTACCTGCTCCTGCAGGGGAGAGGCCCGTGGCACGGTTCACATCGACAATTTGCAACCTCTGAGAAGTAGTACGGTCTCAACACAGCATTGACAGAAGCAAAATCGATTGCATTCTGCAGCGACGCCTGCAACGGGCCACCCAGTCTACATCTCTGCCTGCCACAGTGCTGTTCGGAAAGTTTTGTACCGTGAGTGTCAATGTCGTAGCAGTCCTGCTGCTACGGATTGCAGATTAGTGCAGATTGAATTGGGATGCAACATGCTGTCGGATGCTGTGCAGCGCACCCTTGTGCAGATGGGTAGGGCGGCATCAACTGTGAATCCTTCACCGAAAGTTGATGTGACGTGATTCAACGACATTGCAAGTACCATTTCTCAGCATGCATGCAGTACACGTGGTCACATCAGTGGCTGCCAGGGTGGACAGGACAGACTTGGATGCCATTCGATGGCTTGCACTGGTCAAGTGCCCCTTCTCTATCTGGGCCACCTGCAACGAGAAGCACCGCGTAGCTGCAGAGGTACAAACTGCGAAAAGACGAATCGTGCAGGCTTGCTGCCGCTGCCGCCACCCGTACCCGGTGCTGTGCCCGGACCTGCGCACGCCGTTGGAACAAGCTGCAATTTCAGGCAGTGCTGTGAAGGCCTGCTGCGTGTTGCGCTCAGCCTGAAACGACACTCAACAATTAATCTATCATTGGATGAACTTCAATTTTGTCCAAGGCTTCGTCCCTTTGCACATGGATGCTTGGTACTTGCTTGCGGACGGGCAAAGGGCATGTTTCGTTGCCTCCCGCAATATTCTGCATACTCATGGGTTCTGTCCTGCTAGACGGGTGATTGCTGCTGTTGGCTGTTCGCATCAGGGAATTGGCGTCAGCGCCTAACCGGGTGAAGCAAGGCTTCCCTACAAGTTGAGGTTGCCGTCGCATGTGTTTGCATTGGCCCTCATACACACAGGCACATGCAGATATCCACACACACACACACAGAGGATGCAGTGAAATGTCGAGCTTTTGTCGCATGCCGCGAGACGTTAGGCATTTGCGGAATCCTGCTCTCATGCCTCGCGCGACATGTCTGGCGATACTATGACTATCACCGATATAGATGGGACTTATGGGCATGCTTGCATAGCCATGTTCCAGTCTATGATCGTCCTGAACTTCACATTCAGGGTTCACAAGGTTTCATGAACTCAGCATTCGATGTTCATCATCTCGACGTGTTCAGCTCGCCGTTGGTTAACAAGCTGCCGATCAATGACTGAGTTGCTCCGCTGAGCTCCAGTTTCGGAGCGCTGCGCTCTTGGGATTGCTGCCCAGTCTTCACCACGGCGTGCATTGTGCAGATCGCCCGTCAACATACAGCGCTGCCTGAGCGTCTGGAAGCTCACGTTTCCTCCGCTGTCATCAACTCTGGGTGGTTAGTGTGACCCCGTTACAGCTGAAAGGCTGGCGAATCAATGCGTTGTTGAAAGCTTGTCTTCTCTAGGGTGCAATGGGGGTTTTGGGTACTGTCGCAGGAGCTGCAGCTTCAAGCCGGGTCAGCAGATGAGCGCTGGCTCACGAGTTTGCGACTGCCAAGCGATGCGATCGGCTTACTTGGGTTGACTTGTGCTGAGAGGGCTTCACGCATCATTCCCGGCACGTCAGCGGCAGTCATCCTAGGTGTCAATGGCAGACGTCTGCCAAAGCATCGCCAAAGGTCACCGACATAATTTTATAAATTTTTAGCCCAGAATTCCTGCACTCATTGGCAATGTTGACAAGGTTATCTGGTGCGCAAGCAGGTTGTCGAGGCCAACAATTGGCTGAAACAGGCCGGTGGGCTGCTTAAGCGCTCGGGAGCTTTCCAAAGTGTGTGCTATCTGTTTACTGCAGGCTCAAAATTTCGCTCCGAGCGCCGCCGGGCTAAAAGAGGCACTGGAGAATCATTTCGGGCCAGCACCGGGAGGAGGGCAACAGAGCGAGGACATACAAAGTAAAGCGTCTCCTGGTCAAGTCCTTCCTTCGGCATTCATGCGAGAATTTCACAGCACAGGGCCCGTAGCATCCGTAGCCGCCGTAGCCGCCAAGATGACGTGAGCCGTGAGCCTTTGCAGGCCCAGCTGCTTCTGGCGCAGAAGGGGGCCACAGTCAACCCACAGGAGCACAGACTCTGGAGTCTCACAGCTCACATGGTAGAAATGGATGCAGGATGTCATGGACCTGCTGGATCGAAAGCCTGCTGCCAAGTTTTCAGAAGATGTTTGGTCAACGTGCCTCTATCCTGCAACGGATTCCAGGCCGAGACAGTATGTAAGGGATTATGCCACACTCTTTGCCAGTACGGCCTTGACGCTGTTTCGGCTCCGCATTCGGGACGACATGGACGCGACCTAAAGTTTTTTGTTTTACCATCCACATCGCCAGAGCAGAACTACATCGGAGAACCATGGACTACCGGCAGCGCCTGAGTTGAAGTTGGGAAGACAAGACGACGCCAGCAGTTGTAAATTGTAGATCATCCTTGCATATCCTTGCCTTTGGTCCGGCTGCATTGTATGGAGATACAGGCCAGTCTATCTGTGCAGGGGATGCCCCAGTGTCTCACGTTGATTTGGGTGCAGGTGCCATGGACTTTGCCTTGAACTCGGTGCATGCTAGCTGCCAGACAGGTTCCTTGATCGAAGTCCTCTCAAAGTGTTGCTGCATCATGAATCAGGTCTCTCTCGTGAAACAAGGAGGCTTTCTGTGGAAGGCTTCGTGGGAGATGCAAAGAGGCTACTAAGCTATCGCAGGCACACGAGAATCCGGCGCGAGGCATGGGTGGCGTGCCACTACGAGCGCAGGCTCAAGCGTCGCTGTCCCAGTGCGAACCAGAGGTGCCTTCCATGTACAATAGTGCCAGCCCATATGCGCTGAGGCCAGGATTACCTGCCATCCACTCAGTTTGGAGAAGTCACTGAGTAGATGCCCTGGGAATGACAGACCCTGGAGATTGCCGTTTAGGAGCACGGATGTGACAAGCACCTGTGATTTTTTGCTCGAGAACCTGAGCCAGAGCCCTGGTCCTTCAGCGCTTTTGCTTGGAAGACACGCGTATGGCTGTTTCAGGTGTGGTTCCGCTCAGGTGCCTAGGCCGGTCGCCCAAGCCTTGCAGTGTCGTCGCCTCCTGAATCTTTCTCGTCGCTGCTGCTGGCAAGAAACGGAGGAGTAGACATCAGAAATCTGTGCGGAAGCATCGTTGATACGGGGCGGCTTTGAGTGGGTGTGGAGAAGCGGACGATGAACAGATGGTCGGGCGTCGGGCAAAGAAGCTGGAGATTTGGGCGTCCCAGGGCTGAGGATGGGCTGTACTCCAAGCCTTAACACTAAAGACCTCCCAACAAAATGTCAAGGGCTGCTTCTGCCTCGACCCGCGGCATGCAGATCTGCAGATGTATGTTGTATGCACGAAAGCTTGGCGACATCTGCTTCCCAAAACGGATCAGACTTCAGACCTTGCTTCATGAGTTGCGCCGCGGTTGCCTCTCTGCCTTCTGCATCGCCCACATTGCTGGACCGCTGCGACTTGCCCCTTTTGATTTACACCCTACCTTGTTGCGCTGTTGTACTCCAGATGGCGGTGTCTGTTTTGAGAGAGGAAAACGTTCTTCGTATTTCTCTTCTCAAACTTTATGATAGCAAGTGCTCCACTCGGCCAGCGAGCGTAGGCTGAAGGGCAACTGAACTGGCGGAGGACGTAATGTTTGACCGAATCTGGCCGTTGGGTGAACCGGGGCATTGACATCTCTACGTGCATTGCGAACCTGTCGAGATGCTTTAGCTCGGTGTCTCGCCGCAGACCGTCCTTCGGTTGCCTTGTGGTTTTCACTGTCCCAGCATAAAACCATGGAGGTCATCTCATGCTGGGCATCTTGAGGATCTTGCTAAGACAGGCACGAGATGAGGATGAACACTTGGCTTGATGGTAAGATTGACAATGAAAGCTCGGGCAGGCGGAAGACCTCGAGAGCAAAGCCGACGAGGCCAACATGGGCAACCCGAGTCTTTCGCCGGAGGCACACGCTGCTGGCAGGTACGGACGTCGCTTCAAACCAGCATCTCTGCCGGTGAGCTCCGGGTGTCATGACCGTGATTCGCGAGCCTGAGCCAGATGCCAGGTTCAGGCTTGCCGACTGTCCCCACGTTGGCTGCTTCAGCAGCAGCCTCGACTGTGGCACTGGTAGCTTTCAAGAGACATCTAGAACATTCTAGAATCATGACCCGTGGTCTCTCCTAGCGTGTGTAGCTCGAAACTCAACGAAGCTGCTTGGATGGGCTTCTCTTGCACCCTTGGTGTGCTGGCACCTGGAGTGTTGCGGGTTTCGCAAGGCCGTGACTTTGCGGAACCTGGAGAAGGTCCGGTCACAGCATGGCATGGCATGTGGTGCGGTAAAGCTGACCACATCATGCCAGATCCAGGTGCAGTCTGTGGACTTTGGGGCTGCTGGGAGCGGGGCTGAGTAGCTGAAAGTGACTTTGAATGAGCCTGAATGCGGTGGGCAACGTGCCTCGGGACCGAGGCTCGATGTGCTCATGGAAGAGCTGCCGGAGATGGAGGCTTCTTTTTCTCTCCCTGGCAGCGACCAAAGTGTGGTTATCTGCTTTCAGGTGGAGGCGAGTTTGGAAGAGGGCCGGCGGCATGTGGCTCCTCTGGATCTCATCACACTCAGACGCTGCCTGAGCCACACTATGCACTGGCCCATCGAGAGCAGGCTCCACTGATTTCAAGCCATGGTGTGAACATCTAGTCACCTAGTCTAGTTGCTGCAAACTGCAGAGCACAGACGGAGCTACAATTCAATTTGGTAGTATTAGCGAGAAGTTGGCACAGTTTGCGGCGGTAGACGTACCTGGCTTCATGCCAAGGTCCGGAGCCTACATCATCCGCGAAACGGAAGGAGGTCGATGCCGGTGATGATGATTTTGGGGCGCCAAGTGCGGAAGTGTTTCGGCTGCAAAGCGTACAAAGGATTTGCTGGACCGCCATGTGACAAGTTTCCAAAGCTTTGACATGGCCTTTGGACGAGGATCTAGCATCGCTGGCTGCCATGGGGCAAGCCGCACTGGCTCAGATCCAAGCAGAGGCGGAAAGCGGGTGCAGGCGTAGATTGGCTACAGTGTCGCTCTTGGAGAGAGGCTAGCTCACCACAACGTGATCCCCAGACGTCTACAGGGCAGAAAGAGGTGGGTGATGGAACGTGGTTGCCTTTGTGCTGCGTGCAACGTCTTGCGAGGCTCTCGAGGGATCTGCCGGGCGAGAAAGCTTACCGCCGGTTGACTTCTTGCTGGGAGCGGCTTGGGGCTCAGCGGCTCAGTGTCCGAGCAAGCAAGCTCGGCCTTCCTCGATGAGCGCAGGCCTCTTCACCAAGTCAGTCTTCACCTGCGAGGGACATGCTGATGCAAGCAGAGGGTCCAACCCGAGGGTTCTGCCCCAGTGCACATGACCACATCCGCATCTCATCTTCCAGGTGAGGAAGACTTGGCGGCTGCCGCGGAAGCTGCGGCGCTCGAAGCTGAAGCCTTTGCAGCAGAAGCCACTCGGACCAAAACCCACCAGACTTCCAAGAATCCGAAGCCTTTTCGGCAGCTGCCAACCGCAAGTGGAATCTCGGTTTTGTTGCTAAACAAATGCTGCATGCCTGGCGCCAGCACTTGTGCCTGTCGGCGGCAAGCTAGACAGGCCTTTCGGCCGCAGGATCTCACTAGATAATCTAACCGGGATGTTCTGCCATCAAGCTTTCTGCAGCCACAGCAACCTGTCTGTGTATTTCGTGCTTTTTCAGCGTGTACGTCCTGACGAGGGTAAGCGGTAAGGATGCACCACGAAGCCCAAAAGCAGAAAGCAGAATGGGCCGAACTAAGGCGGAACAAGCTGCACAAGACGCAGAAGCTGCGGCCCGCTGTCTCCAGGAGTGCACATTGACAAATTAGCATGTGTGATCATGTGTGTATACAGTATATCGTCGCAGTTCATGTGCGAAGAGGATGGCATCACTATCTTTTTTTGAGGTTTAGAGCGGGGCACACGGTATCCACAGCCTACGTGTGCAGCAAAGTCAAGCTAAGGTCGCGGATGGGATATCGCTATCATACTGGTATCTGCTGAACAGGATAAGCCTTATTAGACGGTGGGCCACCTGTGGCAGACAGATCACGGCAGCAGTTTTCTTCCCACGTACGGTTGCCTGGCGAAACCTGCCGCGCAAGGTCTCAGGTGTGAGGTGATCTTTGGCCACATCAATCCAATAATCAGCTCAGACCCACTGATTCAGGAAGAGCAGCGTGAGAGCTCTTGATTCCAACAAAGTGTGAAGCAACCGCTTTCCGTCACACCCGATGGTCCTTCTTGCGGCAGCTCCCGCTTGGGACTTCGGTCAGAAGAAGGGTCCTACTACTGTACGCATATATGTATGCATTCGATCTGCTTCATGCGTAGCATATTTGTCGAAGGCCCCGATCAGAGGTTCCTCCACATTCTTTCATGTTGCACTGAATCTGTGTAAATATCACCTCAGACCAGTTGGCGTAGGAAGGGCAGCATGAGAGCATGTCAATCCATCAATGGATATTTGGGAGTGGAGGTGGGCAGGCGGGCGGGTGAAAAACTGGTTGAACAAGTTCAATAGAAGTGTCCTGCCTTCTTGCCAATCGTCGGGGCTTGAGCCATGTCCATACCAGTGGCGGAGATATCATGTCGGAAGCTGAATGACCAACTTGAAGATTGAGATGGCAAGCTCATAGGCGATCTTGCAAGCTTTGTTCAGGTCCTTCGCTAGGAAGTGACGCTCACCTCCTCGCTGCTTACCACCACTGTCTTCACTGCTCCGCAATCCTCACTCCCCAATCCCCCGCAGGAAGTGAGCGAGCTGCCTGTCGATTTTCTCTTGAAGGACGCAGAAGCTGAGGCAACGCGGAACTGAGCTTGCAGAGCAAGAGCAACGCAACGATCCTGCGCTAACAGTCGAGCAGCCCTCCCACCTGCTTGCCAGCCTAGCCGCACAGTTACCCTGCTCAAGGATGTGTGGACGTTACTTAGCAGGTAACATAGGTATCAAGCGAACCAAGGGTGAAGCACGCATGTTCTTGGCTTCTGAAACATGTGGCTTCAAACATGTGCAGCCGGCAGTTGCAGCAATGCAACACCAGAAACTAGGGTCTCCTTGGGGATAGTTTTGGAGAGGAATTTGTGGCAATCTTTGATCAAGAAGTGAGACATTGCGAAATCCTCGAGGTTTGGTCAGATTTTGAAGTTTCCGGCTACAGAATGCAGTGTCCGGACTCGTGTTTTGCTTCCTTGGACGGGTGGGTCATTCGAACACAGCTGGCAAACGGGTGAACATGGACAGATACGTGGCTGCGTTGGTTGTGCATACAGCGTGTACAGCAAGATTCGAGCGCGATCTGGAAGCCTTTGAAATGTGCAGGATGCTTGCATGCAGCCTCTATTGCTTCCAAACACCGAGGCCTGCGGTTTCCGCATGTTTCCATGATATGAAGCTGCGTTCCAACTTGTCGCCTCACAACGGAAGCAACAGGTCGATGAATGCCTGGAGCTGCTGCCCAGGGAGGAAGAGGCGGTTCTCTGCAATTTTCTGAGCGGCTCGCGAGATTCGAGCATCTCGGAGCAGCCAGGCACTGGAGATTCAGGAGGCGCAGCCAAGACAAAAAAGGAGGCGAAAAAGGGTTTGGCTCGACGAGAAGGCCACTGTCATCCCAGAGAAGAAGTGCCCCCTGCAATGTGATGCCATGCGATGCCAGTGAGCAAGGCAAAGGCACCTGCGTGGCAGGTACCGGGAGCCCAGAAAGATAACGCACGAGAGCCCTTATGAGTTTGGCCTGCTGCTGCCTCATAAGCACGAGCCTGAGTGTTTGGAAGGCCAAGGTGTTATGGGCTGAATTCGCTAGCTTAGGGCAACATCATCAGAGCTGTCCGATCTTCGTCGTCGTCGTTATGGTCGTTCGTCATCGTCCTGGTCCTAGTCCTATAGTGGTTGTCGTATGCGTGTGTGTGTGTGTGTGTCAAGAAGTGCTAGTGCACACACCAGTTTTGGGTGGCGGTTGCGGCACTCCGTCGCCGTGTCGTCGTCGCGGAGCCAGTGGTCCGCGCTGCTGGAGAAGGAAGGAATCACCAGGTTGAAGCAGGCAGGGAGCAAGAGAAGGGGACAGCTATAGGCCACCTTGATAAGCCTGACAACCCACACTGACAGCGGTACGAGAAACGAGAATCACCTGTAACTAGTGGACTGACTGCATTCACCAGTACAGCAATGCCCCAGTAGTTGTTGTTGTCTTCGTATTGGTACTTGTAGTAACTGGTAGTTGTCGTACTTGTGCAGCGGCAGCAGCAGCTGGCCCGACAACACGGTCTTTGTATGAGAGACGGCCTGCAGAAATCGACTGCACAGCGCATTGCTGGCAATGCGACGTTGGCTCTTGTATTGGACGATGTTGGATGACTGGATCTTTGCAAGTCTGTTAGCAGCCTGCGATCTGAGGAGTCCCACCGTGGGCCTGACCACATTTTTTGCAGACTTGGGCCCACTGCTCTGTGCTCCGTTGCAGACTCAGACTTCGGGGGGGGGGTGGGGGCAACCTTGCGCAGTCTGTTGATCCGCCAGTTCGAAGCCCCTGTCCAGGTTGCGACGTGCGGCCGACATCGGAGCAAGGTCGCGGTCTGTGGCGAATGTGCTGTGGGCTGCGGGCTGTGGGCTTGGACGGCTTGGAGTCGCAGCAGCTGCGACCGGGCAGGCAGAGGCGTGCCAAGGCCGAGGCTTGCAGCGGCTTGCAGCGGCTTGCATCATTGCAGAGACGAAATCGCACTTGCACTGGGCTTGCGTGTTGAGAAGGACTCGACCTTGCCTTCACCGCCCAGAGCGCCTTTGGCTTCGTCTGGGCCTGTGCGGCTACGATTCTTGCCTCGTGCAGGCCTTGCATTTTGCAGGCTGGCGGCGCCAAGCTTGCCAGCCGCACTTCAAGAGGAGGCTCAGAACGTACCTGTACTGTTCCGATCTGTTCCGTTCTGTTCTGTGTGGGACATCGTAGCTTGCTATAGCTTGCTCCAGCCCGTCCACTCATCACGTACCAACTTCTAATCCCACAGACAGGTGATACTCGTAGGAAGATGTAGCTCAGAACGCAGGTGGTGTCAAAATCCTTTCGGAAGGCACCGCTGCTAGAAGGAGAAGTCCCGATGGGTCAGGCGGATGTATGCCTGTGGCTTCTTGGTGAACTGTTCGTGTTTTGCTCCTTGGCAAGTCTACAGAACCTTCGAAAAGCAGCATGGTTGTTTCGTGCAAGCCGGCCGGTCAAGCGTCGCGATTTCGGAACAACTCTCGCAGGCTGTGGCGGTTGAGGCAATCAGCATGGCCATGAGACTGAGTCGCTGAATTTCTTGCCTCTGCTTGGTACGTGATCTCTGCCCGACTGTGGCCCAGGACATCGACCCTGGAACGCCCAAACCACCGAGTCCGGATCTGGCAGCGAATGTCTCAGCAGAAGGAAATTCAAGATGCCGAAGGATGCTTTTTGCAGCCTTTTTGCAGTTCCGGATGCCAGGCATTGCTGCCGGAAGCTCTGCAAGTCACTCCACCTCCAGTGGCATCCGAGGCCAAGCTGCTTCCAGAAGTGTTTTTTTCCTTCGTTTACGGTAGTTAAGTTGTTTGCTGTGCTTTTTTGATGAAGTTGCAATCACTACGTAGTCCGATTCCTTCTGGATCACCCGGCAAGTGGTGCACGCTCGACGGATATTTGTTGGTTCGCACCAGGCAGGTGCTGCGTCTCCAGTGGTTTGGACCTTGGACCTGGTGTGCAGAATAGTGCTCGCACTTGGACGGCTGCGAGAGTCTTCACCGCCCATGGATGGCCTGCAGTTCTTGTGCCAAGGCAGAGCAGCTTGCTGTGGATGTACCCGGCAGCCCCAAGGTTGGGAAGCACTTTCAAAGCAGGTTGTCCTTGAGGTAACTTGGAGTGCGCAGTGCTCGGAGCTGAGCAGGACCTGCCGGCAAATGCCAGTCCTGGACCAGAGGTTCTGGCGCTGTTAAACTGGTGAGCTCAATCAAGGTCTCGTGGACGTGTCAGGCGGCCCGAGAGTCCGTCGAGACTGCACCTGAGCAACCAAGCCCTGTGCTGCAGATGCCAGAGGCCGTTCGAACGCTGCATCAGCTTATGCCCATGCTTATGCCCACCAACTTGGCAGTACAGATGGCGCAAGTAAGCTGCTAGGTCCAGTATGCATGTGGGGCCTTGCTGTGCTCGAGCTTCACCACGCATGAATCTTCGTAAGTCATGCCAATGTGCTAGCGTGTCTGCAGTTTTGAACCCGCTCAAGAAGCTTCCAGCCCTCCCGAAGGTCCGATCCTTCTCCAGCCCGGGACAGGTGCCGACTACCGAGCCAATCAACAATTTCGTCGACGAAGAGGCCAGTGACTACTGTGTACGAGTGTGATGCGGATGGTGTTTCCTTGAGTACACCCACCCACTCACCTGTCATGCTCAGGGTGACCCGAAGTAGTCAGAATCGGAGTGTTCCTCACCAAGTCAGCAGGTCGCAAGCTTGCCACCGGCAAAGCGACAAGCCCAGCAGAACGGTGGAGAACCCGGCCAGATTTGAGACCTTGGCAACTCAGCCTGCGCAGCAACGGAATCAGCGCGACAGGTGGGGATCTCGTTGCCATCAAGGTGCGGCAGGAGTTCGATGAGGCACTTTCAGACACGGCCCACGAGATCCGCCGTTCTCATGCCCGGTGAAGGCATGCTGCATGCATATCATGAGCTTGGTGCGACAGAAGGTCAAGACAGAGGAGGATGTCGAGGTAGACTTTGACAAGGTCTCTGCTAAGCAGGCCAGCTCGCCTTCATCGCAAGTGTGCCACGGCTACCAGACGTCTTGGTGGCTTCAGGGCAGGGAGCTTCGAACATCACTTCTGGAGGCCATGCATGAAAGCGCCGAAATCAGAAGCCGCTGGCTTGAATCGCTCCTTTCAACCGCTGGTCAAGGATTCCACGCTGTCCTTTCTCGACCTTTGCGATTTGGACCATTGCAATGCAGAGGTGCGCAGAAAGCTGTTGCAGGGGCAGGTTCCGTTCAGAAAGCGATGAAGCAGGCTGCCGCATGCCGCTTTGTTGATCTCCTGTCCTTGCACATGACCGGCGCAGTGTCACTGAAGCAGGAGAGCTTTAGCAAACGCGTCAGTTTTTGAAGAGCAGCAGAGCGCAGTGAGAGTCAAAGGACAAGCCATATGAAGACATCGCGGTTGTCAGAGGAACATCCTGGGAGGCATGTGCCGTCGCCTTTGAAGGTACTCTGAACGTAGAGAGTTCTTTGGTTGACTGCAGGCTTGGTGCGAAGAGAGCAAACGCGGTACCAAGAGCCGGGCTTGGTGTTTTGACATCGTCTCTTTGGAAAGACTCTCCAAGACAAAGTGTCAGTCTGTCGACATCATCAAACTTTGCTGTATTCCCTAGCCACTCACAGCGCGCAGGCATTATCACTCGTGCTGGTCTCTGCATCCGGGCCACGATGGGCGTTTTTGAAGTGCTGAGGCGTGAGTCGCTCCTTGAGCCAGCTGGCAGCTGATGCAAGCCTGCAGGCCCTGCAGGCCTTGCAGGCAGTCCCGCATGCAGCAGGTAGTTGGGACGGGCCCCAGAAGAGACTCAGACATTGCAAGGACATCGGCGACATCGGCTTTCAAGTCGAACACTTCCGGGGTTTCACTCCGGGGAGCATTGGAGTGAATGGGTTTTGGACAGATGTCCAACTTAAGGAAGTGTGCGGCCTGACGAGCATGAGACAAAGCCTTTCGTATGGATTCAGAACGCTTCTAAACTCGCCTCACACGGCCGACCCAGTGTCGCGGACCAATGTGTGTGTGTGCGCTTCGCAGGGCTGCGAGACACTCCTTCTGATACACACGAGAGAGTATTCACAAAGCGCTAATGATACTAATGGCAGTTTAGACTAAAGGAATGTCTCTGCATATAGATCGTGCTAATGCTTCACGGGCCCGAAGGCCTTGCCACCCAGTGCCTGTGCCAGGAAAATGTTTAACACTTTCAGGGGAAGTCTCCGAAGCTCGGACACACCGCGGTGACAAAAACCTCCTGGAAAGCAGTGACAGTGCAGACTTGCGGCCGAGATTGGGAACAAGAGCAGTTGCAGCTCACGCCCGCCCGAGGCCTGTATCCATCAAGGACAGGTGGAGGACCTTTGCAGACCATTTTGTGCCCTCTTCGTCAGACTCGTGCGAAGATGCGTTGGCATCCTGCTTCATACACTTGGATCAAGGGCTTGCCTTGGGAAGACGGTCATGAATCATAAATTCGCACGTCACGGATCATGGCAGACATATTTCACATTGCATCGTCGAAAGTATACTCTGCAGAAGCACAAGTTGTAGTTCGCTTTGCTGGAGCCAGGCCTAGCTGTTTGCTGCCTGTTTGATGTGCAAGTCGTGTCCCGGTGTGAAGTGTTGCGAGACAGGTTTGAGAACATGTTCGGTGGAGGCTGTTTCGGTGCGCCAGGTTGGGCAAGCTAGGGCTCTGTTTCATTTTCCGCCGGGCAGACGACACAAAAATCAGCCGGATCTGTCCAGAGGTGGTTATGGTGGTGGTGGTGGTGGATACGGCCGAGTGGAAGCTGCTGGTGAGGCTTCAGCGAGTTGTGTATATTTCCGGCTGGAGATAAATTGCCTTCACCAGGCTGGACCATGCGGTGGCGTGCAGGCGTCGCAGGCCAGCATTCCTTCGGGCTTGACGACTCCTTTGTGTTGCAGCTTTCAGGGCTACGGTGGCTTCATCCCTGGCGACAATGCTCACTCGAAGCACTGAGAAAGTTCACGGACAAGCTGTCACCCGTTCATACTCATTCTGTAGTGCGTTTCAGGGCGGCTCAGCGCGCCCTGAGCAGCCGGATGGAGGCAGAAGAGAAAGTTTTGTGACTTCAGCATTATGCTCCTACTGGATTTCAGGCGCAGGAAAGACATCAGTGCGGATCCCAAGCCGTTTTGCAGACAGTTGCAGCGGCAGAACTTGACAACCTGCAGCTCTGGTAGTCGGGTGTCCTTGATTGTGCAAGGCGCAGACTTTGACCCCTGTCACAATTCGCATGCTCCTTGATGCTGCGTGGGTCTCAACCGGTTAATTCGATGAAAACTTTGGACGTGTCGCATGAGTACGAGTAATACTAACTGGATCAAACAGGATGGCTTAGCCAGTTCAGCAGGGGTTGAGTCACCAAACGTGTTGATTGCTTCGATGCTTTCGCGATTTCGGGTGTATTCAGGGGGCTGCGAGGACTTCTGCTTCAATGTGATCCAGGCAGTCCAGGCAATTGTTTCCAACTCGACTCCCTGTCATGACCAACTGGCCTTCCTCCACGGTCCCAGATGAGTTTCACAGGCAAGCACCAGGAGTTAGGACACCAACCATGCTTTTCGAATTTGCGCAAGCACAGCAACGACCTAAACATGCTTGCCGTGAGTCGGCACATGCCCGAAACCCGAGCCACAATGCGATGTGCTTTCAGTTCAGGGATGAGTTGATTGCTCTGAGCTGTGCCTTTGCTGATGTAAGAAAAGGACCCGACTTTGTTTGGAAGGTGGAGGTAGACCCCGTGTTCTATGCAGAGCCGGAGCTCTGCGGATGTTGTATTTCTGCAGCTTCTGTTGGAAACACTCTAGCACAACACACCACCACAGTGGCCTGCATGGTAAGGTGAGTTCAAGTGGCCAGTTGGGCCCAGACAGCGCATTCCGTGTGGGCCATAGTTTCAACATGCAGCGGCACGACCGAAGGGCAAAGCGGCGACGTAGATACTTCCTGCATGCCGTTGAGGAGTAAACGGTGGCAGAGAGCTCCAGATGTTGTCGGTCGTAGCCTGCGTGCCGCTCTCATCTATTGCATCAGCTGCCTTTTGATTCTAGGAACAAGAAGCGTGTGTTGAATGCTGCAGGTGGAGAGCATCAAGAACCAGCAGATGAGCATCTGTTTGACTCTCAATGCCAGCTTCTCAGCTTATTCGGATGCTGGTATTTGTGCATCTGGCACGCTTGCAAGGATGGCACTGGCAGAATTAGCTGCAACATGTATTCCGACAGCGATTCTGCGCCTCAGCTATCAATCCGCACGACCCGGCCTAAGCGCCTTGGACTGTCAGACCGTCCGAGGCATCAGGTCCCGAGTTTCAGGATGGAGACTACATCCGCCGGGGGCCCCTGGTTAGAAAGCCATGCTTTTTCGAGCAGGCCCTGGCAGCAGGCTGTTTTGCGCAAACTGGACACAAGGTGTCTTCGGCCATCTCAGACAGTGGGACCAGCAGGACCAGAGCCGTGCAACAGTGCAAGAGTGCATCAGGATCAGGCTGATTCACATCTGGAGTTCCGTCCTCGTATAGGAGGGCATTACGGCGCACCGCATTGTCAAAGTCGAGTCCGCCAACGAAATTGCCCACCACACCATCGAGGCTCGAGTATTCCGCATCGAAGTATGAACTCGCATGAAAAGCTGTAGGTCGCCCATGTTCACTTGAGCATGGTCGGAAAGTTGGTAAAGTCTGGAGTGGCTTCAGGCTGGTGGGATGAAAACCCTTTCACATGAAAGGTGAAATGCGCAGCTCGTGCTTTCAGCACAACATTGATGTCTGGGCCAGTGCTGCATGCCACCGTGATGGGACTCGGCCGTCAGGACAGGCCAACCGCAGCTCGCCCATGTCTTCGATGCCAGCATCGATGCAGCCGCCGATGAATGCGCAACAGGTCGGCGGTGCGCAGCGACCCTTGCGCTGGGATAAAGTACAAATTGGGCCAGCCGGCCAAGAGACCTTGAATTTTTATGCATGAGAGATAGGGAGAGAGACGGGGAGCGAGAGAGAGAGAGAGCTTACGCTTGAGGAGGGTCAACGTTTTCTTACGTCCTTCCAAATCCATAGAAAGTGTTGGCCGAGGGACCTGACCAATCCCTCATGCCCTAAAGAAGGAAGAGAGAGAGAGGGAGAGAGGGAGAGAGAGCCAAACACTATGCGGAGGCGCAGCAGCGCCGGGAAGGAGGCTTGCTTCCTCTTCCTCTACTCTACTCTTGCGAAAGAGAAGAGAAGAGAGAGAGTGGGAGAGGGAAAACCAAAACTGGTCGACCCTAAGCCCCATTTGGTTCGCAAGACCTCAGAAAGGCAGGCAGTGCTGCGCGTGGGGCTCAGGCTTCCGTTCGGTGTTAGGCAGGGCAGGAGGTGGGGGATCAGGCAAATGTCGGGACAAAACACAATGTGCACCTGACAGCGTTTGGTGTTACCTTCGTTTGTTTCGCAGCATTATTATGCCTGAGCAGTGGGCCGAGGACGGAAAGTGCCTGGTTTCTCAGTCCTTTGAAAGAACGGCACCCGGCCACTGCACCTGTCCTTAAACGAGGGGCACACGTCCTTTTGTCCCACAAAATGTTGGACGGGGTAGCGCAAACTGCGCGGGACGGGGGGACTGCCCTCGCCAAGCTGTCCATGCAATACGGGGGCGCCAACGCTCTTTGGTGGGGAGCAGCACCCGCCATCTTCTACCCCAGCGAAAGAAAGAGGGAGCAGTGAGAGAAAAACCGCGGCTTACGGCGTGCAACTTAGTCTGGAAGGGGAGTTGCACTCCGGCGGTGACAGTGCCAGTAGTAGCTCAAGTAGCTCGAGACGTGGGGGAGAGTGTGTTTAGGACCATTTATAGTCATGTTGAGTTTGTGATGCTGGTGGTAGGCTTAAGCCGTGGCTCTACAGCTACAGCTCTTTCCACTCCAAAACGGGGTTTGCTTGAGCGCAGGACAGGTATGGAAACCTAGTCCCGCAGAAAGAAGGGAATAGGAGCTCTGCATAGCCAGAGACTCCTTGTTCGCCTACAGGTTTCAGTCTAGTCAGGTGATGCAGTGATGCAGTGTGAAGAGAGCAGCGTGTCTTGAGCTGTCCACCAGCTTGGGCCGTACTCAAAAAGCCCAATGGCGACATCATGCGACACTGCATAATAAGAGCGTAGTCGACACACTTTGCCCGAGACACAGGGCGTTGACTCTGACCGCGACCTTCCCGACCTACTTCCTGCGACGCATCTCTTCTCTTTACGGTTTGCTTCAGCGGATCACGGCTGGTTAATCTGCGTGAGTTAAAGCCTGGCTTGCGCAATAGTCGTGGAAGATGAAGCAGGGGGCGAGCCAGACGTAAGACGCCCGGGATCCAACGAAGAAAGAAAGAAAGCCAGAACGGAAAAGCGAAAAAATGTAGGATCGATGCGTGTCCTACAGTAATGGTTCCCACAGTCTGCGGCACTCAATCTGCCCAGGCTGAAGTGGGGGTAGTCAGTTAACGACGGTCGATCGCTACTTCGAGCCCGGCAGCGCTTGACCAGCATGCCATAGCATGCCTTTCATGTCTGGGTGACACCCGAAGACAAGGAGAACGAGAACAAGCGATCTGAAATTATACACCAGGCAGGTGTGATACCTGTTTTGATGGGTCTCTGAAACAAACCGGAACTTTTGGGTCGGCAATCCACCCCGAGAACTTCAGACCAGTCATGTGCTGTAGGCCCGTCGATCGCCCTCACATTTCCGGGTCGGGGCGAGGGCGTGTCTTGGCAGGATCCAGTCTCAGCAGCTTTTGCATTTCCCATCCCTTACCTGGAAGTAGCGTGGCAGAGTAAACACGGGGCGACAGAATGCAGCGATGCCTGCAAGAGGAGACTGGAGTCAGCATGGCAAAGCTTTAGGCCAAGACAGCACACGACATGTCCTGAATGCACATGGCAGGTCGGTGGAGCTGCGAACAGGCACATCTTGTACAGGGTGATTCTGGTTTAACGAGCCCTGGTGTCTTCCAGTCATAAATCATAAACCATTGAAGCCAGGTATGCGCAGGGCCAGCAGCTCAGCATGCCAGCCCCTGCAAAAGACTTACAATGCTGATGCAATCGTGAACCAGGTGCTGGCACACAGCAGTTCTCTTCAGCACAGACGCCACAGCTCGCAGGAATGCAGCAAGCGAATGCGCTGCCAGCATCATCAGCTTTTCAGCAGCCGGTTGCCGGATCAGCAGCTCCGATGGGCTCTTTCCCTCCAAGGACCACCCAGACGGCACAGATGATGTCTGGCCAACCAGGATATCAGCAACCGCAGATGAACGCGCAGCCTCTCCACCAACAACAGCTCCACCAACAGCCACCAATGCAGATGCAGACACCCCAGCCACAGATGCATATGGGCTATGGAGGTGTGCAAGGCAGCAAGCACTCGCATTTCATGCAAGCTGCTCTTCCCGATTGGTAGTAGCAGTAGGAAGAGAAGTCGGAACAGTTTTTGCATCTAGCGGTCTGCCTGTGATGTTTCTGCTCATGCCTGGCTGCAAAACTGGTGTGCGATCCTGAGTCCTGCTTCAACTTTAGAGTGGCCTGCAAGCTGTATTCCAGGCAAGAGAAAGCAAGTTCAGCAAACCCGGTTTCTGCTTTCGCGTGTTCTGTGCAAAGACCCTCCATTTAACGACAACAGCATCGCCAGCACCAGCGACGACATGGGTTGGTACTTTACTTTAACTCATCGCTGGCCGTGACTTCCCGATGTACCATCGTGGAATTGTAGCATGTTGACTTCTGCTCCACATGCTCATAGCTTATAGCACTGGATCAGATTGAGTCACGGACCCTGCGCCGCGAACAAGCTTCCATATGGCGCCATGCTTTTGCTAATGGGTTCAATGCACCGTGCCTGGTCTTTCGGTTCGCCCGGCTGAAGCTGAGGTGTGTGCGTGTGTGTGTGTGTGTGTGTAGCGCACTACGGCTGGTGAAACGCGCTAGGATCACACGCGGTAGGATGCGTGCGTCCATGACAGAATCCGAGAACAGAGAAGGTTCCCAGAAGAATCTGGGTCACAGCTCCAGGCTAGTTTCCACAAGTGGTCAGTGTTTCCAGTTTTCTGGGTTCCATACCAGGATAGCGATTGTCTCGTTTGGTGTTTATGTTGCACCCTCTAGCGCATACCCACCCCATTGTGGCTGAGTCTTGGCTGGACGGATTGAAGGCATGTTGCCCACACCCTTTCGCCCTTTCGCTAGATCCCACAGGACGGAACAAGATTTTGCAGTCTGTGAACCATTGCAGGCCTGCGCGATATCCGAATCTGCATGCAACGCCTCTCAAACTTCCCAGCCATGGCGGCTGTGCACATTTTGCTCTTCTTTTCCCAGGAAAAATGTCCCATAAACACCCTCCAGCGCATACCCACCCCATTGTGGCTGAGTCTTGGCTGGACGGATTGAAGGCATGTTGCCCACACCCTTTCGCCCTTTCGCTAGATCCCACAGAACGGAACAAGATTTTGCAGTCTGTGAACCATTGCAGGCCTGTGCGATATCCGAATCTGCATGCAACGCCTCTCAAACTTCCCAGCCATGGCGGCTGTGCACATTTTGCTCTTCTTTTCCAAGTTTAATGTCCCATAAACACCCTCTAGCGCATACCCACCCCATTGTGGCTGAGTCTTGGCTGGACGGATTGAAGGCATGTTGCCCACACCTTTTCGCCCTTTCGCTAGATCCCACAGAACGGAACAAGATTTTGCAGTCTGTGAACCATTGCAGGCTTGCGCGATATCCGAATCTGCATGCAACGCCTCTCAAACTTCCCAGCCATGGCGGCTGTGCACATTTTGCTTTTTTTTTTTCCAAGCTAAATGTCCCATAAACACCCTCTAGCGCATACCCACCCCATTGTGGCGGAGTCTTGGCTGGACGGATTGAAGGCATGTTGCCCACACCCTTTCGCCCTTTCGCTAGATCCCACAGAACGGAACAAGATTTTGCAGTCTGTGAACCATTGCAGGCCTGCGCGATATCCGAATCTGCATGCAACGCCTCTCAAACTTCCCAGCCATGGCGGCTGTGCACATTTTTCCCTTCTTTTCCAAGTTAAATGTCCCATAAACACCCTCTAGCGCATACCCACCCCATTGTGGCTGAGTCTTGGCTGGACGGATTGAAGGCATGTTGCCCACACCCTTTCGCCCTTTCGCTAGATCCCACAGGACGGAACAAGATTTTGCAGTCTGTGAACCATTGCAGGCCTGCGCGATATCCGAGTCTGCATGCAACGCCTCTCAAACTTCCCAGCCATGGCGGCTGTGCACATTTTGCTCTTCTTTTCCAAGTTAAATGTCCTACTTCTCCAGTCCTGTATCTAAACCCTGACCTGGCCGGCATGCCGTGTCGGGCCCGAGAAGATGCCTGCGCAGGTGCCGCACAAGTCAGAACATCTCCTTTCCAAGGCGACGGCAGGAGAAAGTCCTCTTTCTGAGCTGTGTGAGAGTCGTCGGAGGTGGACCAGGTGGACAGTACCAGCCTTCAGGAAACATGCCACCGGCCGGGGGAGCACAAGGCAGACTCTAGACTGCACGACATGATTGCGCATGGACGGCAGTTCAGTTCCTTCTGACCACTATATGCCTGGATTCTAGATTCGACCGTAGTTTTGAAAATCATTTATTTGCGGAGTCTCCAAGCCGCGGTCCAAGCATGTGTGCCGAGGCCTGTATGGTGGAGCAGGTGGTAATAGCCTCTACGGCACGGCAGCCGGTCCTGGTGGATTCCGCTGAGAGTGAGCACATGTAAGAATTCACTTTCTTACAGCTGCCAAACTTGCTGCACCTCCTGCACAGCGTTCATAGGTGTCGGGTGAGGGCAGGTGCACAGAGATTCAATGTCGAGCGTCTTGGATGCAAAATCCATCGCTTGCAGAATGGTCTGTGACATGCGCGTAGCGGGGATGAGTCGGTCATGGTTGGGGGGATGACTCGGCAGAGTTGCACAGACATTCGCGCGCTGTGCAAAGACCGCAACGAAGTCGTGCCGAGTGCGCCGGGCAATGTTCTGCAACTCTGGAGTTTGATGGACGCAAGCATAGCATGCTAAGCAGGACTGATGTTGCCAAAGATAGCAGCTGCCTTCCACAAGGCTGTCGTCCTTCGAACTCTTCCGTCATGATTCCGGATTCCTGCCACACTTGCTGCAGGTGCGCCTGCTGACAACGAGGCATGCTTGCAAATGCTGGTGCTGACATGCTGGTAACCGTGCTGGTATGAGGATCTAGAGAGGCAGCTTCGTCGTGCCGAGCGAGCAGCAGGAAGCTCCACCGCCTTGAATTTTTCTTGCAACGTGGATCGGAAAGCTTTCCTGCGAAAGCAAAGGTTCCAGAGTTTCTGCTTGCTTCAGGCCTGGCCGGCTCTGCGGAACAGCAGTGGAGGGAGGTCGTCGGGCCTGCCACGCGGCCGTTTAAAACATTTTCTGTAGATGAAGGTCTTGGTGAACGCTCGGGCCACCCTTCGGCGAAAGCCGGATGATGCAGCTGCCTTGGTCACTTCGTCTTTTTCTTCGTGATACCTGTTTATGCAAGCATGCATCTCCTAACAGCAGAGTAATTGGTCAAATTAGGCGGTGCCAGGGGGAGGGAATGCAGATGTGAGCTAAATCGATCGCTCACCTTTCGCAAGGCTGTTGCTTTGCGGTGCGCAGCAAGGGCTCTGCTGTGCAGGGCCCAGCTCACGCAAGCTTAATCTTGACTTTGTCATGCCTCACCACTTTGCAGTTTCGGTCTGCTGCCAAGGTCAATAGACGGCGATGCTGCAGAGATCCGAGAGTGCTGCCAGCGGAGGAGCAACACAGTCTCGGTGAGTGTGCCACATGCAGCACGGCCAGGTATGCGCGACAGGCCGCTGAATATGGTGACGAGGCAAGTCTGCATGGCCACGGAAAGATCACTCGTGCCCCGTGGGAGCGCCAGGCTTCAGGATTTTCTCTTGGCTACGAGCTGCACGCATACCTGGGCAAACTGGCAGAGGCTGTTCAGTTTGGACTAGAAATCTTGTCAGACATCACCGAGCTCTGCTGAAGGCGGAGCGGTCCTCTTCCATGGCTGAAAAGCATTACTCTGCGGCTCTGGCCTCCAAGGAGACACGGGCAAAGAGTGCATTGGGAAGGAACTTGGTTTTCGAGAGGCCGGTGACGAGACAGCCATGCTGGGTCTTGCCCGTGTGCTGCACGGGAAGGACAAGGCACAGGCAAGCAGCGGCATAGCAGCTATTGCCTCCAAGCCTCGAAGCTGGCCCGGCTGAGGCGCGGCGACTCTACGAAGAGGCCCGGGCTGGGGGGATCCGAAACATGTCATGCGCATGGCACGGTTCCCCAAAGCTCTTGAGGTCGTGTCGAGGCATCCGGACAGTGCCGAAGGGCACAGGCGCCTGGCTGAACTTCACCTTGAGGCTCCGATCTCAACTTCGCCAGCGGCTCGTGATCTCCTTGCTTTTGGCACGAGGCCGATGAGGCTCTCGAAGCTTATCGGCTAGCTGCACAGGCCTGGCTCGTGAGCAGATTCTGCGGGACGGCGGCTTCCTAGGAATGAGCCCAGCGCAGGCAGCCAAGCTCGCACCGAGGGACGTTTCAGCTCATTTGTGCCTGGGGTACGCGAGCCTGAAGCTGGGAAGGCAGGAGGATGAGGATCGATACTGATCGATTTTGTCGACTACTAAGACTAGACTCTGGCAAGGGCAGATGAGGCAGCTCGCTCTTTCGAGCAGGCACAGCTCTGTCGTCTCGCAACTTTGAGGCCGGACTGGTCAGCCAGCCTCTGATAAGTGCAGGCAGCCGTGTTGCAGCCCAGTGCACTCGACGTCCCGGCCATGGTGGCTCTGGTCACCTGGCACAGAAGCGATTGTGTCCGCTGCTGCCGGCACTGCTACTCAGCTACTCTTTCACTTCGAGGCATCCCTCTACCGAAAAGCTGGTCGAGATGAGGCTTCACTTTCTCTGCGTGTTGATGCGACATCCATGCCAACGTGTCCCAAGGAGGCAATTACTTACTACAAGCGGGTGCTCGATATGCGGCCTGGTGATTACGAGTGCACTTTGAGCCGCTTTTCTGCAGTAGCGCAGGTTTCGATCGTCACTGGGTGGCTGCACAAGGGGCACAGAGAGGGGCGAAGACGACCAGCTGCATGTATCCCGCTTGTCACTCGTCTGGAGAGCGGGGGATGTAAATCTCATGGTCACACACTCGAAGTGGCGGCAGTTTGCGGCAGTAGAAATGTGGGCTGTGCAAGCCCACTGTTTTGCACCGTCCGTGTCCGTGTGTGTGTGTGTGTGTGTGTGTGTGTGTGTGTGTGTGTGTTTGTTTGTGCAGGAACACTGCACTGCAAAAAGCAGGCCTAACGGCACGCTCATGATCACCTTCGCGATTGATACTTTTGCTCTTTCCTTTTCTCCCGGAGCTCTATGACAGTTGACGGGCAAATCATGATGAACCCCTCGCCCCGGGGGCGAAAGCCCAATCTGTTATGCTCCTGGGTGCCGCAGTGCGCAGCTGGCCACAAACGTTGCTCGACGAAGGTTGCCGTTTGCTGCCATCGAGACCTCCACAGTAAATCAATGGAACTTTTCAGTGTGTGCGCCTGTATGCTTGGGTGCCATTGTCACGTGGCAGAGCTCGCCTGGGAGACCAACGAGTTCGTAGAGGAGTTTCGACTCCGTGTTTCCCGCAGAAGGCAGAGCCTGCTGCGGCCCGGTTGAAAGCAAGTCGTCCCGCGACTCTGTGTTGGCCTACTGCTTTCATTGAAACCACGGCTTCATTTGATATCTACCTTCGAGCGTGTCTCGACGGAGTGCCGGTGCTGATTCTACCGGTGCTCACTCAAAACCTCCGAAGAACCCTTGGCAGCACCCAGCATGCGGCATGGTTTGTTTGGGCCTGCTGGTTGTTCGGAACTGGGATCCCGAGCAAGACAGAACGGCCTACAGTACCCTTTCCATCATCTGGAGATGATCCTTCCACGTTTGGTACAGGATGAGGATTTCTTCGTGTAGCTGCAGCAGAGTCATCAGTGCTCGCAGAGAGGTTTGTGTCCAAGGTGTTGTTCGGTGAGGTCAGCTGGACCTGATGTTTCGGCTTCGCCTGACTAATGCTGGCTCTGAGAGACATGGCGGAGATGTCCGCATCTTGCGCCAAAGTTCCCGGCCATCTCTGAGCAAGACGTGTTCCATTAGTGACCCACCTCGGGATAAACTGTGGAGGACGACGAGGCCTACTGGCAGGAGGAACAGTTGTCTTGGGAACATCCGGGCGCAATGAGGGGTGGGTTGTGTTTGCTCCCGAAAACAATGAGTATAACAGGAGATCGCTCACGAGGCTTCGTACGGAGGAAGATAACCGGAAGATGCATCGATGGCGTGCCCCCAGCCACAAACTTGACTAGCGAGGAGGTGAACGACAACCGGCAGGAAGTTCGGGGGACCAGGCTTGCGATCGCGACCGAGGGCGGGCGATGTTGACCAGAGCAGCCCGAGCACAACAGTTAAAACGAAACACAGCATTCTACAAGACTCCCCGCACTGACAAAAAGTATCAGCGGCTCCTGGAATGTGGGTGCGAGGCCGCAAGGGTCAAACCAGAGGACTTGCTAAACATGTCCGAGCGGCAAGGTCGTGTGGGTGTGGTTGCTCCGTGGAGCTCTTCTTCACAGGTCTTTCATCCCAACCCGTCTCATCAGCACCAAATCATGAACGAGTGGTTTCTCGAAACTGCGCTCTTTTACGCGGTGCTGTTGGATGTGTGGCCGGACACCTTCAAAGCCACAAGGGTTTCGTTCTTCAGATGCAGCACGAGCTCAGCGACTGCTGCAAGTAGCAGGAGGCAAAATATCTTCGGGATTTGTCCACTGAAAACGGCGTGATGGCTCTGTGGACTCATCACCTATGGTGGAGCCCCTCCTCACGGCACGTGCAGGATATCGACGATGTCCGAGGCAGTGAAAATGGGGCTTCATCGAGACACAGAGAGCATGTGGAGTTAATGCAACAAATCATTGCCGCTGTCACCATTGCTATGATTCTCTCTGGTAATCATCCGGTTGCGCTCGGCAGGAGGACACGAACGTGGGCAGCCCCATCGGGCGAGGAATCTTCAAGTGCCGTGTCAAGGAGCAGTTCCGATGCCCCCCCAGCGTGCCGGCATGTGCCGGCTAGCTGCCTGCCCCACTACGTCTCACCAATCGGAGAGGCTGCACAGATGGTTGCCGGCCGCGGATTCTAGCGTTATAGTCATAGTGGGTCAGGTGCCAGAGGAACCCAACATTGTGCACAGACTACGACCACTACGCCGACACATTCAGAACAACAACTTTAGGAGGTGCAGTTTGAAAGCAATTTGATCCGTGTGGCCGGCACATCTTGGCATGTTGTCAAGACTCGTAAACATCTTGGATATGCGTGCCGTATCAGACAGACTGCTGCAAGCCACCCAAACTCAAGCCTGTCGCCGTTCGTTTGAGCGGTTGAGCGTTAGTATCAAGAACAAGTCTCTGAGCCATCCTTGGGCCCCACGAAAAGAAGAGCCATGCACAACATCATGACAGTTTTTTTGCATAAAAATTATGAAATCAAGAAAGTTTGACCCCGAACTTATTTCCGGACCCCTCTGCTAGAAGTCATGCTGTCTTCATAGTATCTTCACATTTTTCTCTGCGGTTGTGGGTTGAGAGGGGTGGCGCGGGCGGGAGGGCGGGGAGGAATTGGTCAGTTCTCAAGACATGTGAACAACTATGCAACAATTGCGAAACATGCCAAAAGTGAGGGAATGAGGACATCCGAGAGAAAACAAAGAACAAGCAACTACAGTACAGAGGCCATCATCTAGAACACGACCGTCCGCCGTGTCTTGCAGCGCCTATCACCTGCCCAGTGGAGCCATCCAGCAGAGTGCAGCAGAGGTTTGGCGAACATCCACGCCGACAGAGGGGTCAACGGGGCAAGCCAGGCCTCGGGATTTTAATGCATCTCGACCTGTCATTGGCATGTCGCCGCGTAGGCGTTACACTACTTTCGAGCAGCCTTGCAGCTTTCTCCTTACGGTCTTTCAGCAGCACATTCGTGCTTGTGTGCGCATTGTATGCTGAGGTGCAGGCCGACCACAGTTGACAGTCGAAGCATCTATCTGCAGGCAAGAAGATCCCGAGACGATAGCTGGATGTTCGCAGTCGCACGTTGGCTAGATGGCGGCCGTGCAGATCGCGATCAACTCCTGGAAGGCCGTAGAGTCATACGGCAAAGCTGGTCAAGGCTGCAGTGGTTTTTGTAGCTTGCAAAGGATGCACAGCAAACCCTGGAAAGCGCGGTCCGCGAACACCCGGATGATGCAGAGGCAACGCACACAATGCACCAGCTCCCGACTCTTCGCTGCCAGCCCACCATGTTGCAGATTTTTCGACAACTGCTCTCAATCTATGAGCAGCTCAAAGACTCGAAGGGGCAGTACTACTGTCACCGCCGGCTTGCAATACACCCAGTTGTCGGATACTACATTGTAGATCGTGCTGAACCAGTACCCACTTGTGCAAGGTGCAGCTTGGCGCTGCAACGCCGGCCACGCAGACTTCGTGCCCCAGTGCGAGTCGCGCGCGAGTTGAGATCAAGATTCTCCTCGGGAGGTATGCAGCTCTGCTGCTGTCAGAAGATCGGGTGCGTGAAGCCCGGGAGCAGCTCAGTCAGGCCGGCCAAGCAAACGAGACTCGGCGGCCGGACTCTGGCAACTGCTCCGCTGCTCCGCTGCTGGCCGCTGTTGTCAGGTCATCAAGCTGGAGCCAACAAACCTCGCGGCGCTGCTCAAGCTGGCGCATTGCCACCGACAGGTTCCGGGAAGCCCTTCCACACCCTGCCTGTCAGAGAGGGACTCGCCAGGAATCTCGAGAAAGCAACTTGGAAGAAGCACGAAAGCTCTATGAGCAGGTTGGTCTTGCCAGCATTGCCCAGCCCCTCGGAAGAGATCAGATTCGCGGCCTGCGGCCGGGAAGGTGCTACACATCAGCCCGTCCAACTCGGAGGCGTCCCGTGGTAACGCAATGTCTTGCCGCCTGCAAGTTCCCCTGCTCAGGCGCTGGAGGGTGCAGCATTTTGTGCTCGGAAAGGAAATCAACTCGATCAGGCACATCGCACACCAAAAGTTTCAAGAGCATGCATGCTTCCAGTGGCTCTTGTGCGGGCAGGCTGTTCAATTTTACCAGCAGTGTCTGAAGGTCGCGGCAGCATTGTAGCGTGGCCTCAATCCTCAAGCTACGTGAATGCATGTATCAAGGTGAATGCGACTGCGGAAGGCCCACTCTACTACCTCGGTGGGGCTCTCGTTGCGCTCCGTCTGTGTGTATGTGTGTGCTTTGGCCTTTGATTTGAGTGTCACTGCCATCCCCTTTCTTGTCGAGGCGACATCCTTTACCGACAGCACCGCCATGCAGAGTGTCAGTTCTATCTGTCGAGGCTACTAGAACGGTGCATCTTCAATAAGGGGGCCTTCAGCGATTGCGCAGCCCACTAACACTTCTAGTCATGAGGCTGGTGGAGACAAATTGTGCGACAGACTACAAGACCGGAGCCTTGTGCCCACCGTCTGACTCCAAGCCGCGACTTGCGGGTGGTCGCTAGCAGAGCGGAAGGTACCTGTTGGCAAAGTCGTACGTATCACTGGACGAGTATGAGGAGGCTGGACATGGCTGGGCCCTCTTGGAAGTGTATATGTGTGTGTGCACTGTCTGATCTCTAGGCAGAGAAGCAAGCCCGGCTTGGTCTCGCACTGAAACCGTCGCTGCCCAAGCCGAATGGACGCAGAATGCAAGTGCACTGTGCATACGAGAGATGCGGATGGGAAAACCGGCCCGAAGCGTGTCTTGGCATTCAGTTGGATGCCCCAACACAAATCATGTGCAATCCGCTCATGTCACGTCAACGGTCAATGCCTACGCCACGCACAACAGAAAGGGCACTACAAGCAGCGCATTCGCAGTGGCGTGCAGTGGCACGCACGGAAAGATGACGGACAGATGACCCATGCAAACCCACAAGCGTGATCAAGCGTGTCATTCAGTGATCCGCATATGCCACACGACAGAAGCAAGACCAAGACAGGAGCTGATCGTGGAAGAAAAGGAGTGTGACAGCAAGAGAACTGCATCTTCTGTTCTTCCTGCCAGCAACTACCCAGGAATCACCCGCATTTTCTGTTCATCCTGGCGTTGGTCAAGAATCGAATGGCCGATTTCGACTCTTCGATTGCCACATTGAAAAAAGCCGTTGCCTTGGCCCTCGAGCCTTGTCAGAATTAACTCCGCCGCTGGATATTGGCAGGCCTTCCTGCACCTGAGCTCCGCGGATAGCGACAACCTGAAGATTGAAATCCACGACTGGCTGGCCCAGGCTAAGCCGCTGAGCATGCTCCGAAATGGTGGACACATGTTGCATGTCTTGTAGTCATATGGGCTTTAATTGTTTTGGCAATGGCAGGCACACAGGCGCACAGACAGACAACCAGACCAGACCAAATCCCTCGACAACAGGGTTTCGCACACCCCCATGTCAGGGAACAGTGCTGGCAAACCATAATGGCTTCGCCTTGCTTCGCCTTGCTTCGCCTCGCTTCGCGGCTTCTAGCTGAATTCTTCTCGGCATCGTTGGCATCCTGCACATTCAGCTTCCGTGAGAGGCGTACGAGCGGAAGGGTGAGTACACGAACGCTTTGGCAGAGTCCGAGAGCACAGCTTTGTCAAGCGGTTTCCGTTAACCGTTAAACCTGACCCCGCAGTGATTTCTAAGGCTCTCCCTGGCCTTGAAGCAGGAGCCATCGCATGTGAGATCCTTGGATTTCGGCTCGCTTATAATTTTGAGTCACGTTCGAGATTTATAGCGGCGCGGCACTGCCCGGCGCCTGGAGGTTTCCTCTCTTATCACGCAGGGTCTCATCCACATGCAGATGAAGGAACTGGAGCAGGTGCTGCGGCACGGCTGCTGCAAAATGTGTTGCTGGGCGAGGGCAGCTGCACCTTGGTTCGTGTGCAGGCTGAGACCTCTTATCGGAAAGCCCTGGCGGTTGAAAAGAATCATGCCGCGCACCCCGAACACGAACACGAACGATACAGCCTCATTGTGGGCTTGAAACAGGCACTTGCTTTGGTTCGCCTCGGCTACTGCAAGCTCTTGGCAGCGGACCTGCAGGAGGTGCACAGCGACGGCTTTGATCGTTGGGCCGTTTACAGTTTTGTGCCGACTGCAGGCGATTCTGCTATTCCAGCGTGCTTTGCAGCAGCGATGCGGCACTGTTGCTCTGCCTCGCCAGATCCCTAAGATGTTTTCAGTTGTTCACACTCACAACGCCCACGTCTCCTTGTCGTCAGGTTCTGTCAAAGGGTCAGCCCGGATCTACATGGCATTGGCCATGATGGGGCAACAGGTCAGGAGTACGGCTGTCTATATGCTTTGCTCGAAAAAGTATGCATATGCTTTGCTCGAAAAAGTATGCAGGACATGGACGGCGCTCTGTACCAGCTTGCAGAAGCTCGCAAAAATCACAGGCTTGTTGCCAGGGCTTTCAGATCTGAGCCACTGGGACGGCACCTGGATCAGGAACTTCGAAAATCTCTGCAGCTCCGGGAAAGACAGCATCGTCAAAGGCAAGTCTCACCTGTGCATGCCCGCTTCGTGCTCACATGGTGCCTGCCCCTCGGCAGGTGAGTGTGAAGGTCTTGTTGGCAAGCTTCGTTCCATGTCGGACCTGGACGTCACCCTTGCGCAGGCGTGAGTTGATTTTGCCTCAGATGCGTCCTCGCACGTCAGCTGGGGTGCCCAAGGCATGGCAGTTGGTTGAGCTGATGGCAAAGGACAAATCACATTCCGAAGCAGAAAAGCAACAGACAGTAGACAGTGAGAGCAGAGAAAGAACATGAAGACCTTGCTGTCAACATCTCGTCATGAGAAGGTCAGGCCCGCCTGCAGTATTGTTTGCAATCAAAGTTGGGCTGGAGACGTCGTGATTGGTTGTTATTGGTGCCGGATCTGCTGAAATCATCGATGAATCAGGGCTTGCTGGGACTCCTTGCAAAGGCTTGTCTTGGAGACCGCTGCTGAAGTCTACCATCAGCACAATGGAAAGATGTCCATTGCTGCGGAAATAAGCAAGTCCTCCGGCAACACGTCTTTCATTGACAGGAGTTGGAAATGGGCCTTCGAGATTCGTCGGCAGGACTTGACACCGTGGAGTCGGGGAGTGCTACTCGGGGTTCTGGGGTTCAGCACCTGCGCCCTGCGAGGAAAGGGCAGCTCGCCAGAGTCGGGGCAGAGTCCTGCGAGAGATCAGCTCCCTGATCTGATACGCGGATCGAAGAGCAAGTGCGTCTTCTTCTGGTGTGGATATGATCCCAAGGTTCGCTGCTTCTTCACCAGAGAGCCAGGTGCCCCCATGCAGCACGTGAGCATTTGCTCCAACAAGCAACCCGTGCACAGGCAAAGAAAGTAAAAGGTGAAGCTACGTCGTCTCCGGTCGGCATCCAAGATACAGCGAACCAAGTTGCACAAGGCAATCAGTCACTATGAGGCCACAGATCGTCGTGCTTGGGTGCTTTGCCTAGATGCACCTCAGAGATCCTCAGAGTCTCTGTTCCTGTGGCGATTGTCCCAGGTATCCAATCAGACGTCCGCGGAGGCAGCCGGACCCGGGCCTGAGAGACGTGCATGGACCGTTGGGACTGGGATGATGGCATTTGTGGTCGACGGGCAGAGGGTCAGGCTCAGGCCTTCAGGCTGCCTTTCCATGAGAGGATTTCTGCGACCGAAGCAAAGGATGCTCGAAGTACCGGCCAGTTAGATCAAGGACCTTTTGCTGCGTCACAACTGCTTTTAACCCGCAAGTTGCCTGACTCTGTAGGAGGCAAGATCCTGCTAGCGAAGCACGAGATGATTGATTTTGCGAAGCGTGCAGCCAAGTTCCTTCAGCATTTTGCCGGCATAGCAGGTGTAGCTTTGCTTTCCAAGGCTGACGCAGAAGGATTGCCTGGGATCCGGTGGTTTCGGAGCTGTTTATCGAGGGTATTTTGGAACTCGCGAGGCCGGAAGTCGCTAAGAGCTGCAGAGAATAGGTTCGATGCTGGAGACAGACTTTACAGTAAGACTGCACATGACAGTGCCCTTGTGTTCGCACTTTACATGGATTTGTCTCCGGGGTGTGATTCAGGTCGAGAGCGTGTTGTGTTCCGAGTCTAGAGGTGCACGGTCTCACGAATGCCTACCCATGATGTCCCCAGCCCCAAACAGACGTTGGTTTGCTGCTCCACTTAGAGACGACGATATCGCCGTATCACGAGCATTTGCAGCTGTGGCGACGTTGCAGCTACGCTTCTTGCGACCAGACCTGGAGACAGGATTTCACGTTGGCCCAGTGGTCCGAGCGACTGCCGTCGCAGACGGGCATAGAGGAGTTGTCGACAGAATGACATCTTCGTGAAACGACTTTAAGTTGTAGTCTGTCTCGCTCACATCTTCAAGAACGGACGGATGATGCAACAGCACCCGAGCATGTGCAGGTGGCAATCAAGAAGTTGTTCTGTGAGGATGGAGGCGCAATTAGCAGCTCTTCCAAAAGTTGCGCAGGCTCAATATCGAGATTGCTGTGTTTCCCAGGCAACATTTCACCGCTGCAGCTGGAGGAACTGGAGAAGGAGGCCCGGGTAGGCCAAACGGCCGAGAGCACGATACACGGCACCACAACTTCAAGTGGCACTTCTGGAGGTAGTTGCGCTTCGAAGCCGGCAACCTAGCCTTCCAGGGTCTCCAAGTTCAGGCAACGCTTCTCCATGAGCCAACGTATTCACTGGAAGGTCTGAGCCATCCACGGCTGGTGGGCTTCATTGGAGCGTGCGTTTCCCAGAGTCCACGGCTCCTACAGAGCCCGCTGCATGATGATAAGCGACGTATCGAGCTGAAGAGCTCCAGGTGCTTGCAGCCGCCGAACTTGTGCATCGTCACAGAGTCACGAGCTTGGGTCGGATCTGTAGTTGCTCGTTGCTATTCCCTCTTCAAAGTTCGTGCTGTGCCTCGCTTTGCGACGCATGTGCACATGTAGGTGCAAAGCAGCTGAAATTACGGTTGCTTTCTGTGTTATTGGTGCCTATTCGCCTCCTTGCTTGATTTGCACATGCAGCTGTCATAGGCCAGAAAATGCCAGAAAGGAATGTAGTGCCGCCAGACTTGCATCAGGAACAGGACCCCCCCCCCCCCCGCCCCCTGCGGAAATTCGGAGCTGTTTGTATACAAGACCGCTGCAACGGCTTTTTTTGACTTATGGATCCCTTCACTGAGCCATGGATGCATCTCTGGTAAGCTTGGTTGGAGATGGAGATCTTGATGCAGTCAGACGCCATCTGGACAGCATTCGCAGGACGCATGGCCAGGCAATTCAACCAATCCCTGTATCTTCCGCTGCACTCCCTACACCAGCTCTTGCCTTGTTCAGGCTGCTGTCGTGAGTGAGATCACGACGTGCGAGCATGAGGCCGCATGATACCAGATGTGTGCGATAGTGCGATATGTAAGTCAGCAGGTCATGCAGGATTCTGGCATCAACGGATATCAACAGTACTGTCGTGCTAAGTAGATCCAGACGTGCCGACATTCATCGCAACTTACGACCTTCCGCACGTGGTGTTTGTTGCAGCCACGTTGCAATTCTGTTCGTTGCTGCAGTGTAGCGCGTATCCCTTGCGACGCCTTGCATTCCCTCGAGGGCCGAAATGCCAAGTCTGCATTGCATCGCGCGGCACTGCGTGGCCGGGCAGAGATCATCTCAGTCTTCTTGCGCGAGGAGGCTGCGGTCAACACACAACCTGCTTGCAAAGCAGTAGTCTAACCCAACCCGTGTTGTGCTTCTGCTGGCAAGGCTCCTGTAGATGTCTTGGATGAGCAGGGAAACACTCCACTGTCCGGGCCATCACGCAGAAGCCTTGATGTACGGAGATCCACGCTGCTGAGTCTAGGCACTTGGCGACAGATTTGGGCCGTGCGCGAGCCGTACACTGCTTGCTCCAGGTGGCTGCAAAACCCAAGCTCAGGCAGTTCGCTGTTTCCATTTCGTTGGCAGGCGCGTGCTTGCGTCCAGACAAGAAACTGCTTCGGGCGATCGGCGAAGGAGTTGCACGTTTTTTCAAGAGCGATGGAGTTTCTTCACCGGCTAACGGAACCTGCACGTGTAGGAGATGGCCGTGACCAACTCGTGGGATGAGCAGAGCATCGCAGACGGCAAAGCTTTGATCAGGAGGCCTGCAGGGCACTGCAGAGGGAAGGCAGTTTGCTCGCAGTCTGCCCGAGATTAGTTTCTCATCGCAGGATGTTCGAAGCAGAGCAAGTTCCTCTGGACAACTTACCAGCCGAGCCGCCAGCAGCCACGCACCCTTTGCCTGAGAAGGCGCTGCTGACAGCACCTATAATTCTAAGATGATTACGTTCGTCAATGTACATATTCATATATGTATCCAAGCAAGTGCTATAATCGCAAGCCTTGCGCGACTCTCTTCTGTTAGGTGCGCAGCCTTGGGCACGTCGATCCCGAAATCAGCTTGCACGTGGACAAACCCGCAACGTCCAGGGAGGAGCCGGAAGTCCCTTGCTCGCACACATGAGTCACATGAGTGAATGTAAATCAGCTCTGCAGTGGTTGCTGCGAGCCATCTGTAGTCTGGACCTTTCGTGGCTGTTTGACTCTTTCAGGGTCCTCAAGCTTTTGCTTGCTACTACCTTTAGACAGGAATTCGATACCGATTGTTGTTGAAGTTTTGCCTGTCATCACAGCATGTTTGCAACTTGCTGCAGACATGTATTTCTGGCTTGTTTGGCAGTTGGGCAGTGTATCGGAAGGCCTAGACTTCAAGAGTAGAGGTTCTAAATTGTAGTAAAGATGCATCCAAGGCTGCATCATCTTGGATGCGGGTATTTGCCCGGACCTTATTGATGTTCATGTTTTACTTTCCTGTTTAACTGTGATGACTGCCGTGCACTTCCACGACACGAAGCTCCAATGAGGTCGGCGGGAAATCGGAAAGCAAGCATCCGCCATCAGCCAGCATGTCGTCACGAACATCGTATAGCCAGATGTCTGATGATGCTTTTCTCACAGAGGCTCGCACCGCGCAGCTACAACGCATGGGAGACAAAACAAAGATGTTGGAAGTACCTGCTGCAGGCGTGCCTCCAGGCACTGGTGAAGCAGGCGGATCTGGGTAGCGTCAAGCGCTGGCTGCGATGCAAGTCCCAGCAGCTGCCCCTCCCGGGCGAGTGCGCCACCAAGCATGGCGATGCTACTAGTAGCGGAATCAGGGCGATGAAGAGTTTAGTTCTTGCTCATACAATTTGAGCGATGCGATTTGCCAAGAACGGCTGAGAGCGCTCTCTTCGCAGCTGTGGGCAGCTGCGAATTCAGTGAGACCGGGGAGGACACCCGTGTTGCACAGTACCGTACTGAGAAGCTTCACTGTTTCGGCCAAGCTGTGCATCTTTTTCTTTTGCTCGTAGCTTCGCCACACCTGGGGACAATCTCAAGGTCGGCTTTGCACTTGGCTGCGCTGCATGGCCACACGGACATCTTGATGCTGCTGCTAGAGACTAGAGCCCTGATGCAGACGGGATTCGATTGCAACGAAATGCACAGCGCACCAGTGCCGACACTCAGGAATCAATCCCAATGTGACGAATGATCAAGGCCCCGTCTAAAATCGTAGAGCATCCTCGCATGTTTGCTGTTCGACATAACCTGCCCTTGCGTTTGCGGTTTTCATCGGGCGCCAGACCCGTTCGTGCATACCTCCATGCCTGGCGGGGGTACTGAGTAGGCCAGTCCTCACGAGGAGGACGAGGAGACACGAGGAGAGACAAGAGGTGATGCGGAATCATCGAAAAGGCATTTAACATCACATTAAAGAATCTCTGCAGCGACTCGCCGATGCAGGCCGAAGGTGAGAGAGTCTGTTGGAATCATCTGTTGCCGTGTAGTTTGTGCGGGAACATCGGGCAGCTTTCAGAGCTTAGCGGAGCCAGAGAAGAGATGATAATATCCTGCTGATGAAGCTCAGCACCAGTTGCACAAGGCAGCACGCCACTGCATCTCGCCGTGGACTTGGATCGTGCAGAATCTGCACAACTATTGCTGAGTCTGGGCCGCAATTTGCAACACGATCCGAGAATCCTGTGGTTTCCAGTCGAGCATGGCCGCTCTTAACACACCTGGTCGTCCTTGCCTCCTCCCACCCGGGTAGGCGCTGTTCGAGCCTGGTTCGTCGCGTGTCATAAATGACCTGTCTGTTGAAGATTGAAGAAGAGAAGAAGCCAAGCTGTCGTTAGAACGCGCTGTCGCTGCTTCTGTGCTACAGTTCAGGGCAAAGGTGCAACGGTTGAGCTAGACGTACAACAATACGGATTCCAGGATTCCTGTCTGCGCAGGAAATTCAGAGCAAACCCGTGTCTGCGGAACAACTTTGGCCGCACGCCGTATGGTATGCGTGATGGTGCCGGCCTTTGTGCAGACCGGTGACTTGTTCAGTCTCTGCAAAGCGGCTCCAGCAGCAGGTCGAGGCCGTCTTCCCGTGCCGCCAAGTGCTGCAGACAGGACTGGCCGCCGCGATGTATCACTGTGAAAGCCGGCAAGTTTCCATCCAGGATGGTGACGATTTTCTTCGATGCATCGAAGCATCTTAGCGACACCGCCGCTCACAGAAATGGTTGTTGGATATTCCTGTCTCCACTCCCGCAGCATGCCTTTCTACGATTGTGAGGAAGTCCATCAGCAGACATCGCAACATGTAGTCACTGAGTCTGAAAGACTGCATGCGTTTTAAGTGCAGCAAGGAATGCAGCATCTGCCGCGAAGACTTTCAGCAAGGAGATCAGCTCCGTGTGCTGCCATGCTTGCACAAGGAGCCGCGGTATTTGTGAGTTTGTCGTTCTATCTTGAGATGCGATGCAACAAGCTGACACAACCAGTACTCAGCCCTTTGATGGTTGTCTCATGTTATGCTGCATGATGTCGTCGCTGTGTTGAGCGCTTGTATGCGGCTGGAGGGGAAGTTTGAGGTTTAGATCCCGGATTCTTGGCAAGGAGTTAGTTTCACATGGACCGGGCCAAGGTTTGAGAGGGCACTGGCTCTGGTGCTGAACCACCCTTGTCAAGGGGTCGGGGTCCAGCTTCTTGAAACTCGCGGACCGAGGGGAGGTTTTTCTAATCAGTGGCTGGTTCTCAGGAGCAGTTAGCATGCACGCATCGACATGTTTTAGCGACAATCGTGGTTGATGGTTCTGGCTGCTGCAGATGACAGTGCACGTCGCAGAAAGACAGAAGGGCTAATAGCCGGTACTTTTCCAGTAACTATCGTCACGGCTTCCTGGTCTTGCCTTGATTCAGACTGCACGCGCTGCTGCCTGCCCTGCAAGTACCACGCTTTCTGCATTGACGAGTGGCTGGCACGCAGCGTGGCCCGGAACTGTCCCTCTTGTTTGCATTGCATCGACAACGTAAGCAGTCAAGAAGATGACATCGAGTTGATCAGTCTGTGATCGGTTAATGCACTTCTGCTGTGCAGGCCTGCGCAGGCCTGCCCAGCTAGTTCTGGCCTCTGATGCAATATCCGCACCCCAAGGGTCGGAGCTCTGCATCTGAATTGCCACGAGTTTGCTCAAGGCAAAAGCCAGTGCCTGCTTGGGGCGACATGCTACACGAGTCGGCTTGAACTTGCTTGCAGCCTCTCAGCCTCTCTTCGTCCTTCCGCGTAGTGCATGCGTCGTCAGAGGTTCATGCCGGGCGGATCATTGCACCATCTCCTGCACAAGGTCGGTGTGAGATGCGCGAAGCTTTTGTCAGTCCGATCACAAAGTGTCGAGGCCCGTACTCCGCTGACTTTGGGGACACAATCCAAAATCGCAATTCAGGCTGCGGGATGCGAGATGCTTCATGTAGTTCCAAGTTTTTGTTCTTTCCAATGGTCTCGCGAGTGAGTCTGTGTCTGCACCGCTGCAACAAGGTTTGTGAGGGTGTCGATTTTCTTCACGGCCACGCGCCTCCTGTGGTGCACCGGGACCTCAAATCGTAATGTCCTCAGTGTGTGCGCCGTGGAAGTTGCAGTAAAGCATCGGGTGAAAACTATGCTTTTGCGGCTTGGGGCGTGTCTGTCTGCAAGGCTCAACATCGTGCTGGACCGAATCTACAACGCCAAGATCTGTGATTTCGGCTTGACTCAGCTGGGATCTTGAACTTCACATTCACGGTGTAGCAGCAAGAAGCAAGCCACGTTGCCACGGCTTTCGCGCCGACTGGCCAGGTCGATGGAGAAGACTCACATTACTCTGAAGGAAGGCGGTAATGGCGGCTCCCCGCGATACATGGCGCCAGAAGCCCAAGGAGCGTCGGCATCAAGATGCCTCGTTGCAGAAAGCCGCTGCTCAGCTTCCCGAGGCCAGAATGCTACGACTGCAAAGGAAAGATTACTGAGAAGGCAGGTTTAGGATGCCAACGAAGGTTTTCAACTCATGTCCACAGCTGAGCACAACATTCCGCAATCACTTTCAGTTCCATTTTTGAAGACAGCAGGCTAGGCCTCCGGCAGAGGTGAACACAGCGGGTCAACCCTCCTTTGATGTTGAATGTTGACACTCTCCACCAACAGAGCGAGCTTGTGGCTCTTGCTCGACTCAACTGTGGGCACGGGAGGCAAACTCCCGCATGTCTGCCAATCCAGCTGGCAACTGTGCTACAGGAGCTCACGCCAGGAAGCGCTTCGCGCGATCATAAGCTCAGAAAGATTCTCGGCTGGATCTCTCTGTAGCATATGCAACCTTCCGGGTGGCATTCGGCGGCTTTAGCAGCAGCTCTTTTCAAGAACTGTGGCTGTGCCGCCCCACACTTTCTGCTACCTGTAAGCATGTCTGGCATTCAACGGCATTCTGTTACAAAGTTGAAATTACAAATACTAGTAATTCGCAGTCCCCGCGCATTTGCTCGGACATCACTAATGCGCCGGTCTTTCAGTCTACTAGCAATCTCGGCGGCTGTTTGCTTGAGCGGAAAGGCCTCAGGCACTTAACAGTGGACGCACGGTCATCGTGACCCTGCAGCCGAAGCTTCACAATGAACGAAGCCATGCTACGGATTTTCGCCACTTTGCTGACGCGTTGATCCGGGGTCTGCGAGTCTAGCAAGGCCTAGTCATAAACTGTGCGCAAAGATCTCGTCAATGTGGAAACCGAAACACAATGTCGTTGCGAGTTTCGTCGGAGCACCGTCGGCACATAAGCAGCTCCAGGATGGAGACGGCATGCGAGTTCGACCCGACCGGTCAATTCAGCAGAGCCTGTCTTGCAGGTGGACGTCTGGGCATTGGGCCGCAGCCTGAACAGAATTTGGAAGTATGCCACCGGACTTTGGATTGTGCGCATGTTCGTTAGTTTTCGTCCTGGAGATGCGAGGTTGCATTTTGGTGGAGGTGTTCGGTGGCCCACTGCCATACGACGATTGCTCAAACATCCAGCAGATTGTCGCAAAGGCCGGCTCTTGTGGCGGCTGAAATCAGAACTTGCGGGTTGCCGTGAAGCACACTTGTGTGCGTAGTAACAACCGTGAACGGCGTAGCTGCCTTCAGCACTCTGGCTCGACGCGACTTTCGCCTAAGCTTTTCTTCTAGCTCCCTCGTTCCGACGGCCATGTCTCTTCCTCCTGCGGCGGCTGCGCAGATGTTGGCTGATGCTCTCGCGGCGGCTCGGCGCACAGGATGGGTCCCAGTCATTGGTTTGCTCACGGCGGACCAGATGGCGGACCTCATCGACGCTGGGCACGCGACGAGCCAGTTCATGGTTGGCATGGTCCAAGGAGCGACGTTGGAGGCTTCGGCGGAGGTTGCGGCGGATGCAGTGGGTGGTGGCACCGGCGGCACGGGCAGCCTGCCCTTTGTGCCGACGTCCATCCCCGAGGGCGACGAGGATGGTGACGACGTGGTGCTGGAGCAGCCGGTTCTGAGCGGGACGGCGGAGGTTGGGTCCCCGCCCGTTGGCCCTTCCACGGCGGCGGCGCCCACCCCGATGGCTACCGCACCGACGCCCTCAGGCAGATCGACGCCGGCCATTGTGAAGGCGACGCCCCCTGGGGAGCTGGCCCCATTGCCATCGGCGCCACCCTCGGTGCCGGCATCAGGGACGACGACACCGGCGAGGGCTGATTACTTCATCGACGCCGCCACCAAGGCCAAGGCGACGTCCTTGCTGGCGTCCAGGGCCGACACATGGCAGGTCGCGGCGCTCACTTCAATGCCCTCCTCTGGGACGACGACACCCGCACAGTCGGGGCGGCGAGGCCCGCCCAATGCCAGGGAGATTGTCGCGGCGTTGAATGTTCAGGCGACGCAGTCTCGCCCTGCCTCATCCTCGACGCCTGCCGGGCGGCGTCCCTTCTTTACTGGCCTCGACGCCATGGAGGAGGCTTCGGCGGCGGCCTCAGGAGCGGCGTCTCCCACTGGCAGCGCCCGCCACAAAGCCCCTCCGACGCCGTTGGTGCCTCCCACGGCGTTGGTCATTGATCCCAACAGGGGCGGCGGCGCCGAGGCGGCGCCCATACACCCGGGTCTGGGGATTGCTGCGACGGTCACCGTGGCGGCGGAGAACATTGAGACGGCGGAGCCGGTGGTCTACCCGCCGACGCCCAACCCCTTCGACGACCCGCCCATGAGCACCTCGGCGAGCCACTCAGCAGCCGCAGCCTCTGCGGCGGACCGGCCCATCCCGCCGACCTCGACGACGACCAGGCAGGGCCCAGAGGCGGCATCGTCCTCGGCGAGCTCATGGATCAATCAGGCCTCGGCGCCGGCGGGCGTGGCCCCCGCTACGGGTGCGGCCCCCGCCCAGGCCGACTGGGGCGACGTCCCCTGGGAGAACCCTCTCGACGCCCAGGCCATGGCCAGGATCGCGGCGGCGGCGAGCAATGAGGAGTTCCCATACATCCGCCAGCCGCCCGCCGACGCTAGCCGGCGACGATCCTCAGTGCCGACGCAGGCCATGCGGGCAGAGAGGCGGCGCAGAGAGGCATCGGCCCATGAGCGACGCCAGTATGAGGCGTACGATCCGCGGCGGTGGGGCAGCACCCCGTGGACGGCGGAGGAAGTTGGCCACATCTCTCCGGCGTACTTCGAGTACAAACGCCTGATGGAGAGGGCCGGCGCGTCAGCCGAGGACACGGCGGTGCCACCACACCTTCGGCGCTTTGCCTACACTGGCCTCGGCGAGCTCAGGGCGATGGAGGCCAGCGGCGCCCTGCCCAGGCCATTGACGCCACGGCGTGGCGAGGACCCGCCAGAGGCGGATTACCCCTTCCTCCGACGCTTGCCCCCCGGCGTGGCCGGCGCCAGAATCACGGTGCGGCACAGCAAGGAGGAGCGGCGGATTGTTGGCTGGTGCGCGCACCCGTGCACGGTGCCGCACCGCGACGCCGTGTGCGGCGGAGAAGGTCGCTGCCTCCGACCTATCGCCCTCGGCGCGGCCGGCTCACACGGCTCATCCGGGAGCCACAAATGCCCGGCGTGTGAGGGCCTGCGAGCCCAAGGGCGGCGCTGAGAAGCCACCCCGACGCTGGGCAGCTGGTATCGACGGGGCTTTTCTTTGGACCCGGCGTTGGCCGGGATCGACGACACCCTGACGACAGAGCTCCCGGCGGAGATCCACCAGAGTTTTTCTTGCGGCGTTCGACGAAGCTCGACGCCTCCCACAGACCATGCTTGGAGCTGCGCCCCGGCGCCAAAAAGAGTGTTTGCATCGGAATGCGGCGGTCGGCGAGTGCTTGCACCTCTCTCTCTCTCTCGGTTGCCGGCGCTTGACCCTAACCCGCAGCCGTTTTGCCCAAACGCTGTCGCCAGCCCGGCGCTCAATTAGGATCTCGGCTCGATGGCTCAAGCTTCCGCGGCGGACCCCGCCCCAGGCACCTTCGCCGCCTTCCTAGCTGAGGTGGCGGCGGCCGGCGGCGGGGCGCACATGTCATGCTTTGCGGCCTTGGGGGTCACATCTCGGTCGGCGGTGGGACCAGCCGGGCCGGCATTGGTGGCCGCCGGCGTCCCCGAGCAGGTCGTACTTACACTGGCCACGGCGACCCAACCCGGGCCAGTCAGGGGACCGACGTCGGCCATGGTGCCACATCGGGCGGACATCCCGTACCGACGCCCCGCGCAGAGGGCCTCAATGCAGGCGGCGCTGGGGGCGGCCGACCCGCAGAACACCCAGAGGGCCATCGACGAGCTGGAGTCGGCGGTGTTCGCCTCCACCACGCGGCGGTCGGTGGACTCCCGCATCAGGTTCTGGCTCAAGATGGCAGAGCGTCACGGCGTGGAGCCCTGGCCCCTCGACCACTACCGGATCAAGCTGCTGGCGGCGTGCCTCAAGGACGGCGGCTACAAGTCGGCGCAGCTCTACCTCGACGCCGCCATCTATCACCACGAGCACGTCCTTCAACTCGACGTGCCACCGGCCCTGAAGAAAGCAGCCCGGCGCTTCGCCCGGGCGGCGGTCCGGGGCATGCCAGGATCGAAACTGAAGCAGGCCTTCGACCTCGGCGTCCTGTCGATCTTGGTCAGATTCCAAGCGGCGCCTGAGCCCCTGGACTGCCGGCGGCCGCACCACGCCGTCGACGTGGTGATCATAGCATGCTGGTTCATGCTCAGGGAGGTTGAGATCGCCGGCGCCCGAGTGCAGGATCTCACACTGTCCTCGGCGACCTTCGGCGGCGGCATCACCCTGGACCTGCCTCTGCATAAGACGGCGCAGGGGGGACAGGCCGAACTGACACGGCGCTCCCTCCGCTGCGTCTGCACGGCGGTGATCCACCCACTGTGCCCGGCGTGTGCCGCGAGGAGACATGTGGCCAGGCTCCACGCCGACGGGGCCAAGGCACCTAGCTCGGCGCTTTTCCCCACCTCTACCACGGAGCCTCGGACGAAAGCGGCGTCCATCGAGATGTTCCTCCTGGTCCTGGCGGCGTGTGGAGTGGAGACACACATGGATCACCCCGACGGCCGGCGGGTGCCCATCTTCGGGGGCCATGCCGCGAGGGTGTCCGGCGCCACCTTTCTGGCGGCACGGGGCGTGGCCATCGCCATCATCCAGCTGCTCGGCCGATGGGCCAGCGCGGCGGTCGAACGGTACACCCAGGCGGCGCCCCTGACCTATGCAGCGGCGGCCATACCGGCACAAGCCCTGGCCACTCGGCCGGCAGAGGCAGCCGGCAGCGCGGCGGCGAGCTCATCGCACAGCCCCTTGGCCCTGCCGGCACCAGACGACGACGACGACGCGGAAAGGCCGACAGCAGCCAGCCCGACGAGGTCCCCCGACGCTGTGCCGGAGGTTGACTTCGTGCCGGCGCCGCTTAGGCCGGCGGCTGTGGCACAGGTGGTCGGCGAGAACCCGACGAGGTTCATCATGAACGCCCGCTCCAAAATCGTGCATCTCCCCGGCGCCGACGAGACGGCGACCGAGAAGCACGAATGGACGGCGAAGTGCGGGTGGCCATATGGCATTCGCCAGTTCTTCCGGCTGTCGGCGGAACCGCCCGACCCCCGGCGTTGCCAGAGGTGTTTCCCTGTGGTGGCGCTCGACGCGGCCACGGAGGTAGGGTCTTCCGACGGAAGCTCCTCATCCTCGTCCGAGGGGTCGACGTCTGATAGCGACTGAGCTGCGACGGGGTTTAAATGCTGCCCCTCCTTTCTCTCATTTCGGCAGTCGGCGGCTGAGCTCGCGCTTAGCACACCTACCGACGCAGTGTTTTAGGATCTTCTAGGCTTCCTTACCCGACGCCCCTCATTCCTTCGCTATGGCTGGTGCGCCGGCGGCTGCTTTCCCTACGGTGGCGGCGGCCATGGCTTCCCTGGACGACCTCATCGTCTCTGCCGGGGCGGCGCCAGCGATTCGGAACTATATCGCGGCGAGGGGGGTCTCTTCTACACCGACGCTCGCACTCGTGGCCGAAGACACGACGAACTTTGTGGCGAAGTTCGTCCAACCCTTCTTGTCCGGCGTGACCTTGGCCGGCACGGAACACAAGGCGGCGCCTGGCAGCGAAGACGTGACGCAGGCTGTCCTGGTCCACCTCTTTACGGAGGCCCAGCGTCAATGGAAGGCTGCCACGGCGCTGCCGATCTCAACTCCGGCGCCTCCGCCCGCAGCTGCGCCTGCGGCGGGGCCCGCTCCAACAGCCACCTCGGCGGCCGACGAGCGCCCCCCAAAGCACTTCGCCCAGTGGTCGGCGCAGGTCAATGCTTACGAGGCCAAGACCATCGACGGGGTGAAACGCCGCTTTCCAGCGGCGCGCCTCCTCGGCGCCGAGGAGGTGCTGGCCAGGCTGTGGCACGAGCACACCAAGACCAAGGACTACAAGCCCTTGGGCCTCGGCGAGATTGTCTCCCGACGCACCTGGACGTCGGGGATGGACCTGAACACTATCTCGGCGAACAAGTCGACGGGCTCAGGCAAGGCCCTCCGGCTCGTCGACGGCGCCCTGGTCACCGAGGAGTCCGACGAGTGGACCCCCAAGGGCATCATGCTCACGCTCGACGGGATCGAGGCGGCCAAATGGGCCTGGATCATATGCGGCTATGACGAAGAACGGCGCGTTGAGCGCTTCACCGACTGGTTCAGCGAGAAGGCCAGATCGCGACAGGCGACGATCCCGGCGGTCCACTCGTTCTGGGCCGACTCCATGTGGAAACTATGCGCCGAGATGCGGCGCGGCCTCACCTTCGGCGCGGCCACCAATGCGATCATGGACGACGCAGCCTCCTGGAACGAGCACGTCATCGCCCACTCCGCGGCGGCTGCCATGAAGAAGCAGGTCCAGATCACCAAGGAAACCGGCGGGCCCAACTCGACGGGGACTGAGACACACCAGGAGATCGACGACCAGCCCACCAAGGGGAAAGGACGGCGATGGCCGCGACGACGACCCAAGAAGACAGAGCAGCCCAAGGGGCTCGGCCGCGGCGGCGGCCAGCAGACGCCGTACTACCCCCACCAAGGAGGGGGCGGCGGTCGCGACGACAGCCAGGGCTGGCAGCATCAAGGCGGCCGAGGCGGCGCACAGACCTGGAACACCTGGGGCGGCGCCAAGCGCAGCCAGCAGTGGGATGAGTCCCAACAGCACGGCGGTTGGAAACAATCCGGCGCCCAGGGCTCCCAAGGCGGCGCCGGAGGATGGAAGAAACAGCGCTAGGGACAGCACGGGGCCCCGCCCTCCGGCGGACCAGAGGGTGGGGTACCCGACCCGGCGCGGAAGCGCCCCCGCCTACAGCATAGACGCCCGGCGGGCTCCGAAGTCATCCTGCTCTCCTTGTTCGACGGTGTCGGCGCGGCGCCTTGGCTGGTGTGGGATCTGGTCGGACAGCCGGCGGCCATCCTGTCTTGGGAACTGGACCGCACGGCCACGGCGGTGGCCGATCACCAGGTACCAGGCATTCGACACCGCGGCGACCTCTGCCAGGACGACCCGGCGAAGGTCGCGGAGATCATCGAGCAGATTGACCCCGGCGGCGACTGTGATGTCATCGCGGCGGCCGCCCCTCCATGCCAGGACTTTTCCAGGGTAGCCGACGGCCAGGGCCACGACGGCGCTCGGGGCGGCCTGTTCCTACAGTCAGTCGAGTTCGTGCTCGAGGTGCGGCGGCTGGTGGCTCCGCGGCGCTTCGGCTACCTCTTCGAGAATGTCGAGATGTCCACGGCGGATGCCAAGCAGATCTCGGCGGCTCTGGGGACACAGCCCGTGTTCGCCGACGCGGCAGACTTCGGGTGGATAGGGCGGCCCCGCCTTTGGTGGCTTTCGGCGGACTGGGGCCAGGTCAGGCTGGACCCCGGGACCGGCGAACCACTTCAATGGGCGCGGAAAGGCCCTTGGGACCGCCTCAGGCTCGAGGAGGCCCGGCGAGCAGCCGACACCATGACACTCGACGGCCTCACCTTCGACGACAGTGTGCTCTCCGGCAGGAGGCGCCTCCCTTGCGCCACGACGCCAGCGACCGACGAGAACGGTCGGGCGGCGCCCAGAGGTTGCAGGGGGAAGATACCGGCCGACGCGCAGCAGCGTTGGCTTGCAGACCGGCGGCAGTTCGCTCCATGGCATTACCTCCGCGAAGCCATGATGGTCGGCGCCGACGGGAAGCTCCATGTGGTCCCGCCCAAGGTGAAGGAGCAGCTTCACCACCTGCCGGCGGATTACACCCTCCAGGCCGGCGACAGCACCCTCGACGACCGGACCCGCCACCGCCTACTCGGAAATGGGTGGCACTGGGGGGTGGCACGGCGCCTGCTTCTGATCCTCTTGGTGGCCACCAACATGGGAACGGCGACCTCCCAACCGACGGGACCGCCCCGCCAGTCGACCATCTCCTGGGTGGCGGCGCTGTGGAGCCACGGCGGCCCGGTCATGGGCCCGGCACCCGAGCAGCCGATGGGACCCGACGCATTGGAACACCTCGACGAGGACTCCCACTGGAGAGCTTCGGCGCTGCTGCCGCACCCGCTCCAGACAGACCCGGTCCTGGAACCGGCGTGGGCGGAGGGGATCACACTGCGCCGGCGCTGGAGACACGACCTGGCACGCATTCGGCGTGAGGTGCTCGACGAGGTGCGGCAGCTCATCGAGGACTTCGCCGATGAGACGGCGGCGTGGATGGCAGCACGCACACCAGCGGTCCGGGCGACCTACTCGACGCCGGACAAACCGGCGGTCACACAGATCCCGGTCTTCTTGGAGCTCCTTCGACGCCTCAACTACCCCGACGTGGCGAACCTTGAGAAGGACCTCACCGACGGCTTCGACATGATCGGCGCCATCCGCCCAGGCCCAGGCTGGAGGAAGAGGACCGACGACCGCTACAGGTTCCCGGCGTCCATGGAGTCCCTGCGCCAGGTGAATGCTGACTATGTGCGGCGCAAGGTGGCAGCGCCACACACCGGCGAGCACACCGACACCCTGCTGAAGGAGCTCGTCGACGAGGTCCGCCTTGGGCGGGTCATTGGCCCAGCGCGCCCACCGACGTGGCTCAAGGCCAAAGCTGTGGCACTCCCCTGGGTCGACGCCGCGGCGGTCCTTGTCGAGCCACCACCCGGCGAGGCATTCCTCGCGGCCTCCTTTGCCATCATCCAGCTCGACGAGAATGGTGATCCCAAGATCCGCCGGGGAGAGGACTGGCGGCGCTCAGGTCACAACTCGACCATCAGCGCCGACGACGTCCCGACACACCACTTCATCGGCGCCTTCGTCGAGCTCGCCCGCAGCATGGCGGTCGACGGCGTGATCCTGGTGTTCGGGCACGACCTGCTCAGCGCCTACAGGCAGTGGCCTGTCAAGCACCCGGCGCAGTGCGGGACCTTCTTGGCCACGGCGGAAGGCTGGACCTTCTGGTACCACCTGGCCATGAACTTCGGCGCCACCGCCTCGGTTTGGAACTTTAACCGCGGCGGGGATGCCCTCCAGCAACTGCTGCGAGGGCTCCTGCTGCTGGCGACGGGGCACTACGTGGATGACTTTAACGGCCTGGAGTTTGAGGAGCTCGGCGAGTCGGCGGCCGAGTCCTTCAAGGAGCTCTTCGCGGCGCTGGGCTTCCGCATTAAGGCATCCAAGTCCCAACCGGCGGCGGCCCAACACGTGGTTCAAGGCGTCACCTTCACCATCTCTCGACGCGGGGTCACGATCAGCCCCACTCCCGAGAGAGTGCGACGCATCTTGGCACAGATTCGCAAGGCGCTCGACGAGGACCAGCTCAAACCCGACGACGCGCAGAAGCTCGCGGGCAGGCTCTCCTTCCTCACACAGGCGGTCTTCGGCGGCGTTGGCAAGGCATCCACCAAGGCGATCTATGCCCGTGCGGCGGATACGTCGGCACACTCTGCCGACGGCCTCAACACGGGGTTACGGGCGGCGCTGCTGTCCCTGGAGCACATCCTGCCGACGGTCCGCCCTCGCTTCATACCCTTTGCCACCGACGAGCTGGACACTGCTGTGCTCTATGCCGACGCCTTCTTCCTGGACGGCGAGCGGATCCACAAGGCGGGGCACGTGCCAGTGTCGGCGGACGCCTCCAGACCCAACCGTGCCAACAACGGCTGGGGGTTCGTCTTGCGCCTCGGCGGCACTGTCTTCTACGACCACGGCGTCGTCCCACAGTGGTTCCTGCAGAAGTTCCAGGCGCGGCGGGCATTCATCTACATGCTCGAGATCTTCGCGCAGGTGGTCGCGATCACGGCGTTCTCCGCCCACATGCCCGGCGCCATCACAGCCTTCATCGACAACTCTGCGGGACAGGCGGCGTTGTCCAAGGGCTATGGAAAGGACCCGGCGGTGAACGGGCTGCTGGCAGCCTTCTGGGCCCTGGCGGCGAGGAAGGGGACCTTGATCCAGTTCCGGCGGGTACCGTCGAAAGCCAATGTGGCCGACGCGGTTTCCCGCGACGACTTCTCCAGGGCACGACGCGAGGGGTGGACGAGGGTCCACACCCCGGCGTCGACGATCATGAACATCCTGGCGAAAGCGGTCGACGACATCGTCTATGCAGTGGATGCGGCGGCGGCCGCTTTGGACTCCTGCTCTACTTCCTGGTTCTCTGAGCCGGCGCGTAGTGGGGCAGGGTGCGCCGGACGGTGCTGAAATGCGCACCCGGCGCCGGCTGTAGGACTTGAACCTGCACGCCGATCGGCGCTTTCAGCGCTATACATCCACACGACGAAAAAGAGAGTCGTCCAGTTTGGCGTCAGAGCTAAGAGTGCGACGGTTGTTGTGAAGCACACTTGTGTGCGTAGTAACAACCGTGAACGGCGTAGCTGCCTTCAGCACTCTGGCTCGACGCGACTTTCGCCTAAGCTTTTCTCCCACCCACGCCACCCTTAGGGTTCGGCGGCGGTCAGTCCGCAGCGGGCCGGTGCTGAAATGCGCACCCGGCGCCGGCTGTAGGACTTGAACCTGCACGCCGATCGGCGCTTTCAGCGCTATACATCCACACGACGAAAAAGAGAGTCGTCCAGTTTGGCGTCAGAGCTAAGAGTGCGACGGTTGTTACATGCGCGAAGGGTAGAGAGGATAGGAGAGGAACGGCGCAAAAGCGGTGTATTTTGGTCAAACTTGTTGGTGGGTAGCAAGAGGGCAGAGCGGCTGCAGTGGGGCAATATGGGCCCGGAGGGACTGCCGTGAGTTCTCGCGCGAGACGCCAAGAGTTGAAACTGTTGAGTTTGCGAAGCTCAGTTCGTCGAGTCTTTCGAACGCCTCCCAGTCTTGCAAAATCGAGCTCTATAGCCAGGAAAGCTTTAATTAGCCCTCCCCTCATGCCGCTGTCCGACATCGTCAGACTGGTCGCGCGCAACTGATCTCTGTGATTGCGCCCACGCGGGTGTGTACAAGGCCCAGTCGACTCTTTGCAGACACATGGCTGCAGGTGCTGATTGATAAGCAACTGCCGTACATCCCACATCATCTTCCTGCCGGGTTGCGCCCCATCGACGACCTGACATGTTAAGACCTGTTTCCACTCAACTTCGATTATTTGTCCATCTATCCAACCTTGCTATGACAGGTCGAGGATTGCTTTCAGTTCGATTTTAAACAGAGGGCATCTGCCCAAGATGCCGCGGCCTCAATTGTGATCTCATCGATCTTTTGTGCGACCGTGCAAGCTTTTGGAACCCTGAATGGTCGGTAAGCTACTTGTCTGCTTGTTACCGCGATCACTGCTTTGCCCACGAGCCAGGTGTTCTCCCGGATGAAATTGCTGGGACTGCCAGGCGAGCTGCGAAACTTCTGCATGATACTGGTACTGGGTAGAGCCCAAGCCAACAGCAAGACGACCCATCGCTTTTGAGTGTTGCCAGCGAGTCCCGCAGGATAGCTCCAAAGAGTTTGCCTGACAGTTGCGGCTCCAGAACTCGCCAGGCCAGGCAGGGCCTTTGCCTCTTCTCTCATTCGATGCAGCAGCTGGCAGGTCATTGTAAATGATTGTGCATATTCCTGCAACTGGCTCGCATGACTCACCTGGCAAAGGGCAAACCCTTTGAATCAGGCAGTTTCCATGTGACGCATGTAGCAGTGCAGCTTACATGCAGCAGGCACGTTAATCCACCACCCGTGCCATCGAAACGATGTAGCGCATGGGTTCCGTAGACGCGAACATCGCGCATCTTGCTGCCGGTGGGTGCAGCTCACGGTCAGACCATCAGCGGCATGCGACAAAAGCAGCAAGCGCCCACAGCCAGCTTGATTTTCTCCTGTTCTTCGTAACATCGCACAAGGTCAAGCTCAGCTGCCCCTTGCGCAGTGCTCAAGCCGTCTTGTTAGCACGCTGACATCATTCCTTTCAGGCAATTCTATATACAATGGAGCAGTCGCCAGCAAGTGTGAGATTCTTCTGCGCCGTTTCATGATGGAAGATGGAGAGGCCCCCGGCGCATTTTGCAGGTCAGTCTATGCACAGCACGTCTGATGCACAGCGTGAACACTTCCGCACTAAGCCATAACGTGGCGACACACAGTTCGCATTGGCCTGCAGGCAGTTGGTTCACCCACCGCAATTTTGGACGAGCTTCTGGCCCAGGACAAACTCGGGCTGAGAATCGGACAAGACACAGAGAAGCATGCGCCATGCAGATGATTCGAGGAGGAATACAACCTGGTGAGGGCTGGTGCAGCTCTGCGAGTCTGCACCTCGAAATCCGCTGTGGAATGGCTCGAAACTTTGAGAGGCAGCCTTCGGCATGTCCTCGTACTTGTGCCGAGTGGCTAAAGAAGACATACAGTCCTCAAGCCGCTTGTTAAACACTCGGGAGGTGTGTTTACAACGATACGGCACAGCCACGAAACACAACATGCTAGGATGCGCGTGTGTCATTCTAGCTGCAAGTGTATGCATGCATATATACAGATATACTTTCTGATTTTCGCACTTCCAGCCGAAGCATCGGTAATACGTGTGTGCGTTTTTTGTTTGCGGTAGCTATGTTGTATTGACAGCGACAAGACCTTCACGGAGCTGAAAACACTCTTAGCCCACAACAAAGGTGACAGCAGAGTTTTGGCCTGACGAGCTCGAGGAAGCAGAGGCGGCGATTACTGTGCAGTCGAAGCTACTCGTATCATCCCGTTGAGTATGGCGTTCTGACAGGGCACACTGAGCCCGATCTCACAGCAGATTGCCGACCTTTGTGGTGGCCTTACACTTTTTTGTGGTCGTGGTCGTGCTGCGTCGGAGCACGTGTTCTCACCGCCTTCTACTAAATAGAAGCACAGCATTCAAGACCCATCAGCACATGCTCCAAGCAGGCCCAGCAAAGAGAATCCTGCATTCCAGGATATTCCAGGGTAGAAGTTCAACTCAAGCCCAGTCCAGTTTGTGCTCCCACGCTTTTATGCCAGAGTCATGATCTCTCGAAGCTAGTATTGAACAACCGCCACGGCCTTTTCCAAAACGGTCCATCGAGCGTTGACCTGAACCGTAACTAGATGGGCACTCACGCAGAAGTCCCGTTGCCACAATTGTCGTGCTTAAAGGCTTATCGGGTTGTGACATGACATGGCTATTTTGCAGCTGCGCTAAAGGGTTGCAAAATTGATGGAGCTGGTTTCCAGGCGGTGAATTGGAAACTTGCTGCGGCCTCGAACACCGTCACAATTGTGTCGTGCTGATGACCGCTTGGTAAGTCCTGAGCAAACATGCAAAGAATGCATGACCATGCTCGTATATGAGAAGGCCCATCATTGGCCCATCTTACCCGCGCCATCCAGAGCTTAGGCCTGGGAAGCCTCAACTCCTGGCAACAGCACGACTCGCATCGACACAAGGCGGAGCCGAGTGTTATGTCGCAATAGACATGCTGTTGCCCCCTTACAAGATCCTGTAAGTGCACAGCCCTGCATGAAGAGGAATATGCGCAGCGGATAGACGAGGAGTCGATCAGCATCGCCTGTCAGTTTCTGTAAACATTCCTTAAACCTACCGAGACTCATGGAAAGGAGCAGAAAAGCTATCCACGCATCCAAAGTGTCAGGACTCTGAGGATAATTCTCCCAACTGGATCCTTCAAGATGCTGACGAGGCCCCTGTGGGGATGCATCTTGGTGTCCATGACGAGAAGTTTCTTGCAACAGAGAGTTTCTTGCTACAGGAGGACGCGAGTGGGTCCCACGAAGAAATCACAGTTCAAGCACGCACTCAAGGCCATGTCGCTTCGCATTGGCCAGAAAATGATTGATGATTCGTGCTGCATGTGCTCAGAAGGAAGCTCTCGAGTGATGCCAACGTCTTCTCCGAGGCCCGATCGTTTCTGTTCTGTCAGCCAGCATGACTTAGCCATCGGACGACCGACGGGTCTACTTGCGATGCCGGAGATGCCGGAGATCGTGGGATGCCCGCGACATAACAGCAATACCATCGTAGCACATGGCTTACCTCTCAAACGATGACTTGGCAATCTCTCGTCAAGCGCGATAGTTCTCCGCAACCTGGTCTCTGCTGCTGCACCCCGAGGGCCTGACCAACCCCGCCTCCTCTCACCAAGCAAGGGGGGACGTACCACCCCTCCCCCTTCCGAGATTCTGAGCTTACTCCGAAGGTTCTGTTTATTGTTTATATGTTCGCCTTTGCCTGGCCCAGTGCTTCCCAGCGCTTTTTTTGTCTTCAGCATACACTGCATTTGCCTTACGTTTATGGTGTCCCGGGCTCAGAACGGTTTCGAGCTGGGTACATCACCGTGCATGACATGCCGTCTGCTTCCGCAGGCACGAGTGTGCCTGTGTCTAAAGGGTGCATCCGCACCCAGGCCTCGCTTCCTAAGTCCTCAGCATCGTCTTTGTCGTAGCATTCTTTGCTCTACTGTGATGGCTCCAATCGTAGTCGCAGTCGTAGTCGTGGTCGTCGTCGTCGTAGTAGTAGTAGTAGTAGTAGTAGTAGTAGCAGCAATAGCAGTAGCGGTAGCAGCAGCAGCAGTTGTTGTTGTTATTGTAGCTGTGGTTGTTGTTGTAGCTGCTACGGATCAGACTGGCAGGGTAGCATTACTTTTGAACGGGCCTTGGGTTCCAACTGGCTTGAGGCCCCCACCAGGTCTCTGTTTTCAACCATAAGGTGAGTTGGCCCCACGTGAGAAATCTCCAAGCGCTGCTTTTGGACCTTTTCCGGTGGCTATTTTCAGGAGCTTTCCCTTGAAGCAGGTTCGGCTTCCATGCTACGGTGTCCCAGGCTCTAGGCACTGGGCCTCAAAGACCTGGGAGGATTGCCTGCGAGGGAACGTTTCGGAAAATTTCTGCCTTGGTCCAACTCCGGACAATGCAGTCACTGCACATTTCCTGGAAGTGCAGGAGTGTGGGCGAGTTGGAACTGGAGAGGATGGAACTACCGACGCTGATGAGACCTCGTGCACAGGCAACCGTTGAAGAACATTAGTTGCAGTCATGTGCACAACTGAGGGTTAGACGGGTTACCAGGTCAGTCTCCGCAAAATACCGGAGGCTAAGATTTTGTGCCGAGATCTCAAAGACCCGGCACGCTCAGCTGATAGCATGGCAAGCAGCAGACGCACACTGAGGCCAAAGTGCGCAAGAGGAGGCCAGTTTTGCAGGTGTATGTGTAAGTCCTTCTTGTTCACATTGCGGAAACCTGGTGAACCGGTGTGTCTTTTTCGTTTTCATCGGAGGTGCCTTCAGAGCTGGAGGCGCTGAGCTGTAATGGCTGTGATCGCCTCCTTTGATGCTTCTGTTTCGGTGCTGTTGCAGCAATGCCGATGCACACCGTCTGCGTGGTAACACTTGGACTTAACGTGACCAGGGAAGCATGTTGGCGGCATGAGCGCAGACGCTTTTGACTTGCTGGGATGTTGTGTAAATGGTTTCCTTTCATGCTTTTGCCAGAGGCGGTTACCCTTTGCTCGTGTCAAGCGACGGAGCATTGGTCGCAGATAATTACAAGGAAGCCAGCAATCAAACAAGAAAGCAGCACATACTGGTCGAGGAAGAGCAAAAGGGAGGAAGCAAACGAGTCCAGGAGGGACGGAAGGAAGAAACGATGGAGGGAAAGGGGATGACAGCGTAAAGAACGCGTTTATGGCTTCTCTTTGTGCGGGGGCTGCTGTTCCACTGCCCTTCGTTCGACACATTCATTTCCCTTGCCGCACTAGGCATCCTTTGTTGATGCCGACGTAGATCCAGGTGCAAGAACATGTCGTGTCGCTGCAGACCCAAAGCAACACCGCAGAGCTGTGTGCCAACCTGGCATAGATGTGTTGCAGGCGCTGGCACAGATGGCAGCCAGGCGCAGTTTGTTTCTCGTGACTGGAGCTCTGGATCAATGCCGACGTTGCCAGGTCCAGGTAGAAGACTTGGAGGCGTTGTTGGCAGAATGTCGGAGGCACGTGCTTGTCCGAAATACGATCATACAAGGTGCGAGCTTGGCAGGATGGGCGCCGGAATGATGCAGTGCTGACTGCGTTGAGCTCCGTGACATTTGCCGATGTTCTGCGACGAATCAGGCGGCTTCGTTTCATAGGAGGCTTCCGGCCGATTCTAAAGATTCACTCAGTAGTAGCGCACAAATTTCACTCGGCGTCGAAGACGCGATTTCAGACTGATCCAGCTGACAGCAGTGCCAGATGTGCCGAGAAGCAGCTTGCGAGGAGGTTTCCATTTTTTTGGCTCAGCATGCACTTCGTTTTCGGATCCCTGCTGTCGTCTGGCCAGATCGAAGGACATTTGAAGAACCAGCCCGGTATCGGAAAAGGGTGCACATCGACGGCTTTGTGCGAGGTCGTGCCGAAATTACGCTGCCGTGATGAAGAAAGCTGCCAAAGCCAAACGGAAAGACAAGTATCAAGACATGCCTATCCAATGCGATCGGGGGCTCTGGGCTGTGAAAGTTCGCCGCACTTCAAAGTGTCCAATGTCGGAGCCTGTTCAGGTTGCAGTTGCAGATCAATGCTCCATGCGACCTACTAATGACCGGCCACACAATGCAGAAATCCTGCGGCATTGGCATGTTGACTGCTTCTGGATGCTGAGCCGAGTCGGAAAGACATGTTCAGGTTTCCGAGCCTTCGTTGTGCGTTTTTGGGACCGGTGGGTCTGCGGCATTGTATGTTCCGACGACTCTCGCCAGTGTTGCGAAACGCCGATTGCAGCACTAGATACATTGAAACACTGGAAGCTGTTGGCTGGCGTTCGTCCAGGTGCGTGTGGTGCGTTGGATGAGAAAACTCAGAGTTGATTTTTTTGCTTGCATGACCAAAGGTGTCGAAGTCCATACTGCAAACGAAAACAAGATAGGATTCTCAAGTCTCAAGCAAGTGTACGCAGTGTACCGTGCAGGCCAGGCCGTGACTGTGGACTCGCGTGGAGTGGGGACAGACAAGCTGTGAGGATGATGGAAGTCTCGAGGGCATTGCGATCTTGGGATCAAAGTGTAGACTAGTGTAGACGCTTCCCAAAAACGGTGGGATAGGGCAAGCGATCATTTGCTGATCGCGTCGCCAGCGCCGTGGCCTCAGTTGAGTCTGGCAGTGCCAAGTTTGGGGCGACATAGCATGTCTGTCAGAAACTCTGGGAGGATGTTGCAGGTACTGGACATTTGCGGAGCTTTTGGAATCTGTTATATACCGTACAGTGAGAAGCGTACCATGTACCATAATTTCGCTAGCTGGATCAGCACCATCGACCAGCGCGGGAAGGTTGTGTTATTCAAACACTTGTCAACAACATCTGGCCGCTTCCAAGCGCTCGGCTTTGAACCCACTGCCAGATGATGAAGCTTTCATGCTGAAGTTTAGCGGACAGACCCACGATCGGGAGGAAAGCGTGGGCAATGCAGCATGACCTCGTGAGAAGATCAAGATGCAGATTTCGGCCACAGTAAACATGCTACACTCATACTCATTCAGCCTCGAAACACTCACAAGCTTGACGGTCTTGGACAGCTGCATGAATTAGAACTGCAGGATGCTTGAAGCTTCCATTAAGTTGCCATTGTGTGAGCCTGTCGAGGCTGAATCAAGACCACGTAAGCACGAGCAAGATTCCTTCCGCATCCACTTGTCGGGCCTAGGCACGGAGCATACGTATAACTTCGTGCGCAGAAGAGGCATCACGCACACATATACCGAGAGTTTTTCACATTTTGAAACCAGGTGGCTCGTCCTCAGCGCATGCCATGCTTTGGAAAGCCAGCTGGGCAGTCAAGGTGACTGACTTGTGCTTCTTTCCTTGCTCAGGTGATGCTCTTAAGCTGCAAAAGGCCAGTGACGACAGAGGTGACAGCTGCGCATGGCTGCATGGCAAGGCTCTGCAAGATTTCTTGTCGCCGCAAGGAGCTTCTTGAACCCCTTTTCAAGCGCACTCGGCATGATGTCTTCATGGCAGGGTTCATGCCTCAGTTGGTCGACCTTTCGATCCAAGGACAGTTACGTGCACACATAGCATTACACGGGCTATGAGAAGGAGCGTCTGGTTTGCTTAGGTCTTCGCCTGAAGGTTTGGCGCTTCCATTCTTGTCAATTGTTGTGTTCAACCGAATGAGAAAGCTTTCCTCACCAAGGCTAGTTTGTAGACGATCGTGAAGGCATTCAGAATTTCGTAGGGCCGTACCAGTCTGTTTTTGCCAGGCGCCGGCACAGCGATCTTTTTTCACATTTAGGGTTTAAGTTTATGTCTGGTGAACTTCTTCACTTTCATGCTACTTCAACCAAGGCCGGAGGAGCATGCACTGACGGCCGCGCAGGAGGTCTTGACTCGTCAATCCACAGCACCGATTTCATCCACATCCATTCAGCCGGAGGCTTCCGCTTGCGATGCCGACTTTGTGGAAGCTGCAGCAGCCGCGATTGAAGAAGCAGAGTATCGTCGGATGCCTGATGATGTACAGGCCGTTCTGCATTTTTAGGCAAGGTCGCGTTGCGTGTTCACCATTGCGGCTGAAGGATCAGCCCGCGCTGAAGCGGCTTCGTGGCATGATCGAAGGGCCAAGTAGCACGGTGCCAATCCCAGGTTGAGTCCGAGATAAGAAACTGCAATTGCCTCTCACGCGTGAAAACATTCAGGCCGCCTCTTCCAATGAGGGCGGTGTGAACAAAGATGAGGCGGTATCTTGGCAGAGTCTCATGTGACACTTCCACTTGCCGGCACTGGAGGCTTTGGTTCGGCAATGGGCTGAAGACCTGGTTAAGTCGCTTCACGGTTGCCCGTCGGTTGAGCAGGCCGGGGTCATTGCATTCTACGTACGGCGAGCTTCAGTGCATCCAGCTAGTTTTTAGTGGTGCGTGTGTGTACGTGTGCGCGCAGCAATCAACATTGGCCGAAGCTGCAGGAAGTTGGTTGAGTGGTCCATGCTGACTCCCAGCAACCGCAAATCTGTGAGGAATTTGGCCCAGCACTGCTCCCTGCATAAAGGCCTCAGTTGTTGTGCCTCGTGGCATCGAGCCCGATGAGTTGTAGCGCTTAAGGTACGGTTCGAAAGCTGCTAACTTACACACTACAGGCAAGCATGATTCGGCTCGCCCTTCGAGTTTATTGATCCCCCACTTAATTGTCAGTTTTCGCGGTCGTGAACATAAGGCCAACATGCGTATGGTCAGTATTGTCAGAAACTCAGTAGTCTTGCCCAGAAATACTGTCTCTGACTGGCCCAAACCTCCGTAAAGATAGTAGACGGTGCGAGCGGATCAGCGAGCCACTGCTGTTCTGTTCCTGCAGGCTGTGCAACGATGCAGTGTGCCGGACCAAGCTTTGTGACTTCAGTTAGTGGCTTTATGATAGTTCCGGCATGTGGCATCCTCACGACTACTGGCCACTGCGTCGTGTGCCGAGAGACAGATGCTTGCTTCTCTGTCTGAGGCTGCTTTGACAGGCTTCGGATCAGAGGTACGTTCAAGTACCTTGCGTGAGGCTGGGCTGCCCGAGTTTGTTGGATAAGCAGCTGTTAGCATGTATGCAGCGGGAGTGACGAGTGAGCGGTTCACTCGCCCTAACTAGCCGCTACCTCTCACATGCCCTGCCTGAAACGCAGCTGTAATGGCTTGCATGAGCAACATGCTTCACAGCGTGGTCTCATGATGCGGGCCTGTGTGCCTGCGAAGAGGCGATCTCCGCCATGTCTCAGATGCCAGCGCCTTTCCACCTATGCGTGCATTCTGGTCCTTGGCATTAGCGCGACGCAGTGCCACAGCTGGCTCCGACTATGGATGGCTTCCGAGCCGCAGGATGCTGCAGTCAAGATGAGGACTGAAAGTCCAGTACTGGTAGAGCCTTTTGTAGCCCCGGCGTAATTAGCCAGCTTCGACAGCACAGCATCCTGTCGCTCCATCCGGTTGCTTTGCAGAGCAATAATATGCACGAACATATTAGTAACTATGTTACGACATGCTCCTTTGGAGCTTGCGGGAGTTGTTTACAGATTTGGTTTGAGGTCAACATAGGTCCAGTGAGCGTTTAGGCGGCTGATGAGTGAAGACCCATTCAGAAACTGCCCGACGCGAAATTCGGGAACAAAATTCGGGACTGTGCCAGCCAATTCGGGCACGGGGGCGGGGCTACCGACAAGCGCTGGGATTCAGAAACTCGGGGCGAGTAATTCGAGAACCAGTGGAGCACAATTCAGTGACTGTACCTGTCGCCCTTGGGGTTTGGGGCTTGGGATATCGGCCTTGGGGTTTCGGCTTTAGGGTTTGATTTTTTTCGGGTTTGGGCCTTAGGATTTCGGCTTCAGGGCTTCGGTCTCAGGTTTCGACTTCAGGGTGTGCGGCTGTTGGCTTTCGGCCTTAGGGTTTCAGCCTGGGTTCCGGGGTTTTGGCCTCAGGGTTTCGGCCTTAGGGTTTAGGCTTTGGGGTTCTGGCCTTGGGGTGTTGCTGTCGGACTACACGCATGTGGCCTGTTGTGTGAGCTCGGACTTGGGGGGGGCTCCATGGTCTGCGACTTGAAGCAGCTCTGGATATCTGTTTGACGCAACGTCGCCGAAATGCACTAAGTCAGGTACAGTTGTGCCGGAATTTGGGGACTAGAGTGCCTGAATTCGTGCTTCGCAGTTCCGGAGTTGCACCAGGCAGTCGGCGATAATGGTTCCTGAATCCGTCTGTTTCCGAATTCTGGTCTAGAATTGATGTACCACACGGTTCCTGAATTTGGTTCCCGAGTTGGTTGTCATCCGGGGGCCGATGTATCAGGGATCTAAGCGTCAGCGGGTGGGCGAGGGAGGCTGCTGCCTCGATGAGGACCCCCCCAAACCCCCTGTGTTGAGGCCGCCGAACGCGCTTTTCCGTCGCTTAGCGCAGGCTGAAATTTGCCGGTGTCTGGTCTCGGCTTACCAAGTCTAGAAAGTATGTTGGCCCATCAAATCATCGTCAGGTTGAAATCGTGTTCGGTTGCCATAGTGTTTCCTGAAGCCCATGTAGACAAACTTGAAAGCAGAGCGGACGAGAGCTAGAGAGTGCGTTGCAAATGCGAGCTGATGCTGGTATGCAGATGTGAATGATGCATTTTTTCCTGTATGCTGTTCTGCGAACGGGCAGGCAAGCGGCTATCCGATCAAGTTCTTGATGTAGAAACCGAGTACGCATACTGGTTTACAGTCGTGTCCTGAGTCTTCAGGACACTGCCACGACAGCTGCTGCGTTGCCAACAAGGGCAGAGTGGAAGCTCTTCGAGACAGGTTGATGCTGCGTTCGCCTCTGAAGCTCCGCGGGGCCTGGAAGAGCAGACCCTCAGAGACGATTAGATTTTAAGGTTTGGTTGTCAATACGTGCCGTATCTGATTTGTCTCACTACTGTACAGTGCCTGCCTTAAACAAGGTTCTTGGAGCATCAGACCACACTCCCGATGCTGCTGGCCGTCGTCCTTCTTTGCGTGGGCCTGATGGCGCGCCAGGACGCTATCATCATTTTTGCTCTGTTTCAGCCTCTTGATGCGGCACTAGCCTTGTAATCAGTTTGGGATATGATAGGCATTCTCATGCATTCTCCGTACTGAGCCCAGCTGCCTCTTGACAATTGGATGCCCCTGCAGCAAATTGGCCGACAAAGCCTGATTCAAACGTGAGGTTCTTTTGTGTTATGAACTCGCGCTCAATCCTACACTGTTTGGCTGCGTGGAAGCGTGTGTCCTCTGACATGCTCGAGATCTATGGTGACTTTGCGGTTGTACAACCCGTGCTGGCCAAGTCCTTGACTTCAGGCCAGGCTTTGACCATTCAGCACCAGTGCCATGCAGTGTTACTTGTGGCATCATGATCGCTCGCGCACTGGAAGTTGCAGGCGTGGCTTACGTGCTGGGCGATCTCATCGCACAGAGAGTAGAAGGGCAGCCCGTGATAAACGTTGGCCGATGCACGCACAATGGCATCACGGGTCTGGGCCTGAGCTGACTTTGGCGAAGAGCAAAACACCGACGAAGCCGACAGCTCGATTCGACTTTCGGTTGACATTTTCTCTCACCTTGTTTCTTTGTCGCAGCAACTCCTTCCTGTAGAGGACTCCTGCGCGCCACTTACGCGATGGTTCCGCAGAGTAGGTGAGTAGGTCCTTCCACCAGCATCTTGTGCATAAAAGTGCGGTTCACCGTATCCCACCTCCCATATCCCCGCTCCGAGAGGGAGGTCACTGGACGTGCTGCTTCGCCCTAGCTGGCAGGGACTTTTGGCAACCTGCAGGGAATCTAACGGCCAGTGGCCACCCAGCCCAAGCCCCAACAGCCAGATGCGACCACTCGCCAGCCAGCTGATTAGAAATTCATTGTCGGTGGCGGGTGCAACATACTGATATTGGGTGCAGAAAAGTCTTCTGTTGGACCAAGGTTTGATTTTGCATGGACCAATTCTACATTTCTGGATTCTCTTTCTGGAAGGACGGAGAGGGACAGCGCATGCAAGTCGTTGCGATCTACGAGGATGCAAGAGGCAGGTCTTGAGGTATCCTGGTGCCTCATGTCTTAGTGAGGACCATTTTCCCATCTATTTAGCAATGGAGATTGCCTACTGGCGGTTTTGGCAAAAGTTGCCATGGACCAGACCCTCTTCTCTGCAACCCTGAACGCTGCTGCTTGGCTTAATAACCGGTCGGGGAATCATTCCGATGGTTAATGTCAGCCAGCAAGCCATGGAAGGGCAAACGAGGATCCCTGCTCCTGCTATCTGCCGAGTCCTGTGCCCAAAGCTCTTTCGCATTGTTTCGCAGCCAAGGCATACGCACTACTTCTGGGCATTCTAGCAGGTAAGACCCTTCAGGAAAGCATGTCGCATATGCGACGAACCGTGCCTCCGGCAATGTTCTCCAGTTGGCGGTTTTGGCCGATTGTTCACCTGGTCTGGTCCTCAGCTTCTGCATTTTAGCTGAACCGTCCCAGAATGAATCATGAAACCTGTGCCGATGTTGTGAATATATCAAGGTGACGTATTCCTCCTTCATGCCGATTCAGTTCAAGGTGTTGTGGAACGACATTGCCGAGGCATCGTCTGCTTGAGCCATGATGCTCTTGATGCCTGTGATTTTTGGAAGGTGGTGTGGGTTGCGATTCTCTCCTACATTGCAAATGTGAAAGCGATGAATGTGAATATATCAGAAGGCGGGTCTCCGAAGTCATGTCACTCCTTCTTGCTATTCGTGGTGTTATTGTATATGATTGTGCAGTGTGTACGAAGGTCCACTGCAGTTCATGGCTACACCGTACTAGCTCGCCAAAGCCTGCTAATATAACTTTGCGTTGTTCTCGCATCGAAGGTCCCTCTGGCAAGCAAGGCAAAGTGAGCTTGAGTGCCTGATTCGGGCTTGCTTTCGTCTCAATACCGGTGCACGTGCAGCACAATCAGGCAGTTCGATCCAAGATCCAAGCTGCGACAGAATTCTTTGTCCAGGGAATGTGTCTACGCAGAAGACGGCGATTCAGTCCAAGCAACGGCGGTGCACGAGTCTTGCCGTCACAATCCTTTCATCCCTGGAATCTAGGCTAGGCAGACTGCAGGACTGCGAGAAGCATCGTTCTACTTGCGTTCATGACAGCCCTGGCGACGCCCAAAAACTGCTGTCCATTTGGTGCCGTGTGGGTTGCCCCTCATGTAACTAGGTCAATCATCAGGTTGTGATGTGGCGAAACACTTCCATGCGGAACTCAGACTGCTCAACAAGTTTTCTATGGGCTGGGCAGCAAGGATGTACGGCAGTAGATCTGGTGGCTGACATGCCACTCTGTTATGACAGGTCCGGGATGGAGAGACTGAAGCCCCCTTTTGTTGGACTTGACAATTAAGTTGACAACATGACACCAAACACTTGCAGCCAACGTTGCAAGACGTCGTAAGTCTGTCGGACGTGAGCTTTCGGGAATTTTCGGGACTCCCTGAGTTGTGGGCCCGGCTGAACTTGAACCCCCACAGAAACGCACGGCAGTCTCGCTCTGAAGTTCTAGACGACTATCACTATCAGTGGTTCCACACGAACTCGAACTGTCTCTCGGTGACCCTATTCACCAGCCAGCAGCAGTCAGGCAGAAGAACTACGGGAAGAGCTGCGCCCGAATGCTGTAGAGGCAGAGGCAAGGCGGCAAGGCCAAGAGGAGTTCCGAGCGCATCTCATGCTCCGCAGTTAGGCGACGTGCTCACGCCTCCAGCACACGAACAAGGTGGGACGTGAGTCGACGTGTTTCGGGATCTACACTGGCTCTTTCCAGGTCCTGCTGAAGGCGGTGCAGAACTCAGGAGATGCGGTGATGTATGATGCAGGGCTGCTGCACCTACCCATACCTACCCCTCCCCTCCCCGCTCCATGGTATCCTCCCCCCTTGCCTGTCAAGTTGGTGGTCTTCTTGTTTGGGCTTGTTGCTTTCCCCATCTTCCTGGGTGGTCTTGTTTGGCCTTGTCTCCTCCCCCCTGTGGAGTGGGGCCTGCGGTCTCTTTGGTTGGCCAAGCCCTGCCTGTGGGGAGCTGTGCGTTCTGCAGACGTATGGTATGGTTGCTTCCGCTTGTTAGTAGTAGTGTTATCGTTACGTGCCTTATCCCTTCCCCCCTTGTGGGGTGGGGCCTGTGGTCTTTTTGGTTGGCTCCGCCCCGGGAGGGGGTGTTGCAGGGGCCAAGGACCCGAGAGCACGTATGCGGCCACTGTTCTCCAACAACTTTGAATGAGTTCCTGTTCTTGACCAGGTTCATCACTTGGCCGGCCGATGTCGCAAGCTTGAAGGTAGCTCAAGTGAGGCAAGGTCACTAGACAGCGGATGCTGATTGTGCTTGGCCTGTTCTGTAGCAATCACAACTGTTGCTTCGGGCAGGTGCAGTCACTGCGACAGGCTTTGGAGCAGTCGCAGGAAACACAACGAAAGCTGCAGCACTCGAACCAAGTTCTCCAGGCTTGGGTGGGCTGCTGTTGCAATGACCCACGCTTCTGGACTACTGATAACAGTCGTCTTGCAGGAGCACCTGAAGGTGCACTTGAACGTCTGTCATCTGGCCTAAGACCGGAATTTGCATCGGTGGCACTGTCACCTGCGACTCTGTCGCCCAATTCCCTTGCTCTAGGATGTTGCCCGGATCCGAATCAGCGCTGCCAGTATACATGACTAGCTTGCAATGGGCAGGAAAAGGTTGACCACTGCCTCACAGAAGGTGCAGGCATTGTACAAAGCTGTTTCACGGCACACTGAGACGTTGACCTCATATGCTTTGTCATTTTGCTACTTGAGTCCCAATATGTGCTGTGCCGGGGATCAGGCATGGCACCGTAGCAGGATGTGCAGCTTCGAGCTAGACGGTCAGGATCGCGTAGCAGTCCCAACGCCGAAGCCAGACCACCTGATCTGTTATGCAATCCATGCGTATCCTGACTGTATTTCTCATGCAACGCAAGGAGGCCTTGGTCTCGGCATTGCCTGAGATTTGCACAGGAAGGTCACTTGCACCGGTCCCTCTGAACCTGCTGTCCGTGGTGTAGAGTCTAGCACTGCGTCACACCTGATTTGCATCATTGCAGCGAGACGACTGCAGAGGACCTGGAGCAAACAGAGATTTCCCTCAGAAACTGGGGCGAGCTTTGCCCAGCTTACATTTCATGGTGCGCGTTTATGATGGCCTCATGCTAACACAAACTGACGGGTAAAGCTTGAATCATCCTAGGGTGCTGCGTTGGCAGAGCTCCTTGCCATTGGTCAGCCTTCGGGCAACTTTGTCCTGTAGTATTGCTGAAAGGGGCTTTTCCCGCTGCTGATGCTGGACTAGCGTTGGAGATTGCCAATTGATGACAAGGGAAGTAGCAGCGGAAGAATCGTGAAGCAGTGAGTCTCGCGGGGGAGGTGTCCGGTCTTTGTCTGCTGTGATGAAGTGGGATGTGCCTGAAGTATCCTCAAGTACTGTGCGAGAAGAGTGGCTCAGGAATGTACTTGTGATCGCTACTGCTACATGCCACCACATCGTCCCATCACAAAAAACTCCGCTTACGGTCCACAACATCCAAGTTGAGCTCTACCACATGTTCTGCCGGTGGTACCGTAGGGCGCTCTGCCGGCTGCCTGCTGCCTCTGTTTGACCTAGCGTCGTGCAGCAGCCGGGTGCCAAGTGTCCAAGTCTTGTGCAAGAAAAAACGCGGCCGGAGCCTCAGGTCGACGAGTCGCCGAATTTCGCCGAGATGCCGGAGGCGCCCTTGAAGCTGCGAGAGCGGATCACGGGTGCATTTCTCTTTTCAGGATCTGGACAGCAGCTTTGATTCCAAAGAGGATCATGAGCTCTACAAGAAGCCTGTGGCTCACGAAGATTCGCGAATGTGCGATGGGATTTTTGTCAGTGGACGGAGTCATGATGGCCGAGAGTCTGCAAGTACGGGTACGTTGTCCCTCACAGATTAAGCCCGCTCCGAAAATTACGCGGCTGCACCGCAGGCTCAATCTTTGACGACATGTCATTTTGACTGCCTGTTTTGTTCAGCATACCACACTGTCGAACAGATCTTAGCAAGAAGTTTCGAATTTGCACAGGGATTTTCCGTGCTGATGGCAATGCCATGTTGTGGCTGCGAGTCCTGGCAATTTTCGCAGGTCCGGGGCCAAAGCGAGGTTCGCGTGATTGGAGCTTCGAATTCGTCGCCTTCGCAGGATCTCAAGCTCGGCGCTGCGGTTTTCCGCTCCTGGACCACCACCCGCAGAACTTTTTGCCGGCAGAGGAAGTTATGCTTTGTCCCCAACTTCGTGCAGCTTCGGCCGAGCGGCACGTCCTTGCGGACATCCGAGGTGGCCGATAGACAGTCCCAGCCCGTCTCCCCACGAGAACATCTTCAACGCCGCTGCCCAAGTTTCTCATGTTTGGCCAACTATTGTGGTGCCAAAAATAAATGCTCGGGGACTCCTCCGCCTGGATGCCAGAGATGAAGCAGCCGAGCGCTCGCACAAGAATCAGCGCAATTACCATCAATTACCCGAGCTGAGGACATGTCGAGATTCTGGGACCACTGTAGTTCTGTTGGTGGCACGCTATGGGAGGCGCCATTGCATCACCAGTGTATACCATTAACACTTGTTGCACTATGCCACTCACTTTCAACTTGCTCAGGTGTCAGTTTCGTCAGCCAGGTTGCCAGGATCCACACTTTGCATGGCGAACACATGTAGCCCCCGCGAGGCAGGACCCTCGTACAGAATGCCCCTTCGTGAGATGTTTGCAGCTTCACTGCAGGTCCAATCGTGGTTGAGCAAGAACCACCGCAGAGCTGGTTGGAATGACACAGAAAGTCTGGTTGTGCAACTTGGGCACTGGCGGCATCTTAAATTGGATTTTGCACCTGGGCCGAGTATGATGTCCGCTTCTTTATGGTTGCAATGCCAGGTTAGATGCCGTAGCACCATTTTGCCCCGCAGATTTGAGGTTCTGGCTGGCTTTGAGAAGTGTGGGACATCCTCATTGTCTCACAACATGGCCAGACATCCAGGAGACACGCCCTGAGCTCTCTTGTGCGTTCGAACCAGCTCCGGGAACTACAGTATCGGTCCACAGGCATGCGTGAACGACAGATGTAGCTGCAGGCCGTACTTCACCTTGTTGATGGTCACGCTCCAGTGACTAGTTGTTGCTGTTTGCACTCTCGGCCACGGAGGCATGTACACCAAGTTATCCCCACCTTTAATGGTGTGAACCCCGAGAGCTGCGAACTGCCGACTAGGAGGGGGGCCGCAATGCGGTTCCTTGTGTTGCTTGTTGAATTCCTTCTAAGATGGTTACCTGTTCATCTGTGTATATCTGTGTCTGCTCAAGTCGGCTGCTGGCTCCTTCCTAAATGCATTGGTATGTCTCCGGCCGTGATTCCGGAGTCGGACAAGTGAGAAGTACTCGCAAGACTCGGCTCACATGCCTTACATTCGCAAGATGAAACTTGCAATCATAGAAGAAGCCCAGTTCAAATCCAACGTCATCCAGAAGCATGTCTTCATCACACAGCGGCCAGCTTCGCATGTCAAAACCTCTGCATGTTGGTACGACCGTTTGCAGATGCACAGGAATTCCCGTCGCTTGTGATATCTGTCCAGAGTCTTGAGGTTCAGTTCATTCCTCCTGCAGCGATGAATGCCCGAAGCAATACCGATGACCAGAACGCGCAGGACTTCTCTTCAGGGCTCTGTTGCGAAGTTGGTTGTTGTTTGGTCTTGTCTCGGTGACTTCTGCTTTTTGTCCTGATCGGCACGCGCGGTGCAGGACGGCCATTTCTTTTGGCAGGTCGGAGCTCGACTTCTTCCGCCTGCAGATTTGATTTACCGGTTCAATGCAGGAGCGCAGAAACGTCACCAAATGTGTTCAGCCCATCGGTTCCAACACAAACAGTGTTGTAAGGCTCATGCTGCCTGGGTGGTGCCAGACCCCCAGGTTTCACTGATGCGGACTTGATTGGTCCGCTGAAAGAACCCCAAGGCAATGGCTGCAGGGACAGTGATTTTTTGAAGTTATCTTTCTGAGCAGGCCCGAATGTCGTTTTGTGGCCTAGCACACCTTGCCCACAGGCCCAGGCCGTGCGCTTCTAATTGGTGAGAGGAATCCGGTTTATGCTTTTCAGCGGATCATTATGAAGATGGCCACCTGGCATTGACCGTGATTGGCCGTGCTTGCTTGGGCAGTCTTGAGCATTCAGTTACCCGCCCTGTGATTTCCGACTAGGTGTCCATGGTCCCGTCAGCCAAAGTTGTGCTCTTGGCTTGCGATCCAATCCGATGGCTTCATTCTGCCTATGGTGACACCATGAATTGGTGGCCTCATGGCCGCACCATGTATCCAAGAAAGCTTAACCCGAACATCCATAACATGAAGAGCACATGAAGCTAGAGTCACACCAGTTGCGGTACAGGAATGCAGGTGACAAAGACGCACCGGCCCGTCCGCCGCTGCGTGAATTCGCTTTATCAGACTTTGTGGCCGCTGCGAAGCCAACCTCATTGTCGCATCTTGGCAGAGATCTGCAGAGCATGCGCTTGCGAAGTCGTGGGAGTGATCCGTGGTACTTGAGGCACAAGTGGTACAACTTGAGCCGCAGACGTGCATATTTTACGTTTTTTGCAGAGGGTGTCACTCGACTATTGGGCGATACACGAGCCGCTCTGAAGCAGTCGTGCTAATATGTCACACAGTGATATAAGTATAAAACCATTTGTATAGCAATAAGTCGGCACTGCAGGTGCATATGCTACACCGAGACTCTGTTGACCAGAGATTTGTCGGAGCAAGTGGAGACAAGTCAGCAGAAGGACTTAAGTTTTGAGCGAGCATGCCTTTTTGGGGGGACGACGGTGTGGCTTCGTCCGAGGAGTGCGTGAGGCCTACGATCGACTTGCTGCGTTTCTGCAACTCAGGCCGCGGAAGTGCAAGGCTTTGTCACAGAAGACTTGTGAGATTTTTAAAACTAAGCAGGCCATTTCCACCGGATTTTGTTTTCCAGAGGAGGAACGTCAGAGCCAAGGCCTGTCAGTGTTTAAGCATATATAGAAATTAGAAACACCTTGCAGGGGAGTTCGACTTACGAGGCTGCAGTTCCAGCTGCCCTTGAGCTCTGCACGCGTGCAGAGCGCGACACGTTGAAGCTTCTGAAGAGGTGCATCTGGTTTTTGGGTTGAATTTTGAATCTTGTCAGATCTTGGTCACTCAGTGCAGCACCAAGCCATACCCAGCCGTTCCAGGTACTATCGCAGCGAGTACAGGAGATTGCCATTATGGATCACCCGACTAGGCGGACACTGGACGCACGAAAGTAGCGTGGATGTCTAACCACTCGGCGGTGCCTACCTTGCGGCTCGAGTGCATCGGACGAACCAAGATCCTGGCTGATGGTCTCCTGACCACGATAGCTTCTTCGCCTCATCATGCCTGATGCCTGATACCTACAAATTCTGGACCAACGCAACTGCAGAGCGCCTACGTTGTACACATGGAGTGTCGCAGCCATGTACACAGACGCCGATAATCAAGTACTTTCCAGTACACATCTCACCCCCACACAGCGAACACGTCCTCCAGTATGCCACAACAGAATGCCGTCATGTGGGTTGTATGTCCCCAAGCCCCAAGCCATACCTCGCTCCCTCCCTCTCCCTCTCTCTCTCTGTCACTCTCTCCGTCTCTCTGTCTCTCTCGCTCTCTCTGTCCCTCCCCGTGTCTTTCTTTGTGCCTCTGTCTGGTTTCACACACCCGCCCACCCACGCATCTGTGGCGTGAGAACAAGACTAGCTGAAAGTTGACTCGCAGAGAGGTACGCAGTGGCAAAACATCTCTGGCAGCACTAGGGCCACTAGGGCAGCACCCAACCTGCGTTCTCGGCCGCGATTTAACTGGTGAGACAGTACCGGACAGCCTGTCTCCCGCCATATTACGACGACTGGCAAGCGCAACTCAGCATCACCATCTACTTTCATAAATATGCGTGAACTTCATCAGACATCATCAACGTTTGAGCATTTGATGTTTGCCTCAAGTGCGGTCCGATGGGAAATCGTGGAGGGGCTGCATTCTCACAAAGGCAGGTTTGATCATGCTTGCACGGCTTAGAAAATGCTGTTCTCGGCAACTTAGCGACTGCTATCGCGTGTTCAACCGCTGAGAAGGTTTTTCATCGCGACTTTTTTGGAGTCTGTTTGATGCAATCTTGCCAGGCGGCTTGGTGCCGACCAGCGTGGCTTCAAACAGAACTTGCTGCGATGTGTGATGGAAAAGACCAATGCAGAGCAAGTTGCTTGCAAGCCGATAGATGTCCAACAAGCATTATTTCACGGCTTCCGCTCTGAAGGCTTATGCTGGAGCGGACAAAGCTTCAGTACAAGGCGGAGGAGAAGAAGCGTCAAACAAAGGCCTCAAAGCGGCATTAATCTCTTCCTGGAAAAATGGGGGCCCGCACCGAAATCGCCAGAATAACAGAAATTAAATACTAGCAACAAGGCAATATTGGTAATAACAATAAGAATACTAATAACAGTACCAGAAACTGTACTATTGCCACTACTACTACTACTACTGCTGCTACTACTACTACTACTGCTACTACTGCTACTACTACTCCTACTCCTACTACTACTACTACTACTACTACTACTACTACTACTACTACTACTACTCCTACTCCTACTCCTGCTCCTACTGCTGCTGCTACTGCTGCTGCTGCTCCTGTCACTGTCACTGCCACTGCCACTGCCCTTGCCCCTGCGCCCCCTGCCCCGGCCCCTGCTACTGCTGCTGCTACTGCTACTGCTACTGCTACTGCTACTGCTGCTGCTACTACTACTACTACTACTACTACTACTACTACTACTACTATTACGACGACTATTGCTACGACTACTACTACAACTCCTGCTCCTGTTTCTACCTACTCCCAGTCTTATCCCGACGACCGCACAACGGCGACTACGACTACGACGACGACTACCACTGCTACTACGAATGGTAACAGTGATAGCAAGAATGATAGCAATACGAGAAATGATTTCTGCCTGTTCTGGCAGTTCCTACCCTACAATACTGTACATGTTAATGTTATGTATGTATTTAATTATAGTACACATAATCTGATATGCTCTGTATCTGTGTGTTTAAATATCGATTTGTATACACCGGTGTCTACACATGTATATAGTTACATACATACATACTCTATACGTATATATATATATATATATGTATGGCAGCCTCAGGGTTGGGATCTGAGCGCTTAGCCTCGCAAAGCTCGAGATAGGCACTCCCCACTGGCTCAACGCAAGTCGCCCAGAAGCCCAGTAACTCTAACTCAGTCACATAGTCTGTGCCACATTTAGTAGGAAGGTTTTCGGGTTGAGAAGCGTGAGGTTTGGGATCAGGGCTTACTGATAGGGGCTTGCGGAACAGTAGCCCGCCATATGGTGTCAAACCGCGTCGTGGGTGCACCACTTCAGACGTCAAGATGGGGTTTGCGACATCATACTGTAGAGGTGTACGTGCGTAGCGGCGATACTCTTTTATAGTCCCTGTGTTGATAGAACTCTATACCCCCAGACCGTATTCGATTTACTTGGGCCTCCATATTGCGACAGCGGTGTCAACACAAGAACATGGACTCCGTTAAAAGATTCCTGTTCTACTTGCATATTAAGGCCGCCAAATTGAACGCTGCAGCCCTAAAAGCCGTGAGCTGGGTTAATACCTGAACCAAGAACTACAGGTAAGATCTGAGAACCGAAGCCTTAAACACAGGTCTTTTCCCGACCTTTGTGTACTCTAATCTGAACCCCTGATTGTTCAACTCCCTTCTAAAGATCCGTGGCTGGAGACTTTGCGAACATGCTACATATGGGGTTCCAGGCTGTGCATCAGGGATTCGCATATTCTGAGTTTTGTTGTAGGGATACTGGCAACAGCTCTGTTACACCACGTCTTCGGGGCCCGGGCTCGTGATAAGACAACCCTACAGTACTTGTCCGCCTGCAGCCCCGGATCTGCGACTGTCGTGCAAGCCAGAAATCGTTACTGCAATCAAGAATGAGGCCCTAGATCTGGTATATAGCCCTTCCAAAGCCCTCGCTTACCCCCAAGGTTCACCACCCCAAGCACCCTATTTCTACGAGCCCCTGAGCCCTATCATGCCCTGTCCTCGAAACCCCCAAAAGCTTAAACCGCAAAGCTCTGGACAGACCCCTGCCCTCAGAGTTCACCTAAGATCGAAGCATAGACACTTGTTTTTACCAAAGGCACGTGTTCGTGCTTTTTGATGGATACTCAAGACACAAGGGGGCCCGCATATGTTTCAACTGACGTTGAAACGGGCTCTTCCCTAATTAGCTCGTGACTCAGCATGACCCGCTGCAGTTTCAAAGCGAGTCGCTTTGACAAGCTCAAATGACAAGCACCTTTAACTGCAGACCAACAGAAGCCCAATTGAACACAGTCGGGGCCGACTGAGTTCCATCGCGGCTGGATTGAAGATTATGCTGGGGCAACGTTGCTGGGGCATCTTGAATCTTCAATCCTGCCGCGATTGAACTCCATCGGCACCGATTGGGTTCAATCGGCTTGGTTATGTAGAACTTGACTAACGTAACGGACACTTGTGCTGAGTAGGAAGTCTTGATTGCACGAGTTTACACACGTAAATGATGATATGCCATCCACAAGCACGTTGACGTCTGAGGTCAAATCTGCTTGTCCCCTGCAATCGACCACCGAAGCAGATCGATAATCACACCGAAATATGCAGATAACCGGGGCTGTAGTTATGCATGTACGTATGTGTGCATATACATATACAATATCCATATACATTCACATATACATATACATATACATATGTTCTGTATATAGTACATTTCGCGGTACTTTTCGAGAAGCATGTCCGGAAGACTATTCAAGATCAGGCAAGTTGTTAGTAATCACGCTACGTTTTGGATGTTTTTTTGAAAGGGGAGCTTTCAAGTTTCTGAGGAAAAGATTAGAAGCTTGTGAATTGAGTCGAAGGGGGATGAAGGGGTGGGCCATAGGTCTCAACTGCTGAACCGCCGATGTGAGGCGCTTCAAGTCCGTCAAAACTCACAAAACTTGGAGGAGTCCCCTCATCTTGTTTCAGCGGGGATGTGATGACTGTGCCAGTGCAGGAGCGGGAGCGCGGTTTTCAGCTACATTTTGGTGGTGCCAACGAGCAAAGACTCGCCGAGGCAGGGGGACTTGCGATGGCCACGGTTTTCAGCAGATTGAATGTGCCGTGACAGGCTAGAAAGCGACAGCTTCAGCCTTCCCACACGAAGGTGCGAAAGTCATGATCAATGCCCGTGGTTTGGGTCGAACTTTGTGCCGTGCAAATGCATCTGCGGAAAATGGAGGGAACCGCAGTGGAGTTTTTATGTACTATATGCCTTATCCGAGCTTTATCCCTCACATTCACGTGTTTGGATCAAGCTACTGTTAATTAGTGAGTTTCCCGAAGCATGTACGAGATCCCCTGTGTCATGTCATGTCATGTCATTCGTGGCCTGCTCCTCTCCAGCCGGCGCGTCCGGCCAAGTGACAAGAAGATGGGACTGAATTGTGTTGCTCGCACACTCATGCATGCTCATGAGTTTCAGGATGTCAGTCTTACCACAGACGCTTGTAAGATCTCAAGCGGCACACTGCAGTAGCCGCTCGCATACTGCTTCAGTTCATAACCGTTCATAACCTTCTATGGTTCAGATGGATGTGCTTCACACTGGGTGTGTGTGAATGCCTTACATACCATAGTGTCTCGAAGCTCGTACTCTGCCAACCAGACCTACCACTCCTGCAGCGAGTGTCACGGGCAGGAGATGCAAGGCCGAGAAGAGAACGGAACCCAGCATCTTCGCAAGCGAGAATTGCGCTTTTTTCTCATTCGGCCCTCGATGTGCCAGGTTGCACTCGGGAAAAGAATGGCAAGTCCGGACGGTTGAGTTGCGGGGAAAGGACGAACCGGCTTCCACCGTCCCTGAATGCGGTCCATGCCCTCATGTATCCTTAATGGTATTGTAGAACTTGTGACTGGTTAATGACAGCCCATACACAGTTACACCTGCAGGTGCCACCGATGAAAGTGGAGCCAATGTAGGATCGAGCGCTCGGAAGTCCAGACTTCTTGTGCAAATTTGGCTCGAAGCTGCTTGCCTCCGCTGTGTTCTTGACGCACTGGCTGCTGTCGTTGCCATAACTCAAAAATCACCGCTGCGAATGCCGCCGGCGACTTGGATCTCGTGATCATGTGCCTGGTACTGCTTAATTGAATTGCCGGAAATCCAGCACGCAGGTCCCACAATGCAGCCTGGGCCTCGTGCGTTGCCGAAGGAAAGAACGGCTCAGACTTGATTATGACACAATGACACACCTTGAAGCATCGAGATGTCTCCGAGGTCGTCGCTGCAACTGCAGATGAGGTCACGACTGCCTTGAATCGGTTCTGCTCGGTAGTGATCGCCGGGCACTATGAAATTCCCATTTGTAAGTTCATATCCGTAGCATGCTCAACGCGCAAGGCTTGCATGATGTCATGTCTGAGGACGCACACGTGGGACCCAGCCTAGAGGCCTGGGGTTGCACCACGCAGCTTTCCAACCCAACAGTAGGTGCTGGCAGGATCTTGGTGGTCAGGTTCGGAATCTGGGGATGAACTTGGAGAGGCTGTCCGACAAGGCTCTCCGGTGAACAGCGAGTGCAGGTGTAGAGCCGGGGGTGCAGTTGGTTCCACGCAAATCACCTGACGACTTGTGCTTTGCGTTCGCGATCGTTCGTGTTTGCAGGTTTCCGGTCTTGAGGCGCTGCTTCAGGAGAAGGCTCGTGGACATTCCTCTCGCGTTTTTCAGAAACTTGTGCAAGAATCGCCAAGAAGTGTGAGGGCCAGCAGCTGGAGCACAAGCTGGCACCACTGGCTTTCTTGTTCAGACAGCACGATGCCCGATCGGATCCCAAACGAGTCTGAGATTGCTGTCCAGGCCGATCAGCAGGAGAAGGTGCATTCCCTTGACAAGGCCGGGCAGCATGCAAGCAACATGGTCGGAACGTGGACTACATCCGCTTGTCCAGGCCACAGGAGATCGCATCACGCAGTGCCTTGCCAGCACCAGTGCTTCGGCTAGCATGGCTATCATGCAACAGCTCGCTGAATGCAGGTTGCAAAAGCTTGTGAGCTCCATTCATGACGAGCAAAGTCGATTCGACAGGGCTCGGGCTGAGCAGGCGCGAGACATGGTGGTGCTGAAGGTTGAGCAAGATGTCAGATCCAATGTGAAGCATCCTCCGAATGGACCACTGAATGTGTGACATGAGACACTCGTGAGACGGTCCTGGAAAAGCCTGGACGAACCTTTAGGTTCTTAGTCATTGGCCACACCTGCTGACTGCACCAAGAGATTACCTGCAGGTGGCCGTGGCGCTAGTTTGGGTAGCAGATCCTCGTCCTTGCAGGATCAACTGTTGGAAAGCATCAACATGGCTGCCATGGATGCTGGCTCACGGGTCCGGCATTTAGAGGAACAGAGCGACTACTGTACCTAAGAAATCATGGTGATCTACAGCAACAGCAGATACGCCACGACCGCGACCATCAGGCATCTTCGGCAGAGCAGAACATACGAGCTGGCCAGGTGCCGAGCATCAGATCCAAAGCATAAATCGGTCGCATCAGTTCTCCGGCATCCTCCAGCAGATGCAAGGATTTCGAAAAACACGCATCGGGGATTGTAAGCTGCATTTGTTGCTTGCAACTGTGGTCCTACTCATTGGCTGTTCTGTTTGTGTCTGTTTGTCTTTTCTATTCTTTTGTGTCTCTCCTGTTTCTGCCTGGAGTGCTCTGAGGATGCACAGAGACTCTGATACGTTTTTGCACGTGACTTCTGCAAGGTTGCTTACTTGTTATTTATTATTTGTGAATGATTGCCAAATAACTTGTCGCGGATGATGCCGTGCAACCTGCTTGGATTGGGCAGGACATCGTCGTTTGCCTGCCTTGGCTGTCAACTCTCTCTCTCTCTCTCTCTCTCTCTCTCTCTCTCTCTCTCTCTTCCACCCTGATTTTATCAAGCGCCAGCTGGCTGCACCGTGCCTGAATGCTCTGCCGCTCGTCACGAGGAATGGAGCAGCTTCAAAAGCTGGAAGCCGGCGCCTATCAGTGCTAAGCGTACGTGACTGGAATCTGAGAATCTGATGATTAAGGCCATGACATCGCGGCTAGAGAAGAAACTCGATGGAATGGAGCAGGCCTCTTTCAACGACTGGGAACGCCGACGCAAAACGAGCTCGCATACGGCGCGGAAGGAAGTGGCCTCGAAAGCCGGAAGTTTGGAGCATCAGCAGGTGAAGGACTGCGGAGATGTGTTTCGGCAGCCGCATTCCGTCTCAAGGTGGCATGTCTGCATCTGCGAACCTGGCAGGTCTGCCTGTCAAGCGTGCAGGAGTCCATCGCTGGACTCGTCCGTGACATTCAGGACAAGGCTTGGAGATTTGCTGCCACGGAGGTGATGTTAGTTTGAGTGTTTGTGGGTCTGGCTTGAAGGCGTCCGCACCGCAGGCCCGTCTGGTTGTGTGGTGCCCGATGGTTTGATGATATCGAACTTATGTCTAGCCGTACAATGCTCGGAAACACCGAGATGCCTGCAACCAACTCCTCGCCAGGTTCAACAGCAAAAGACACTTCTCATGAGCTTGGAGGCAGCACAAGCATAAAGCGGGGCACCCGAAGTCTCCCGGCTTTGTTGGAGATGTTGGCCAGGCACAGTTGGCGGACCTCGGGCGACAGTTGCACGACAAAGCCACGGCCAGTCAGGTCCGGGCCTTGCTTGGGGCAAGCCGTAGCAGCATAGCGCCAAGCGCGGAAGCGGAGAAATCAGAAAGCCAAACCGAGTTGATGTCAGGCCCAGCAGCTCAAGGCCGCCCTGGAGGCTTTGCAGGGAAGCGCCTGGCACCCGGCTTTCCTGCAGCCACCTCCTCTCCTCTCAAGTAGTGATGTGTTCGTGGCTGCGCCGAGGTTGCGAGTCTTGATTCCGAGGCACGGCGTGTTGCAATGAGTCCACCAAGCACATTTTGCCAAGCGTTTGAATCGAAAACACAGCAGATGAACAGAGAAACCAGCATACTGAGCCTCCTACTCCTACACCTCACTCGTGCATAAAGCCTTTGGCAGTTCTGCTGCACTCACTGTTTCAGCCCTCGTGCGAAGTGTTGCTGTCCGGGTGCTTGGCATGGTGGTTAGGTCCAGTGCAGAGCAACTTCTGATGCACTTCAGCAGCAGCTGCCTGAGTCTGGCAAACCTCTTCCCAGAGCAGAGGAAGCTGCAAGTGTTTTACGCACGGATGACCGCATCCAACCAGGATGGCTTCATCAGTGTCGGTGACGGCGCAGAAGATCGCATCGCCAGATCCTCGTACAACGCATACCGTAAGACGCCGTAAGAGCATGCAAGCACATGGCAGGGACATGCTTCCATGGAAGCTGACAGGACTATCCGTAGAAGTACCATCGCAGAACACGAGCATCACACAATACTTGCCTTGACACAGTAATTAGAGGTCACCATCATTCTGCATTTCCGTGAACTTCCCATGGTGGTTGTCCTAAAACCGTTTTCTGTAGGTTTATACAAGACTTCAGTCGAACGAATATTGAACAAAGTCACGCAAAACCGTCACACGCGAAAATGGCGGGGAAGAGTTGCGATAGGGAGCTGCTTAATTCAGTTGTGTTGGATGTTGTTTGGGTTGGTTTTGGCGGTACATGTTTGTTTATATAGTTATACAGATGCATTCTTCCATTGAATCTTAAGCTTGCGAGTTGGACACCTGTAGTCTGCATGTGCAAATCAAAACGAATCTAGAATCATGACTTTGGATGACATGCTTACCGCTGCTGCTGAAAATCCTCTATGTATTTCTCGCAATACTCACGACAGCACTTTTCGGAAGTGTAGAGGTGATTAATTTGTTCGAAAGTCGTGCGAAATTCAAACATCCCCCAGCAAGGCCATGCCTCATCTTGTCTGCAAGACCTTTCTTAAAGGACCCTTCCAAACCTGTATTCCCTGCGTGCAATACCCTTCTGGAGCCGTATTGCCTGCTTTCACGACCCTTCTGGCGCCTTATAGCTGTGCTGCAAGATCTTTAGGTATTGATTTCAGCCTGGTATGGCTCGCATCTGATGTAAGGACCCTTCTAAAGCATTCTAGATTCTAGAGCTTTTGGTATAAGAGTCTTTCTACAGCTTTCATAGATACTTCTGTGCCCAGAGTTATGTCGAGGTGTTCTTTCTTTGGGTGTTTCCTCGTGAAACAGCGTGGAACCTACGCCGTTCTCGAAAGCGCCGCGGAAGGGAGTGTTTCTGGGAGAGCGCATTTAGCATACCACCCCCGTGTCTGCCACGCAAGCAAGCCGGCGAACCCTGTTCATTCGTTAAGAGACTAGTGACTAGGTAACACTAGGCAGTAGTTGGAACCTTGAGGTTCGTTGCTGCTTCAGTTCATGATCAGCTTGGTCAGGTTCGAGCAGACACTGCACAGCAAAGTGGACACGGCACAGCTCGACCAATTTGCTGACGTCATCGCAGCCGTGCAGGTTACTTTGCCATGCTTCGCTTGAGCCATCTTGGAATGTCTAGCCGCCATGGACCAGGCCAAAGTCCCGGGACTGGAGCAAGACTTGCGCTGCGGTGCACTCTCGGGGTTCATCACTGGGATCTTCGAATCTGCGAACATGTGAGCCGCCGCGCATCGCCGCGTGGCCATGTGTGGAGGCGCAGGTCGGATCGAAGAACTGGAGGCCGTTGTATCGGGGCCTCAAGCTTACACTCACTCTTACTTGTCGTGTGTGAAAGGCTGCCAGACCCTGAGCCTGAGCACCTGGCTTTTCTGCCCTTGCCAAGGTGTCAGAAGAAGACATCCCAGACGGAGGCACAGCTCCAGAACAAGGTGCAGGGCTTGTGCCCTCTCGGTTGATTCATGACATCTGTTTGATGCGTGGTATCTCAGGTTGACGTGAAACAGCTGCAGCAGACCGATAACAGCTTGGCTACGCTTCAAAACCATGTGGCCCAAGCCAGGGCCTCGTGGTGGTTTCCGTGCGTGTGTTTGCAGTGCTTGACTGTGAGTGCCAGGTTCAGCAATGCTTGGGGGAGAAGGCTCTCACAATGCCGCTTTGCACACGATGCTCTTGTGTGCTCTCGTGTGACGTGCCTTCGTGTCTTCGTGTTCAGGCCGGTGCATCAGCCCTGCAAGGCGTCGAGAGTCGTCGTGAGAGGCGTAGCCTGGAAAAGTGCCACTGCTAGGCGTCAAGTCCAGCCTCGGAGCCCTGGAGGGCAAACTCGGCGAGTTCGAACAGTCCATGCAGGACCTGAGGATGATGCAAGTGTAGGCGATAGGAGCTTGTCTCGACTGCGCAGGCCACCCAATGCCTGCCTCTTTGCATGATTGAAGGTACAAGTTCTGAAAACCGAAGCAAGAGAGCTTCTCCCCCTATCGGCAACCGTGGCAGTTCTCTTGCAAAGTCCAACTACAAGGGTTTTCGACAGCAGCCGGAGCTTTGGGTTGGTGGCAGGAGAAAGCTAGCAACAACAATCTTCAGCAGTTGAAGCAGGCGCTTCATGCATGCAAAAAACTGTGTCCTTGAGTCCTCGATCTATGGAAGGCTTTGTCGATGGTGGAGACGAAGCTGTCGGGCGTGGACCAGGCAAATCGCACAGATTGTCTGCCGCACGTTGAAAAGCAAAGTCGTTGTGATATGCGGATGCCAACAGTGTATGGTTGTTTGAGATCTCCAAAGAATGTCGAACGCGCTCACGGAACCAGTGCTGCAAGAGTACTCAAACCAATCAGTGAGTGGGCGCTCAAGTTCGTTTGAACACGTGGAGTGCTGGCCAAGTTTCAGTGCCCAGGGTTCATGGCTCCACGGGGCAAGACCCCGCCTGAAGAAGAACCTAGCTTTGTCCCAAGACCCGCCTGGATTAGGCGGTTCATGAAAAAGTTGGGGCCGGTCAAATGCAGCAGCTGAAAAGTATTGTGCGAGATGCCGAGGCTTCGTATCATATCGATAATATCGGGCTTAAGCCCATTGCTGAGGATGGGAATCCAGAACCAGGCAAACTCCTTGGAGCAGAGCTTGCATGACAAGGCCTCCGCGGCTTCTGCTTCTTTCTTGCCTTCGGCCTTCGGTTGAAGCCTCCTGCAGCGGCGCACCAGGTTGGTGCTGAGCAAATTCAGCAGCTGAAGGCGGCAGTGGCGGGATCTCAGGCCACTGGGACCATCTTGGACCACTGACCGCCAAATTCACATGGCCACTCTGCGACTTGAGGCACAAGTTTCAAGCATTGAATCGCAGCTGCAAGAAAAGGCTAGCGCTGGTCAGCAGCCATTCTCCCAGTGGTCCTTCTGTTCGCAGATGTGGGTATGGCCTGTGCTCAGCTCATGGTGACTCGCTCAGGCAGCAGCTGGGACCTCGACGAAGTACCTGCCAGTAAACGGAGTACAATAAAGCATTGCAAAGCTTCGCAACGCCCTGCGAAGTGGCACACTGAGGCTAAAGACGACAATCACATCTTTGGAGGCAAAGCTGCTCAGCTGCGACCAGGCCAGCACATTGCCTTGCACGTGAAATCACACGAACACCGTCTCTTTTTTCAAGACCCAACTCGTCAAGAATAATCTTCTCTTCTGATTCATGCTGAGAGCGGTTCAGGCACTGCAAGCAAAGGTGGATGGAGTGGTAAAGCCCAGTCACATCCAGTCACCGTGTTCTTGCCAGCTGGAGTGTTGTGCCCGACGCTCTGCACATGCTGTCATATCAGGTTCAATGGAATCAGCTAAGTGACTCTGTCGGCGTTGTTCAGAACAAGGCAAAGGAAAAGTGTGACACTGGTGCAGACATAGACGAAGTGATGGCTTGCATGTGGCGCACCCCTTGCAGGTTTGCAACATTGAAAGAGGCGTTTGGGAAGGAATGGACTGCGTTCAGGTCGCTTGTTTTGATTGGCCGCAGTCGATGTTCTAATGGAACATCCAAGTACACGAGGTCTTGTTGAAGCATCTACTCACCTAGTCCTTGCCCTCTTATGCGAAATCAAGAGGTCCTATGCCCTGGCGACAACATGGGGAAATGGAGACGGGGGATGGGGAATGCGCCGAAAAGGTTCGAAGGGCAAGGCAGTTTCCAAAAGGACAGTTTCCAGTTTCCGGGCCTGTCTTGTTAATTCCGTGCGGGTACGGCGAACAGAACCACGAGGTGGAGGACGGATTGTGTCGGGAAATATGCCCCCCGGATTTTGTCATTCCTGGGGCGACAGCGGCTGCGAAAGCCTTGATGAGATTGACGACCGAGAGAAAGCTAATTGAAGTCAGTGCGAGTGAGGGAGCATGAGGGAGCATTCATCGACGTAGAGAGGTACAACATAGATACATGGATAACTCTGTCCATCTGTAATTTAAGGAGCTTGACACCGCGTGCCCAACCGATGCTCCACGCTGGGTGGGCAGGTGTTCTTGTTGTTCATTGTGCAAGGGTGGGGGTTGGGGGAGGGTCGCCGACGTTCAGTCTGTTTTGCAAATCCTCCGTCCCCCAGTCACCACGACAAAAAGATCATTCCCTGCTTGCCTGCTGCGAGCTCAAGAAATGCCTTGCAGCGGCTGCCCATTCGGCGTTGAACGAGCTTGCACTGCAAGAAGCATGGCACTTGCGTGCCAGGAGGAACTCCCGTCTTCGAACCGGATTTGCTGATCCCTGATGTTGTGAACCCACGTCAGGGCAAGAGGATTCCGTTACCACTGTTGGAGCTTTTGTACGTCTTTCGGAAGTTCGGTTGTCGCGTTGTTGTCGGAGTCTTGTGTGGAGTGCTAGCACCCTCCAACCACTGGAAAATCGTCGAAGTTCCTGCGAAAAGCCCCCTGAGGCCAGCGGAGTTTGCCAGATGATGAAATGAGATGAAATGAGCACATTCCCACTGCGAACTGCCAGGCTCTGGAAGGGGCGCTTACGAGCTTGAAGGGCCAAGCAGCCGCCATGGATCACAACATGCAGGTCCTCCGTTTCTGTCACTGAAGACTGCACAGCAACCCTGTTGCAGGAGAAAGTGTCCATGGCAGAGTTTCAACGCTTGGGCGATGCTGTGTTGACTCTGAAGGGGAAGGCCCTGGGCCATTAGACGTCTTTGGCTTCGGTGTATGCCCAGTGTGTGCACATGCATGGAAACACGAGCGAAGGTCGGATCGCTGGAGCAAAATCTCCGAAAGGGTGCTGAGCACGTCACTGATGTGGAGGGCGCTGTGGTGGGCTTCGGGAAGCAGCTTGCAACTTTCAAGCAGGCCGGATCTGTGTTTCTTATGCGCGAAGCTGCGCATGCATACTGTAAAGTAAGAATGATTGTGTTGTGCTGTAGCGGATGTAGCAGAGTGCAGAGGCATTCAGCGATCTGAGCCACTCTTCGCAGGCTCGACTATTCGCAGCTTCTCTCATGTTCTGTGCATGTTCGAGCGAGCTGTGCAACAAAGGCGGTACATGCTGCATATTGTTGTATGTTTCGCCGAAGAGAGTCCAGCTGACAAGAGAAACAACAGCATGATTTGACTTGTCCAGATTGGTTGTACAGTACGGTCGTCTCAATAGTAGTGGACATAGATTAATTTGCGAACACATTCTTGGTTCTGGTTGGCAATCGTTTAGAGCACAGAGAAACCACTTATCTGAGACAAAAATTGAATTGCTGTTTCTTGTGTCTGCGGTATTCTGCAGTTGAGTTCATTGGAGCCACCCGGACTTCTGTGAGGAGTGGGCAAATGAAATGTTCGCCCTCCCTCCCAAGCCCTGGCCCTGGCCTGCACAAGTCCAAAATCCCAGCCTTTCGACGTAGAGGCAAGAATGCTCACGCTTGACATTGATCACCTTCCAGGACTTGATGGTTTAGTAGACTGGGGGCGCATTCTGCCAAGCAGCGACAACCAGGAGACCGCAAGAGTCGGGCTCATCGCGATGCTCCACGTTCTCCATCCAGAAGCCGCAGCTGAGAGCGCGACATCAGTGAGCGGTGCTGTGTGGCTTCTGCAAGGAAACAGTAAGACCGGTGCCGCGACTTGTGCACCAACATGACGTCTCAATTTCGCTGCATGCTCTGAGACTGAATTCGTGAAATATCAATCCCAGGCGGTGCCACAGTGCCTGCACCTGCGGATATTGCTGTGCCTAGCCGCTATGGGGCCGGGCGAGCATGCTGCCGCAGCCAGCGCAAAGCATTTCAGGAATCGAAATGCACTCAGAAGAAGCGACCCGAGCGGTTGGGGGAATGGCCAGGTAAAGAGCCTCAATGCTTTTGCAACATGAATCGGAAGATGTTGTGGATCATGAATGGGCAGGTTGCCAAACCGAAGTTGCTGCAGTTGTTGTTACGCTGCGAGGATGGAGAAACCTACCGATCTTCTCCACATGACGCCAAGCCAAGCAACCAGGCTCCAGCGCTAGATTAGCTGATTAGGAGACTCACAAACAAAGGCATCGTCTTGGCTGCAAAGCTCCAGCAGATTGAGAAGTTTGTTCGAGATCAGTTGCTGATAGGTCAACAGGGATACACCAGTCGGCGAATTCCATGAGGAGCATGCGCTAACTTGTGACTGGTTTGGCTTGATTAACGAAAGCTTCATGACGCGATGCAGAGGATGTGCCTGATGATTTGGAAGAGGCGCAAACGGGTCTGAGCGAGTCAATCCCCCCTTTAGTGTTTTGAGCGAGGTCAGCAGGCCAAGCACCGGCGGTGCAAGCGCTGGCCTCGACCAGGACCGGACCCTCAGACATCCGACTAGCCTTGGAATGTCTTGGCTGCACGCTTCGTGCCAGGACACGACGGGTATCTTGCGCATGATGACTGGGGCAAGCGCAGACCAGCCTTGCCCTTGTCCTGCGTCAGCCTTGTGACTGCGCATGTGTAGCCAGTTGCTCTGCGGTGCAGGCTTTCTCGCCTACGTGATTCACTGATGGAGCAGCAGGCGACTCATGGAATGACTTGAACCGCCGCAGCTGTGAGAGAGTTCTTCGGGTATTTCCTGTGATTCTGATGCTGTGTGCTTGCAGTGTGCAGTGACTCAGTGTGCCGACGTGCGATTTTGGCCCCATCCAATTGCTTGCAGCCGCATAACAATTCGCTTTCTCACCCAGTCTTGTTCTATCGTTCTGGAAGGATTGTTTGGCAGAAGTAAAGCACATGAATCTTGGTATCACCAATGCGAACTCTTGGTCCCTGGATGGAAGGGCCTGGAAGTCTCATGCAGTATAATTACATGCTCGCAGACAATCCTCCCGTAGAGATTGCAGGCTGAAGCCAAGAAGTTGCTTAGGGCCTATAGACCGTTGGAAAGGGCTTATTTGACAGCTTCTCGACAGCAACCTCTGCCCTCTTCTCAAAGATGGGTGAGCAGAGCCAGGCAGGCTAGAACTTTCTAAAGCGCTTGCCGCTTCTACATGCTATGTCCTGGCCAATATGCAGGTGGACAATGAAGCTTCTGGTGTGCATGTGCGCGACCTCGTCCGTGGCCTAATTAGTCTCTTGCAATTTTATTGTTCACATGCTTCCGTATGCTTCCGTCTAACTAGGTCTTCCCAGAGGAGCCACAATCGCAAGAGATTGGCCCGCTTGCCAGCATCAACGCGAGAGTCAGATGTGATTCAGGTCGGAAGACGTCGAAACACTCAACACTGGTACGGATCGGGCGCATGGTTCCTGCACAGGTGAGGGCGTGGCCATGTTGGCGAAATCTAGCTCAGCTGCGCTCTCAAGCTCGAGTCATCTTGGCAGCATGCTGGTTCTGTTTGATTGTATTTCAACTCAGGCACCGGACATGAAATCAACCATCCACAGAAGACAGACATGTCTCAAGAGGCCAGCTGAGTGGGAGTGCTTTCTGGTCCTCCTCGGAAGCACGGCAGAAGAGGAGTCCGTTTGAAGAGCCGCTACCTTGGGCCAAGCCGGTCACCGACAAGTGGGGCTTCCCGAAGCCTCCTGCCAGCTCCCCTCCAGTCGATTCCTTGGCCTTGGCATTAATTTGCACACATGTGCGTGCATGAAACCTTCTTTGTACCGTTAAGGCAGAGCCCTGGAACTGGAGGAGCTTGAAGCCACAGGCCAGAGGGCTGCTATCATCATGTTCCCAGTATCTGCAGGCACCATCACCTTGGGATGAGCAACGATGACGTTCCAAAGGTGGGGCTTCACCGCACTTCACGTGCCAGTGCTTGTATTGTACTGCCCTTTGCGACAGGGTCGCCGGACTTACTTCTCGAAGCCCGAATCCCTAGCAGAGTTGAAGGAGGCATTGCGAAGCAATCCTTCGCCTCCGCCTTGGTACTTCGTGCAAAATTGTGCTCGCAAAGATGTTGCTACTCGAAGGGCATTTTGATCCCCAAGGATCAAGAATGCTGAAGGCATACTTCAGAGACTTGAGCTAGGCGATCTTCCTCAGCGTCCCAGGCGAGGAGCTCCCAAAGAATTGCACCAAAGTACCCGGCACGCTCGGAGTGCAACCATGTGATCTCCTCGACGATCTTGCCAGGTCGTTTATTACGCCAGATGCTGGTGCTCCGGTTTGTCCACAGAGACATGTGTTCGGTGGCACCATGCTGCGATCTTATTCCCTGCCATAAGGCTTCTATCGTTGACGAAGACACGCAAATAGCTGCGGACACCAAGGTTGGATCGAGATGGAATGGGACGAACCTGGAACAGCCGCTGGAGTGCAGGCATCTGAAGACCACAGCCATAGTATGCCTGGGCATTAGGCCTAAGCGAAGCGCATGCGCAGCCAGGCATTGCAATGATAAACGAGCACTGCCATCCGCCCGGAGCTCGGTAGCGACCCACTGCTATCTGTCAGCTGGACGGAGCCATGGCTTCTGTCCAAGTTCAGCAGGGACCACCGGACATATTTCACGCAGCAGTCTCTCTTCGAAAGGCCTGGGAACCCGAACACACACTCTTTTTTCCAAGGGAGATGCGTTTTGGAGGTCTCCATCGCAACAATATCGACGTTTCCTACATCAGGAGTGCTGTTGCAGGGCAAGGGCTGGTAATACCAAAGCTTTCATTCTGTTTCCGTTTTTTTAGAAAGGCGATTTGGCAACTGCTGCTCGCTATCCGCTCTCTTTCTCCACGCAGGAGCGAAAGCCCGGCGAGTGGGTTTCAATCGACCAGAGGAGGTCAGAGCTGCGAGTGACACAGAGTGACGTAGTCGGATTCGGTTCAAAGAACCGTCCTTGTCCGTTCGGAGTCAGGCCTGCACGGTTTCCTCCTTTGGGTGGCCTTTTGACTGGTCGCCGTGGGCTCAACCGGAAGCATTGACAGTGGACGACCCCGTTGCTGCTGCTGTTGCTGGTAAGCTGTCGAGGCTGAGTTTGTAATTGTTGTCGTCCTTGTCGTTGTTGTTGGGGTTGTCGTTGTCAAGCTCACACACCAGACTTAAGCTCCTGCACAAGGCTCCGGAGCACCCATTCCTGGAGCAATGCCATAGCGACGCCAGCGCGGCTGAGTCGAGCGGTGGCGGCAGCCCTGCACCTGTGCGCGCGTGTGCACGCCTGTGACTGTGTGCAATGCGATCTGGGTTCGGACTGTGCCTTGTCAGAAAGCACCTAGTGACTGTTTCGTTTACGTCTGCACGCACGGGCTTCGACGTCTGTCTAAGGGTTCAAGTTGAAGGAGTGCTGACAAGACAATGTCAGATCCGAAGCTCTGGCACAACTGCTCGAGCAGTGTACAGCTATGTGTTATATGATGTGAATCCCGAAGTGGGCGTTTGCATGCTGTGATTTGCGGTGTAGTGACGCAGTGGCATTGTGCAAGTCTAAGACTCTGCGCTGAAAACGCTGATTAGATTCTGTGGGTCCTACGCTAGGGAACCTGGACCATGGCGATTTCCCGTTGCTGCTACGTCACTTGTGGCAGGCTCCGAGTGCTGGCAGCGGGCTTCCATTGCAGCCGAATCGATCATCGACCTCGGGCAGGAGCAGCTACTCTTGTGAGCGTGGGTGCTCCTGACTCGTGTATTTTAGCAAACATGGTCGGTTTGCTGGCCCACTGTGACACGGTGCCGCTGGGTTGCGGCATGCTCCACAAGCCAGCACATGAGCACTTCGGCAACAAAAGCATCGTGCTCTAAAGATCATTTGGCCTGCTGAGAAGCTCCGAGGTCTCCCCAGGTGCTGCAGTTCGTTGCTCTTCGATCTTGGGGAGTTTCGGTGTAATACTGTCGGAATGCACTCCCGCTTGCCGTTGCCCCTCATCGGCCGTACGTAGGCTTCGACAGTGTCTACAGTTATTACTTCTAGCCCGAGAGCTCACTCTTGGAGTCCTTGCTAAGTTTGGGCCACTTGTCTCGCAGGCTGCATCGCAACAATCTTGTGAGACGTGTCTCGCCGATTCCACGTCGCATGCAACTCTTCAAGCTCCGGCCCATCGTAACTCTGACAAATTCTGACACCATATCGCACTTGTGAGTCTTGTGGGCAGACCCAAATTATGCCAGCAAGTGTTTTTGTGGATGTGCGGTTCGGCAAAGCGCAGCAGGAGTTCTTCCCGGGCCAACGAGCCCCTGACAGGAAGCAGGACATTCACCATGAGCTTTTCAAGCTTTCCTTGAATGTCATCGCGTTCGTATCACCTGTTGCGGACATCCGTGAGCAATCCACTGCGAGGCCCTCATCGTGCTCTCGTCCAGCATCAGCCATTGCCGATGCTATACAGGCCCGTCCCTGTCGTAATAGGCACTTACATGTACTCCAAGTCCGTGTGCCGCTGAGCCGGTGCCTGTCTGCAAGGCGGAGAATGAGCGTGCCAAAAAGCTGAGCGAAGACATGGAGGCTTTGAGTGCAAGAACCGTAAAACCGTGCTTGATTCTGCTTGATGGTGTTAATCTCGCGAGGCTCGGGCATCCAGGCGAGGGCTCTCGGACTTGTCGAAGACTTGTCTTGGTCTTGTGACTCTGACTCGCAACTGTGCCCGAGGCCGATTCCAGGGGAGGGACTTACGTCCGGCGGATCAAGACCATCCTCACGGCCCTTGCCTCGTTGACTCTGGGGTGATTTGCCGTAGCTTGCAGCTTTCCCTTCAGTCGCCAGGTCGAGGAGTCGGAAACTTCCGCTCGGGCCAGAGGCCAGAAGAGCACGGCCTCGTAGCAACGGGTGCAGGGCCGTTTCATTACTTCGCCCTGCAGGAAGCTGCTCAAGCAGCGCCTCCATCAGTCCTAGGGTCATTCAAGGCCAGGTCCTGCCAGGATCTGCTCACCCTGCCGAGATCTGCGTCCTTGCACGAGGCGCCCTCGGCTTCCCCCTGCAATCACGGCTATCCCGGTCGGGGCCTCACTGTCTGCGACAAAACTGGCTCCACAGCAGATCAACCAGAGCAAAACGCTTCACGCGAGTTGAAGGCATCCCCTCAGCTGTCTCAGCCACCCTGTTGCCTGACATATTCGAGAGAAAGATCAGGCTGCCTACTGCAAGCAGCAGCTATCCTGGCCCTGTGAAGTACAGTTCGGCAGAAATCGAGACAATTGGCCGAGATGAAAATGTCTCAGCCGACTGGGAGCACCGGGCATGTGTAGGCAGCCCTTCTGCTTCCTCGACGACTTGCCAACTCAGGTGCAAGGGATCCATTGCCTGCTCAGGCAAGTTGACTGCATGTCCGGGTTTTGTTGAAGTCTCATCGACAAGCTTCTGGGCTGGCTGCAGCTGTTTGGGGCCTCGCTTTGCCTGCAGTCTCAGTCTCTTCTCCGAAAGACGCAGTACTTCAATGCACCAGCTTGACAATCGCTCACAAATCACAGGCACCTACGGCAACGCCAGCCAGGCAGCTTGTTGAGTTGGGCAGGCGCAGCCGGCATCGGATGCAGAAGTAAGTGGATTCACACGTTGCACCTGCACAGCAGGGATGACCACGGCACCGCGGCCGAGATCTTCGATCGCGTGCCACTGCTACCTGTGGCGACTTGCCTGTATTCTGCTTTGACATTTTCCCGAGGTCAGCCGGCTGGACCAAACAAAGCAGAAGGCCTTGCTTCGAATGCTGGACTCCCTAGAGGCCGGCATCGGCTATGATAAGATGTGTTCGGCGGAGCGATGTCCGCGGATGTCACGCCTTCCTAAGTCGCTGGCTTTGCAGACGGTTTGTGGAATGGGCAGCCCGTCTCCGAATTGGACCTGCGCAGTTGTTCGGCCGTGTTTGCAGAGATGCTATTTGTGCTGCAATCTGCACCCGTCGGTCACCAAAATGCTAAGTCGGAACACCTGGAGGCAATACCATGTCCAGAGAGCTAACCCTATTTCCTAAGTGCACTTTCGACATGATCTTTCCCGAGGCTCCAGGCATGCAATCTCAATGTGTGGGCTTTAGGGGAGCCTGGGAGCGGGGGGTGGGTGGGAGGGGAAAGGGTTCGGGGTTGCGTCAGGCTGAAGACAATCTGTCATCATCCGTCATGGGGCCTTGTTGCACACTTGTGGTGCCCTGTTGAGAACAAGCTCTTACGCCATGCTGTACCTCGCAGAATCCTTTGCGCTGGAGCCGGTGGGCGGTGGACCAAAGCAATCGGTCGAGTCGAGGTTGTTGTTCTCGCAGAGGGGCGTCAATGAGAATGCTCGAGCATGTGCCTCGCGGTCAAGGCGACTAGACCCAAGAGAACCCACAAGCTTGAAGGCAAAAGCGGCGAATGTGTTCAGAGGTTTTGGACTCGAATTCCAGCCGCCACTTGTTTTGTTGAAGATGTCGGTCCGTACCACTTCCAAAGAATGAACTGAAACCAGCGCAGCTTTTTCTGCATCTGCTTAAGGGCGACAACTCGCAGCCGTCACAGCCATCAACATCGAGCAAGGCTCGTGACAGCTTGTGATACAATGCTGTCCCACCCTGTAGCGCCACTGCAGGCGCAGCCCGCGCAGCCAGTGTGGCTGCAGCATGCAGCTGAGCCAGCTGAGGGTCCGAACTTGAGCTTCCGTATTACGGTGCGCAGATTGAGGTCGGCGAACTCGGACCTCTGCCGCACCCACAGCGAAATTGGTCTGGTGGACTTTGTCGGGTGCTTCAAGATGAGGTACTCCGTTTGAGGAGAGGAGGAATTCCGAACTGTCCCCGTCCCAGCGTTGGGCCCATGTGCTTTCATGTCTCACAGTCCATGCGGTGGTCTTCGGGTTATTAGCCGTTATTAGCCAGAACAGTTAGTAAATATTGCGATCGAGATTCAAGAGTGCTTGCGGACGGAGCTCTGTTTGCTATTCGCCCGGTCGAACGAAGACGCTCAACCACTTTGCATTGATGATTCGATGCTGTTCTCTCCTTCCGGAACCTTGTTCTCACAGTCGCATGCCAGCTGATCAACTTTGAAGGAATGTTGGAGTTTGAAGCTGCGAAGAGCAGAAACGATCGCCAAATGCCACCATCCACATCAACCACTGACAGCAGGGCAGGGATTTCAGCCTTGAGCGCCCAGAACTCAACCAACATGAGCGAGCGAGAGTGTGTGTGTGTGTGTGTGGTGGCTGTTACACTGTCTGGCACTTTGACTTTGCCATGCTGTCATCCTTGCCCCGCGCGAAACTAGCTCAGTCTCAGTGCTGCAATCACTTCATGCAAGTATGTATGCCTCTAAGTTCGCTAAATGTGAGATGCCTCTATGCTGATCCCAAACCACAGCCGCGGGCTTGCTTCTGCTAAAACTTATTCCCAATGTGATCGAACACCTCTGCCCACACTGCAGCCAACACAACCGTCAACACTGCTTGTGCACAATCTCTCCGGAGTATTTTGTCGCAAGATCCGCTCCGAGTTCTGGGCGGAAGATGACGGCGAGAACCTAGGTTTCATGGTCAGAACCCGGGTTTTCGCATGATACTTGTGCATGCTCGTGGCTTCCAAGGCTTCCAGGCAGTGGCCCAGTGCAGATCGAATGAATTAAACAGGTGGTTGCAGTTGCGGTGCTCACGCCGGAAGGCGTGTGTTCTGCTACTTGTAGTCTGACACTCGCCGGGTGTACTACTTACTAGTGGTTGAGTTACTTACTTGCCAGCATCAGCATCTGTTTGCCCCTTGTTCGCACTGTGCTTGCGACTCTACGCGACTTTTTGGACAGAGCCCCTCTTCAAGTTGCGGGCTCGCACTCTGACATGGCTGCTTGATGTTCCTTTCGAGCTTGAGTTGTTGGCCTCTCGCCTTCAGCACTCGAGGGTCTTGAACAGTACTCTGTTCCACAGATTCCGCGTTCGCTCCCAGACTGGTGGTTCAGGACACATGCTATTCGGGCGCTGAAACTTCTGCTCAATGCAGCAAGTTCATTCTGTTCAAGCCGACAGCCGTGGGGCTCTGTAGCCATTCTGGGCTTGTCAAGTTGTCTGTCGTATGTTGTACGTCGTCTCGGTCTCGTCATGTGGCTGGGGCCGCATCCGAGTAATAACTTTTGCCAACTTTTGCCATCACCAAGTCGACAAGAAGACACACAGCAGGAGCTGCTGCTGAAGCCTCAGAGGATCGGCTCAAATTAGCCTTCGACGCTGCTCCCTAGCCCCTGCCCCTGAGGCAGTCTCTGCAAGCTCTGGAGCTCTTCCGATCGTCGCAGAGCCGAAGGCAGTCAGAATTTGAAGCAGCCGTGTGTAAGGAGAAGTTAGCTGTCCCAAGCTTGCCGCCTTGACAAGTTGTGCACAAACTGACAGGTTCTTTTCTGCAAGTTCGCAGCAGGCCTGCTCGAAGTGTCGAGAACACAAACAGCCTCTAGCCGAGCGGACACACATCTTAGAGCATGTTCATTCAGGAGAGCATTCAGAAAGCGCGGCTGCGAACCAGCTTTTCATGTTCTGAATGTTTGCTATCATTCGCAGCGCTGGTGACAGTGCGAAATGACATGTCGATATACGTCGATGCTGTTGCCTAAGATGTCGTGCAGGGTTGTTACTGCGCTGATGCGCACAGCACGAAAAGTTGCTTTCGTCGCCGGAGCTCCGATCTTTCCATTTCGCACAAGCTTCCTTTCCGCTGTCCCAGACGGGGACCGCTGGAGAGTTATGCTTGCTTGAACCCCTCCTTTGACAGCCACATACGGTTTTTCAACGCAACCCTCGGTTTAGGTTTATGGCATATGCTGAGTTCGCAGTCACTATTCGCAGGTCTCGTGCGCTTAAATGCTCCGGAGTTCATACGAGGATGCGTAGTGTCGGTACGCACGGAAGCTGAGCCTCCTGGCACCTTGCAGTGAGTTCTTGCTTGGTGCTCTGTTTTGCTGCTTTTGAGGATAATTTGTTTGAGCTTGGGCCTTCCAGGGTGTGTGCCCAGCGGTTTTGAATGCTTTTTGCCTTCTATCGGTGAGTAGTGGAGGCTTTGACACGGGCCCTGCTTGCAATGCTGTGTGCATAACTCGATGCCAACACCTTCCGACAGAAAGCTAAAGTGATGTCAGAACCCTGAAGATTTCGCCTTCATAGCCTGCGAAGGACCTGCATCCAACAGAGTCTGCATCTCACGAGCGTCGTGCTTGCATGCGCGTCTTGAACTGCTTCGGGTTAGCGCGCCGAGGCCCCATTCCCCAGCTCCGTCTCCGCTTCCGGAGCACTCTGACCCCTTGGCCACTGTCGCTCGGCACGAACTGTCGAAATCTTCGGGCCTCCGACCACCATCTTCGCTGAGGCCCAATTCGGAGACAAGCACGAGCTCTTGGCGGAGGCAGAAGCGGCCAGGATCTATCCAGTCTTCGTGTTCTGCTGCATGGCAAAGCCCTTGCTTCATTTGGTGCCAGCTTGGCCCCTGACTTGCTGCAAGTGGTGACTTCCCCTTCGGGTCAGGCAGCCGCAATGGGCCTTGACATCCCTGTGCGGAGCTTCGATGATACTGATGTGCTGGAGAGTCCAAGTCTCAGGTCTAATTTTAACGCTACGCCGCCCGCCTCGGCTGTGTAGCGGCAGGGCGAGGGGGCAGTCGATGCTTTTTTATGCTAGGGCGGCCTTAAACGGTTGTTGATACGAAGTGCGAGGAGAACGGGTACAGGGTGGAGGGGTGGGGGGGAGGGGGGGGAGGGGGGGGGGGGGGGGGGGGGGGGGGGGGTGAAACCATAAACCTCTAAAGGGGTAGCTCTAACAGGTACCTACAGCAATGGCTGCATGCTCATACATATACATTCCGCTGCCCATTGGCTCACAGTGGTTTTACCATATTGAGACAAGACAAGCTCTCCTTGCGTAGCAAGACAAAACAACTACTGTCCGTGTGCAGGGCGCTGCCCTTTGATCCTTAGGGAATAACTGGTCATACACCTCCTAACAAGGAGTATTCCTTGGGGGTGTATCGGCACAGTTTTCTGGTAGCGGAGCCCGGAAAGGGCCGCCCGCCTCACAAAGTCCGCTACAGCGGTCGGCCTCGCCGAACGCTTAACCAAGCGGATAAGAGGCAGCACAATGTCGAGCTCGCATAGCGAAGCCGACGGCAGTTCCCAATCCTCCGGGGGATATGAGAACGAAGAGACCTCCCAAGGTCCAGCTACTTATGTCGCACAGTCATATGCAACATCTGACCGCATGCTTGCATCATTAGGCATAACGCCCAAGATCGCGCCTGCCTATGATGGCACCACCTCGTGGTTTGAGTATGAACAGTTGATTGACGACTGGTGCGACATAACAACGCTGGATGACACCAAAAGAGGTCCGTCTCTCAAGACGAGGCTCTCCGGATTGGCCGCAGTACAAAAAGAATCACTTAACCGAGAAAGGCTTGCAGCCCCAGATGGAGTAGATTACTTCAAGAAGAAGATGCGTCCATTTTTCGTGAAAGGAGAACAGTACGTTTTCCTGTGGCGTTTCCTCGGCCTATTCAAGGCATGGAAGGGCAACCAAGACTTTGTGACTTGGATTGCTAAGTTTGAGATCGTGCTACAGCGCGTGAAAAACTCATGGATGGATCTCTTACCAGAGATAGCTCTGGAAGATGCCCATCCAGATTTCATGCAGGCTGTGCAGGCAGATCAAACCTTCTTGCGCCTACAGGATGCAACCGAGAGAGACACATACGCCGCACGTTTCTTCGAAACATGGAACAAGGAACGCCTTGATAATCATCGAAGAGCGTTTCCTCTAAATGATAATCTCCTAGCTCTCCTCTTCCTAGTGCAGTCCGACCTAAATGAGATGCAACGTGAGAGGTTGGTAACAGCATTGACCAACCAAGGTCACCGAATTGAGACCTATACGTACCCTGTGGTACGGCAGACCATGTTCGATCAGTTCTCAACGACCAGAACTGGTCTGCAGGATCCCAATATTCGGCACTCTTCTCACAAGAAGGACCGCCATGGAAGGAGAGATCAACGCCGCAAACGCGGAGGTCGAAACTTCCTCATCCTCGATCAGGGTGAATACGACGGAGTCGATGGATTTTGGCTCCAAGACGAAGACACCCTTGAGGAAGGCTTTCTTGCCGCCGAGGATGAAGAAGCTGTCTTCTGGACAGTTGACGACCATGAAGCCTTCGTTGCAAGGAGATTCAAAAAGGGAAGAAGACCAAGAATGCGTCCCGGATCACCGGGAAGAGCAAAGGGTGGCAAGCGAAAAGGACGTGGCCGTTTTAGGTCATACCGCGGAAAAGGGAGAGCCAACCAGGCAGAACATGATCCAACTGATTCCAGCTATTTCGGTAAAGGTAAAGGAAAGGAAAAAGGAAAAGGTGGAAAAGGCAAAGGAAAAGGAAAGGACAAAGGAGATAAAGGAAGCTCCTTCAAGGGTACAAAATCAAAAGGCAAGGGTAAGGATACAGCTAAGTCTGCCTCCTTACAAGGAGACCAAACTGGATCTCCACAGGCCTATGAAAGTTCCACCGCACCGAGCTGGGATTCATGGTATGAGGACAGTTATTATACTGACTCCAGTTGGAATTATGCCGCTTATGACGATCAAACGTCTTATACATACTATGCATCACAAGCCTCACGAAGAAAGACACGGAGAAAGAAGAGAAGAAATCAAGCAGGATCATCAGGTAGAGGCACAGATCCGAGCGCGCACCAAGAACCCGTGTACAACTCATCAGTGAGTTACGTGCCCCAGGTCTTTGAACCATCCGAGGGGCAAGGTGTGGAAGACTGCAACAGCAGTGTTTCCGTTGCAGCACACCGTCCTATCTGCTCTCACAGAGCGGATCAATCTTGATAAGAGCCCTACCTTTGTCATACTTGACTCAGGTTGTACTAGGGCTATGGGTTCCCGCTATGCGGTGAACAGGCTTATCAAGGCCGTGAAGCAACATGCCCCAGGCATGATTGATTTCACTTTTTCACCTTCGAACACGAAGTTCTCTTTCGCAGATAGTGAAACAGCTCTTATCAAGGAGCGTGTAACTCTATGGTTTAACACAACTCCAAGAAGAGATACAACCATAGAAGTTCTGGATCAGGGGAGAGTTCCCATTTTGTTCTCCATCGAACAGATGAGGAATCTAAGAATGACCCTCGAGTGTAGTCCCACAGCTGACCTAGCAACGTGTGAAGCTTTCGGTTTGTATAAAACCCCTCTTCCGATTAGTACCAATAACCATTTGGTATTGGACCTTCTAGGCTTTACTTCCACCAGGAAGTATCTCCCTAAGTCAGGTACGTCGTTCAGTGCGACGGAGACTGCTCTAGGAGCCAATAAGCCTTATACTAGGATACCGGAAGGTCGCTGTCCAGCCTGTGCCGGACAGAAAAGGGCTCACACGTACCTTAAGGGTTGTGACAAAGCACCTGAGGGAGCAGCTGATCCACCACCGAAGAGGATTTCAGGTAAAAAGAAACCTCTTCCATCTGATCCAGCAGAATCATCTGCCAAGAAACTCGATCCACCAGAACCATCTGGTGATGTTCCTGAGCCTTCCGGACCATCGGAACCATCATCAGGCTCTAGGGACAAACCTGCAGAATCCTCTGCACCACATGAACCTCCAGAAGAAGAAAGACTTGAGGTCCCACCTGCGAAGATAAAGACTCCAAAGGGTCTTAAAAACCTTCTGAAGAAATCCCGCAAATATGCGGTTAAACCTCCTGTTGAAGAGAAGTCTAAGGTCCCAGGAGCTGATGACGGGACGGAGGTAAGACCACTTGAGTCAAGAGAATACCCGGCTCCTGGTACAGACTCACCTACAGGTGAAGAGATTGTCGCAGAACCATCGCCATCTCTTCCCATTGCTCTTCGCAGGATTCATGAGAAGCTTAAGGACCCTGTAGAACTCTATAAGCTTCACCTTAAGCACCGTCATATGAGTACGGATCAGTTCAAGCGACGCACAAAAGCCTTACAGATCCCAAAGGAGATCTACGAGCTATATGACCAACTGGTCAAAAAGTGTTCAGCCTGCCAGGAACATGTGAGAGCTCCTTCAAGAGCAAAGATTTCTGGTTTAAGATCAGAGACTTTCGGTGATCTCACCTTCGTAGATCACGGTGAGCTTCCAATTCCCGGCAAGGATAGTCGCTTAGTATTTCTTATTCTCTATGATGGAGCAACAAACTTGTTGACTGCCGAAGTAGTCCAGGATAAAGAAGAACATACTACAATGTCGATTATGAATGACTACTTTGAGAAATTTCAGATCAACCCAAAGGTTGTAGTTGGAGATCAAGCATTCATGACTCCAAAAATGGAGGCTTATTACAATCGGCAGAATATCAAGCCTGTGGCAACAGGACCTGGAACACCATGGCCCAACAGGGCCGAAGCTGCTGTAAGATTGCTGAAGCATCAGATTAAGCTCATACTTCAGATCCTGAAGGATGGTGACCCGCAGTATAACGGAATCACCATGAAGTATGGCAACCTCGTTCGCCAAGCATGTTTGGCAAGAAACTCTTCGATTACCTACGGAGGAGTTACTCCTTTAGAAATGGCCTTTGGAAGGCGTCCTCGAGATGTTATAACACCAGAGAACGCTGATCCCAATCAGTTGACAGGTAATCCAACTGATACGGAAGTCACTGCGAGAGCCATTAAGGAGCTTGCCAACAGGGCTTACCAAGAGGCACGCCAATCTGATGATCTGCGTAGAGATCTTGCAGCCAGACTGTCAATGACCCAAGGACCTTTCTCTTTGGGAGATAAGGTTTTCTACTGGTCAGAAGATAAGTCTAAGATTGGATCCACTGGGTCCAAACATGGATCTTGGCTAAAAGGAAAGGTGATCTCCGAACTCGGAGGATCCATGGTAGGTGTGGATCTTGGAACACGCATCGTCCGCGTCAATATCTCAAAACTGAGGAAAAACTATGACATAACATCTGATGTGGAGATTCCTCTCGCGCCTGATGAGGAAACTCTGACGTCAGAAGGTTCTGACCACGCAAGTTGCATGGTCACCTTCGATGCCTCCCTGCAGTCGACAGACCTAACGGTTCCACATCAAGAGTGTCACTGGCAGGTCACCAGCACTGGGAAGATTGACTTCCTAGAACTCTACGGCGGATCTCCCCGCATGAGTCACAAAGCTGCCCTGTCAGGTCTGCGAGTAGGTCAGCCAGTCGATTTGCGTAGCGGTCTAGATCTTGAGCAACCGCAAGGTCGCTCCAATCTTCTTAGGATCATCAAGGAACAAGAACCTACTATTATTGTTATGTCACCGGACCATTCTCAGTGGTCTAGCTGGTACTCACAGTGGAAGAAAGGCTCTGCCAAGAGACTTTCTGTTTTAAAATTCTGTGAATCGGTCGCAGACCACCAAATGAAGCTCGGACGTTACTTTGTTCTTGAGAACCCATACTACAGCAGGCTCTGGTCTTCACCAGAAGCAAAACGCCTGTTTTCTAATCATAAGATCAGCTATGAGGTCTGTAACCTACAGGCCTATGGCATGAAAGATCCAACAGGATACTATGAATCGAAATCCTC